TTTATGTTTCTAATGTAAAGTTAGTTTTTGCACTTTCATATTTCTTCTGCAAGATAAGTCACTTTGAAACAAACTCGCATTTCACCCTGAAGGTAACATCACGGTTGACTAAATAATTAAATTCTGTAAGGTTGTTTTCAGACAATTAATAACAGATATTTAAGAGGACCAACACACCTCTTTCACACACCGTAAGCAGGGCAGATGCAGCAATGACACGTTTATTTGAGACCATGTGTCACCTTTTACTGCAGTAACAGTCACTATGTCAGCAGGACCCAGGAAGAGAAGCTTCAAAGACAGAGTGTGTGTGTGTAAGAGAGAGTGTGAGAGAGAGTGTGCTGTTACAAACAGCGCCGTCTGTTCTTTTGATAGGGCATTATAAATCTTAAAATGCTTTTATGACACAGTTGATCTTGTCGTAATACTCTTAAAAAATCATCTTGACACAGAAAACCCAAGCATCTCTAGTTTAGCCATATCAAGTTTTGCAACATAAATATTTCACATTTCATCTAATAAAAATGAACAATTCAAATGTTGATGAAACGGGCAAAAAGGACACAAAATATTTGCTTGGAATCCATAAAATTCAAATTATGTGTATAAGTGTATAGTCTGTGAAGGGGTGTGTATGTTGTTTTATTCTAGTTATTTATAGTGGGAGCTAATGTTGTGAGGCTCCATCCCCAGAGATCCCCAATTATTATGGAATTTAGAAAGCAAAAGCTAAACCCAAACAGTCTAAAAGAGTTCTAAGAATAGCCTGACCTTAGACATAATCCATTCCCCAAGTATAAATGCAGTCATATCATTACAAGACAGGGTAAAGAGCAAACGCACACACAGACAGAGGCTATTCTCTCTCCAGGAATGCTTTTAGAGTCTTTGGAGTAGACGCTGTGTGTAGGCAGATGTCTCTGCAGTGATAGCGGAAACTATCATTCAGATCAAATTCTGGATTTAGCCTCATATGCAAGAAATTAAAAGAAGTTTTTGAGATGTGACAATAAGATAATGCATGTATAACTCAATATAACTGACCTGAACAAAGGAGCTGGATCCAAATTAAAACTCATTGAATTGACAGAAGAGGAGTTAAACATTCACTTAATTCACACTTAAACCTAACCAATAACAGTAATGAGGCCAGCTGATGAAAATGCCACAATGAGTTTATGCTGAATGAAGCAAACATATACACAGCTACACTCTGGAATCAGGGGGTTAGTCTGAATTTGGAGTTGGAAAAGGACTTAAGTTCATGGTTAGCTTGCATGTTTGCGTGTTACGCTGCAATCAGCGGATCTCTCACAGATTCTCAACCGAGTACAATAACATCCAACAAAGCACTCAACAGAGGGAATCAAATAAAAGGAGCTGTAAGGTTTTTAGATCTGACCTCCATTTGTCAAAACAGCAAATAACTCAGATGGCAGAAGAGAAAAAGAGAGATATAAACAAAAGTAAGGAGGCAGACTGGTGGGAGTGAAGGCGTACAGTCACTGAGAATTAAAGAGGCTCACTCACGCATGTTTAGTGTGTCTGCCTTACGGCCACTGCACTTCCTATGCTACTGTAAACTCCAGACAGTCCTGGGCCTTTGATCCTTGAACAGCAGCAGGCACCCGTTTAGGCCATAAAACAAAACTACCTGCACCCGGCACTACACACATACCTGTATGCACGCAAAGAGATGAGTATATTCACACAAACCAACACAGACACACGTGAGTCAAACAGGTATTTATGATGACTGCGAACACTACAATTGAGATGTCAACCAAGGACAACATAAAGCTCTCGAGTGTTGGTTTCTAGGATTTCCAGGAGTCCACTGCAGGAGTTGTGATGCTCCGACAGTCAAAATGCATTGCTCCACAATTTTACCTTGAGTAAAAAACTTTAAAACTTAGTAATTCTACAGCCAGTAATCATTGGACTAAAGCATGGTTAAGTCGCCAAGGAAGAATCCAAGTAAAGTCTGAGTAAAGTCCCCACTATCTGAGTCTGTGCAAGTCAAATCCCTGTTACCTGAGGAACGGCTGTCTCACTCTAATCTATCTGCTGTGTGAACTTGAGCAGGCTTTGTAGTACTGATCCTGTGATGTTACAGAGCAAATCCACAGTGGGCCTCTCTTGATGGGGAGTTGACCTCTTAGATTGTGATTGACTGACATGTAACTGATTTTTCTGGACGGATGCCTGTTTGAGTTCGAGTCTGTCTCCAGCTTCATCTTCATGGTTCTTTCACATAATGGGCACATTTCACTCTTATTTTTTGCATTTGCTGCGTCATCGTTGTAACCAGAACAAGCCTTTAGACTTCCTGGCACAAACCGTTGCTGAACAAGACAACATTTAAATGAGTATGCAAACGTGCCAGCAGCTCAAGACTCGATGAATCATAAAGGTCTGATATTCAAAAAGATATGTGAAAAAGACTAACGAAAAAGACTAACAAGATAGAGAGGAGTCCTCCTCTCTATCTTCTGAGTCTGAATATAAGCATTGCTTGAATTTGAGTCTTCAGCACATAATTTTGAAGTCCATACCAAGTTCTACAACACTGATAACAAATGGACCAAAAGGGGGATATGAAACTAAATACCCAGGACCGCAATAGTGTTTTGTTTAGACCATCAGGTCAAAAGGTCCTGATGCCCAAAGAAATTGAATCTTTAACGAGAATACAAGAGAAATTCAATAGGTTAAGAAGTAAGCTACTGAAACAACCACTGCATAAAAACTGTTTCTGTAAAAATGATAATATATCCGACAAGGGCATAAAGACTCATCCAATATGCTGTAAATCGAAGCAAAGATCACATGGGTAAGTCCAAACACCTAAGAATATTTACATTCAAGCACAAAAATCTTTAGAGATTACCTTGTGTCCACAAAGCCTACAACATCCTTGTCCTCATGTTAGGTCAATGGCACTGTTCTTAACCTGTGAACTTAGGGCTCTTGTAAAAACTCAACTAGAGGTACACTTTACTGCTGCAATCAACTATTCAAGAGGTGTGACAAACTGCATGCTGTTTGACCTTTCCGCTTCACATCTAGGGTTGCTGGACAACTAAATAGTAAATGCATTCTCCCAGCACCCCAAACTTGCACCAAATTACATCTAATTGTCAGCACATGGTTGTCTAATATGACTGGGAAATGGTACCTTCTCAAGATGTTAATGACCGGAAAGATGAGACACGCTGAGAATTAATGAAAAGGAGGAAATAGAGTGCCAGAGCTTGGAGAAATAATCTTTAATGGCTTTTTTCTTTCTTTAAGGGATTAAAAGGTTCTAAAGCCCATTATCATCTTCCTCATCACAAAGGTCTATAACCCAAGTGAGCAGGCTGATGTTTGGGGGGAGGGTATTCTGAATGCCCTGGATACTCGACCAATCAAAAACATTTAGATCTGTACTTATTTTCTTTCAAAGATAACCCAACTCAAGCTACAATTTAACAAAAAGTTTACCTGATTAAGTTACCTGATTCTCCTTCAACCCCCAGAGGCATCTCTGGAAATAGAGTTCAGTGTTGAAGTGAGGCTAATGACACAACATAGGTAATTATCAATCTCCTGCACTCCCCCAAGACCCAGCATGGCACTTACCCCTAAACAGATCCTTATGAGAACTGAAATGGAGATTCTATCCTGAGTCTAAAGAGCCCAAACACAATCTTGCCTGCAAGCTTGCCATACCAGCCTGTCTGATGATGGGACCCCATTTCCCAAACAAGGACAGTCATTAATTTTCTGCTGAGGCTAATTGGAAGGGGTTTTGAAACCGTCTTGCCTCTTTCCTGGGCAGCAGTTTATCTCAAGGAACCTTTCAAGGTGCTACCTGCCCCTGAAAACAGCTCCCAGGGACTTGCAAAGTCCTCCCAATGGCAAACTGTCAAGTTTTAGTCAATGGTTCTGTGTGTATCACATGAGATACAGTGAACCTGTCAGGGGAAATTAATTTATTCACCAATCAAGTCACATCTTTTGTATTAAATACAATCAGATAAATCTATATTACGTTCTGGATTGATTACTTTTGTGTAAATCTAACGAAAAATGTGGGTTTTACATTGATTTCAATGATTTGTTTTTAGAGTACAGAAGTTGTCTGAAGTGATGTGTTGCTCTGTCTGAGGTGATGGAGGGGACAGATGAACAGGCCATAGTGACACCTAATAGATCAGGTCTTTACGACCCCCAGTTTAGAGATGAGAAGGAGACCTGCTGCGGCCATAAGCGTCTCTCTCAGGCCTGCAGCTCTGACCTCCCCAGGGGAGCGCATTATTAGGGCCCATATAAACTTTTGAAGTAGTGAGTCCAAGGAAAGGCCAGGTATGTAAGGCAATAAATTGTGACTTTAAATACAAACACAAAAAGTGAAAGAGTGCATGACCCATGACACAGAGATGACTACTTCTGAGCAGGTTTGTCTTCTGTTTTTCTCCTCTTCGATAGATACCTGTCAACCATAAATTAGTGCTTCTCACTGTTACACTCAACAATAACGAGAAGTAAAGGGCTTCTCTGAAGTGTTTTTCTTTGAGTCAATAAATCCTAACCAATGATCCAGTGCAGCTAGGTAAAACCCTTAATTAATTGTGACATTTCAAATGAAAGGGGAGAAATTCTTTAAAGCTTTGTCCGCAGAGCAAATATCCTAACCATCATTTAAGTAAACGTGAGTCACAATGAGATTTGTAACAAGCAGAGCAAACACACTGTCAAGAAGCACAGTGTTTCTTTGAAAAGACTGAGGGGTTATAATAAGTCCTTCAGAGGTAAATGTGCATGCAAATGTTCTTAAAGTATTTAAGAGTGCATACCAATGAGAGCCTGCTGTTCCAAGAGTTTATAGCTCCCTCTCATGTCCAGTGGGTGAGTGACAGTAGGAGGCAGGCAGAGGGTGTTTCTCCATTGCATCTCTGCCAGGGACAGCTGACTGGTTGGGATCTAATTGCTCTCAAGTGAGGTCAGCAGGAGGCATTTATCTAAGCAGAGTGCACAGCGACAGTAGAAGATGCACAGAGTCAGCCTGCCAGAATCAGGGAGACATCCATGGGAATTAACAGAAGCTCCAAGCTTACTTAGATTTTCTGTCTTACTGGGCTTTACAACTAAGACTCTTCAAATTGAAACTCTGGCAAAAAGGGAATACATCAGTGGAAACTCCTGTCATCACTCAGAGCACATGTAAGTATTCAGTTTGCTGTTTTTTTTTAACAAGAAACCCAATATAGTTTGTTTAATTTAAGGTCAATTCTCTGTGTTGATAAAGACCAGATCAGAGACGATAAACTGATGAAGGATTTCAGGTTCTCTTGGTCCATGACAGGGAAACATATGCCTGTCTGAATCTATACCAGGAATATTGATTTATCTCTTAAAATGTACAGTATAATATAAATTTGATACACAGACGGAGCCAGATGTTCATTTTACAGCAGTTTGAAAGTTCATAGGAGATCATTAACAGAACCTGGGAAATCCCTGCTACAATTCAATATTTTGGCAGCTATGTCAACAAAAAACTTTTGACTCATCAATGTGCCGGTGGTTGTATTTACTGTATTTCAATCTACTGCTTTTGCAAGAATTAAAAATTATCTACTTTTGTTTTTCAGAAAAATCCCGCAGAATGTTTCCTGAGCTGGATTACGTCTACCTTAATGGACTATGATCGCACAACACCACTGAGGATTAAGAGAGACATCATCGTATGATACTGTCACCTGTCTACTTCACACCAAACTCCAGCCTCAGTCAGCCTCAACCAACTCAAACTCTTCTCCACAAGCATCTTATATCCACAGCCCACTGGGATCTCTTTTGCAGGAACAGGGAGCTGGAGGTTGAACACAGGGGTCACAAGTCAGGGGTCAGGGGTTTGCTGGGCTGAGGGGCAGAACACAGATCTCTATTTCACATTTCAGTATGTTGTTCATTGATCCCCACTGTATTTTACGATAATGCGCAAATGGATGCTGACATGGAGCCTTCAAAATCTAATCTCGGGACTGTACCTGCATGCAATCTTCCTGTTTGGCAGTGTGTGTGTGGTCTACAGTGACTGCCCTCCAGAGCAACGTGCTGCCATTATGAACTGCTCCAGACATGAGCGCCACACCAGGAACTATGACTACATGGAGGGAGGAGATGTGCGCATTCGACAGCTGTACAGTCGCACGCAATGGTTTCTGACAATTGATGACTTTGGCAACATCAATGGGACTCAAGACAAAACCAACTGCCACAGTAAGGATGACTCTTTCTGTCTTACCATACTCCAGATGGTTTAACTATGAGCTCATCTGCATGTGTTAAAATGAAAAGAGAAGTCATTTATCTGTTACCAAATATTTCGGGAATTCATACAGAGACACTTTCCTGTTGTTATTCTGCAGTGTTTGTGAAGTTCCTACTCAGTCAGTGGTTGTTTGTCAATGTGACAAAAAGCACATGGAAGGTGTCCCTGTACAACTGCTCTTCACAGTGTAATCAAGGTGCTAATGGGTCATGTGTCTCTGTCAGAGTGGGCTAAGTGACAGCGCTAAAGTGAAGCAGGTGAAGGCTTTGGCTTGTTAACCATAACACCATCTAAACACAGGCAGTAATTAAGTAATCTGATGCATCTCAGAGACGAATTGGTGCCAGATCTCTATGACCGCAAACTCACAATGGCACAGACCGGTAGTATTATGGCCTGATTTTAACTCTTAGATATAAGATATTAGGACCAAGAATTTGCAAAATCTTGGAAATGGAAAAAATGTTACTGATACTCTGGTGAGGGACATTTTACGTAGACACAGCCACAATACTGTGCAGTCCAAAACCACTAATTCATAAAACTGAGAGAAACTACTATAACTTCCTGGCTTGTTATGGCAATTTTACTGAGTCAACAGTAAATATTATTGCTACAATACAGCCAATATTTCTAAAATTCATGTTTATAGGACTACTGAATATCTCTGTCATGGTGAGGATGTTTAGACCGGTTATCATTTCCTCCTATCGGGCAATGTGGCTGTGGCTGGAATGTGAGCTTAACAGGGAAACGCATCAAAGTTGATGGGAAAGATGCTTGTGCAATCACTGGCAATGAAAGATGGGAAAGCACACAGCAGTATGACTAATAAGCCTTTAAACACACTGGCTTCCTGCATATGTATGTCTATAAATTCAGTGAGTGCAGAGAACAAACCGTTCTGAAAAAGGTTATTGTATGATACATATTTCTTTCTTTTTTTTCCACAAACAGAGAGAGAGCAAAAGAGGAGACCAAAATGAGAAACTTTGAGCTGCATTATTTTTGGCTTCCACATTCCTTGTGCCTCTGAAACAAAAATATAGGCTTCCTTCCCAGCACACTCATGTCTTGCATCAAACATTTCTTCTCTTATTTTATTTCATTTAAAAGTATTTCTTGGATCACCAGTGTCTGCCAACCTGGGTTTGTTTTGTCTTTAGAGAACTAAAATATCTTATTCCGGTATTCGAGGTATTGCAGTTTGGTTTACTTTCTGATAGAGTGCTAGACATGTAAACAAACCCTCAAAGTACACCATGAAAGATAACAGATTCACTTCTGACAAAGTAGTAAAAGATAATTACTTACATGTGTCGTCGGTTTGTGTGACAGACCATGGCATGGCTTTATTTCAGCGGAACCAGAATGTGATAATTATATCAATTAAAAGTTGTGTTTAGCCACTTGAAAGCACAAATAAACAACTTCCTAGTGGTTTGTCAACAAATTAGGAACCAAAGCCCGACAACTGGAAAACAGGGACTTTAAAACATTGGTATAGTACAAGTGGGTACTTATACCTTTTTAATGGCTTGGATGTCTTTTCATCCCCTGTCTTCCCTCTTTGACAGGCAGCTTCCCAAACCCTGTGTTAAATGATCTCTGTGTAAAATCTGCTTGCCCTCCTGTTATTGTCAGAGTTGCATTCTGCCAGTGTGATTCTTTGATTTGTGTAACTTATATATCATATTGTGTGTTTTCCATTGTTGTTCTCCCACCTTATTGAGTATATGGAGATCTTCTAGGTTATTTGAACCTGAGATAAACTCGAGTGACACTGAGAAAAGTTTCCACCTTCTAAGTCTCTGACTGAGACATAATAGAGCTGGTGTCAGATTCAGCCAAATATAAAATATTGACTGTTTTTATCCCTGCATTTAAATTCACTGTTGATCGATAAATGCGAAAGTTGATTCCATGTCATCCAGTTCAGATGTGTTTTGTTCAAGCGTAGACATGTTACATTTGACTTTAAAGACGGGGCGACTAGAAAATCCCTACATGAATTTGCACGAAATTAAACATTGTCAGAGGAAAAGAGAGTTCATATTTATACTTATCTATTCTACCGTTCATGACGCAGTATTCCTGGAAGGCCGTCTGACACATGCTTTCCACTGAAGATAAACATTAGTTTCACAATCAAAAAGCAGGATTAGGGATTACCCTTACAAAGTTTACTTAACCAAGGGCTGGATCAGGGAGTGATAACAAATCTCTTCAAGCTGAGGTTAGTCTAAGAGGCCAACCACATCACAGCCAAATGTTTACAACTAATGTATATGTGAATGCTTAAGTGTATGTGTGATGTGAAATGTAATCCATCTTTCCCAGGTAGGCCTTAAATCCAGATGTTGCATGTAACATCGTATGGCTTTAAACATCACTGTAACACAAAAATTAATGATACAAACCTAGGACTAGGAGTAGTGAACATGCGCCTACAGGTGGTACAAGTGTATGATGTGAAGAAATTGTCAAAATAACTCTAAATGTAAAGAGTTTGTGCATGTAGTGAAGCTGTAAAAGTTTCAATTTGATCTTTGACATTTCCTCCTCTTTGAAGTCATAATAAATAATATCAAGCAGGGTAATAGAAAGCAGGGGTAACACACAGTCAAAGGGCAGTAATATTAAGTTAAATATCAAGTGCAAGCAGAGCACAAACAACATTCCAAGATTGGGAGACTGCCATCTGTTTGTAATCAAATACCAAAAGTACCGCACGCTCAATGTCAGTCTGAAGAGCTTTAATAGAGTTCTTCCCTTTTTCTCTGCCTGTCACACAGCATAATTCATGCAGTATGTAAAAATGAAAGATAAGGATATGGTACAACATTAGAACCTAATATCTCTACCATTTTTTGTCTCTATATGTATACATTTGTGTTAGTTCTATGGTTCTATGTTTTTGATTTCCTAGTTAATGTTATAGATTCCCAGACGAAAGAATTACAGCATAAATCATATTTATGATCTGTGACCTGCATCAGTTTGATTATATGAACAAAATGCATTTTAACTCAACAGTCTTTGAAGAAAAGTTATAGGCACCTAGAGTGTCAAAGGAACTGAAAACGTGTATAAATACCTGTTATCGCTACAGAAAATAGTCTTGATTTCTCCTAGTAGATTTATAAATGCTATAGTAAAACAATCAGCCATTGAATATTTAAAGATATGACTAAGTGGAGTATTTCAAAAAGGCACAAAGATCCAAACAACAACAAAAAAATACTGCTCCTACTCTCCCACAGATTTGAAGAGCAGGCTCAAAACGTAGCGTGCAAAGCCCATGCAAGGAGGCAGTTTTCTCAATCCCAGGAGAGAGAGGCCTAATCTGTCTCCCACATGTGCTATGGCATAGGTTGTGGTTTGTGTAATGGCCACCCAGGCCAGTTAACAAGACTTGAATAAAGCCAGAGAGACCACAGACTGATTAATCACAGGAACTTCCATCCCATTTGTTAATGAAGATGAATGTTGATCGCGGAGTGGAGCTGGGGTGAAGACTGGATGTCAATAGAGTCTTGTCTGTCCCACAATATGTCTTACCTGTCTGTCTGACTGTGTGGCAGGTATCCTGGAGATCAGGACAGTGTCTGAGGGGGGCATCCTGGCCATTAAAGGAGTGAAGAGTCAGTATTATATCTCCATGAACAAGGCTGGACAGCTGCAAGGAAAGGTAATATTTTCCTCAGTGAGAAAAGTCATGCACTGTTTTCACTTTAAGCACTCAAGCTGAAAAAAAACAATATTTGCCAAACATCCAATTTGAAAAATATAGACAAAAGCTCATAATGAGGATAAATGAAGGTCGTATTGTATTAATTAAGTGATATTTATCTTTTTCTTTCCAGAGGAACTACAATGAAAACTGCAACTTCAAGGAAGTTTTTCTAGAAAACTACTTCAATGCCTACTCCTCTGCAAAGTGGACTAAAAACGGCAAAGAAATGTTTATTGCCCTTTCTCAGAAGGGAAGGCCGATGCGAGGGAAGAAGACACGCAGGGAGCATGTAGCATCTCACTTTATCCCCATAAAGTGTAGAGAAGAGGAAAGGAGGGTCGACTGAAGAAGGGGGCTACTAATTGCAAACTGTATATTATTTCAATCACATATTATATATCAGTTTACACATATAAACTCTTTACCAACACCACACTCCAATCTCCTCCAGTCTGATTTCTTATATAACTTTTTATTGTTTTCATTTGAACTCAACCGTTATCAGATGGGCATGTTGAAGTATTCCAAACAGATACGAGAAAATGGTGAGATATTTGAAAGAATTGGATACAACAACTATAAAACCACTAAATGTTATTGTTGTTTTGAGTATTATATTATATTTCCTTAAAAAACATTTAAGTATTTTCTTATAAAACAGTAAAAGTGTTCTACCCACAGTCAGGACTACATCCTTATCCAAAGATTTACACCCTGCTGAAAGAGAAGAGCTGTGATGATCAGCAGGACGGTTCAGAGGAGAGAACTGGCTCGACCACGTTGTCCTGAAGCAAGCTGGACTTGTGTTTTTCATGATACAAGAGCTCAGAGCGCACAGAACGAAAGCAAGGTGTATCAAACTAGTACTTTCAGTCAAGTTACTATGTATATTTAGGACAATCAGTGTGTGACTGATATGTTTACTCTGGTAAAATGCATTTTAGCTGTTTACTGATTCCCTCTTTATTATCAAAGTGTGATTCTGAAATGCTAAAATATGCTGCTGCTGAAGAAGAAATAACCACATTAAAATACAAAGTGAACAACTTAAATCATGTGTGTACTGTGCAGTTTGTCTTTTTCCGAATTGACCTCTAAAACCAAAATGATACTTTTTATTGATCAAGGTTTTTATGAAGTCTTTTCTGTTTTACGCCAAAAAAAACCACACACAAACTGGGATACTGATTTATTTATCTAGCAATTCATCTCCTTCTAATATCGATGTCAGAGACGATCTCTATTTTCAAGATGTAACTCAATAATGGCAATATTTTGTGATGTTTTATCATTTATATTTTGTTTTTGTTTTTTTACATAACAGATAAATCACATTTTCCACCACCCTCTCTTCTCACAATGTGTTTTGTTATACCAAAGTTATTTACCATGCAACTACATCTCGCAGATGAACAGTTTCAAACTGCAGTGGAGGTTTTCTTGATACCACAAGGGGGCCTTCGAAAACTCACAGGATAGAGTCTCAAGTTAGGGTGGTATCATTCCTTACATTTAAGTTTAAAGCAATATGAGGTTGTATATGTCATATAACTTTAAGACACTCTGGAGGCCTTACCTGGGGTGAATGGAGGTGACATTGTTCAAAGAACAAAAAAAGCAGCAGATGGGATGAACAATGCAGGACTCCTGTGGAAAAGAACAAAATGTCAGCAAATTAGTCATAACTTTCCTCTTAGATGTGTTTAGACACTTAACAAGGAAGTTTTATTGGTAAAATCCTGAACAAACAGAAAGTTGAAATTGCTTGAAATGAAGAATACACAGACCCAAAAAAACACCTTAAAACAGACAAAAATACATTTTGAATCAGAGGAAAAACTACAAAATAGAATATTAAAGATTACCTTCAGATGTAAATAACCATGTATTTAGACATTAACTTAAAAATCATTTTACAGCATTTACTGAGGGTATCTTAGCACTGATCCAGTTTTAGAAAGGAGGAAAAACCAGGTAAGACATGTGCAAAAGGTTTCCCTAAAAAACACTTGGAGTTTAGTGAAAGAAAGGAAGAAAATCAGAATCAGAATACTTTATTTATCCCTGGGGGAAACTCGATACAGAGGGAGACAGACCACAACAGAGCACAAACAGATTCAAAAGGGTATTTTTTCACAGACTCTGAACAAACACTAAGTTCTATTTCAACTAAAGCCAAAAGGAGGGCAGAGAAATTGATGATCCTGAGGTGATTGATGATGCTTTGGACAAATAAAAAAATCGTACATTCATATTTGCTTGGTATGATTGTACCCTTTGTTTTAGGACCTGGTGATCAGCTTCAAACGTTGACAAATATTTGCCAACTTACTCATTCATCAGAAAAAAAGACACTGACATCCATTTTCCAAAATCCACACGCACTTTTTCCCTCTTGTCATCTGACTTTTATGAAAAACAAGTTTGCTCCAGTTTGACTTGAAAAATTTTCACCTTTATCAGCATTCACTCTGCAGGTTAGTGAGGTATTATTTTACACCAGACACCTGGACATGTACATCCTATAAATGTGGATAGTGTTGTTGTTTTAGTGGATTCACTAGTACGATCACCTGTCACAATATCTTAAGTTATTTGTTTAATATACCAGGGTGTGTGAGGAGAATAAGGTTAAAGTCTGCACATTATCCATGATTATGATGTACAATCGACACTGGATTACAAAGCCACGATGCAAGCTGTGTGGTAAAACAGAAAGTTAACTCTTTTCTGCTCACTTATTGATGTAAAATCCAGCACACCCTCAAATGCTCAATAGATCAGATTTAAGAAACAAAGTTACAACCAACACTGACAAGGATAACACAGTTTTTTAATAATAATTTGTTAAAAACTTAAAATCTCCGGGGATGTGGCCACTTTTTGACACATGGTAAAGTTATGTTACATGTGATGATGTATTGACTATTATCTGTTGTAACATTGACCCTTGTAGATATGACTTACCTGGAATCAGATGACAAGATACTTAAATCTTCTCATGTTTCCTCAAATAAGACTAAAGACATATCGCAAATGCACTTTTGAAAAAACTTTGCAGGACAATCTCTCAATCCGATAAGGAAGACTGAGATGTGGTAATACAACTCAGGGATAAACCTCAAATTCATGACTGGAGATAAAAATAAATCGACAGGGTCAAGTGTCACATTGTTTCCCCCTGAGTTTATATCACATTAAATAGAAGTGGAGTCTCGTCAGGACAAAAAAAAAAAAACATAGCAGACATATTGGCAGGGGGCCTCCCTCTACCGTAAGCTCACGGTAATAATACATATCAGCATGTGTGCAGGCACATACCCACACACACAAAGGCAGACATAAGGTTTACCTTTTGCCTGGGTTCACATCTGGCTTGGAGAACCCCTGTCAGATAAAGACAGTCAAATTGAGAGAGCCAACCCCTGAAATACGTTTGACCCAAACAACATCTGAGCAAGGTGAAGGCTTCTGCCAAGTCACGCAAAGTTAGTCTTAGCAGATAATTTGTAACATGCTCAAAATGTAAACACATTTTCAGACTCAAGGCTGTGTATTCCCAACACGACCAGGAGAGGCTGAAGCCAAAGAAAATGAGAGAAAACTGTCATAGACGTGGAGCTACAGACATCCAAAAGAAAAGACACAACAGTCACGCCAGACGCATAAATTACCAAGTGTTCCAGGACCGTCAGATTTTGTTGAATAAAATGCTCCTGAAATCACAAATCATCTTTGAACTTTTTTTTTCTTTTACAAAATCAGGGATTCCCATTTACTCTCCTTCATCTGCTGTGCATTAGAGGTATAAAACAGCCAAATTACGAAACTGGACTCACTCCTGCCAGCAATGACACAGAGTTTCTTAACAGGAAGACATACTGCCTCGTAACATAAGTAAATGCATGATAGGGTTTAAACAGCATGTCTGAGTTGTTTTTAATACATATCATTAATAATGATATATGGATGATAAGTTACCATATGTAGTCTCACGCTTCATATTAACTAATAGCATGCTGACTAGGGTTTTACAGCTAAGAAAACGTACAGTCTTAAAAATTGCAAAACTACTTTTCAGTAGTTTTATTGCTTACATGTCTGTACTTCTTAAATTCTTTGTTAAAAATGTTTCTGCCCAGTTTGAGGGGCTGGTTTAGATGAAGAATGAATCTGCAACAATATTGTGTTATTCATTCAAATGTCTCAGACCATCAGTATTGCATTTGCAGTAGTGTGAGAGCATGGACATAGAACAGCATGTGTATATTACAAACAGCACACGCAGATGAGGGAAACGTCTAGAGGGGGGGTCAGGAGAGTCTGACACCAGCTGCGGGGAAAGACGGAGTGAGACAAGCAGAAAAAGGGGAGGATAAAAAGAAAGGCAAGTGAAGATAAACAGGGAGAGAGGCTGGGGAGTCTCGTGCGAAGTGGAGAGGTGGTCTTGGGGCAGCAGGAGAGAAGGGAGGCCCCCTGGGGGGAGGGGGAACACGCAGCTGAACTTGATACATTTCAGGGCCATAAACCTTCATTTCCACAGAGGAAATCTGTGGTTATGCAATGTGGGGAAAATCTGTGTTCGTGGACCCCTGAACATTGTATCACAGTGAAAAAAAGGGTCGGAACCTCCACCGGTTATACACTATATCATGCTTCCCCTTGCAGCTAATATAACCCACACAGAACAATCATAGCTTAGAAAGATAAAGACATTGAGTAAACTCTGCACCATTTCATACATGACTGACCACCAACTTGCTTTGTCACTGCTGAGTCATCATCAAATAGACATAAAGTTGTCTGCTCTGGCATCAAAACCATATGTCTGTTTACATTAGAAAAATACTGCAGATCAGGTATGTGTAAAATGGATATTTAAATGCACAAAAAGCACAAGCCAACATGTTAACTTTAGTGTAATAATTGTTGGGAATGAGAACTAACACAGGAATCACTAAATTGTCTGTGTGTTCATCGAATCCTACATGCATGAGTGTCTTCTTTATCCAGATATCTCCAGAACAATTCATCTCTATGAATGGGTCTGGATTGGTTTTATTTATTTCCTTTCAGGGAGGCATAAGCAACAGCTAATTGAAGTGCCTCTGAGATCGAAGTAGCCTGTGATATAGCACATGTTATGACAAATGTTGGCTGACGGTAGCATGCAGAAGGAATTTAAACATATCTTCCTTTACAATAAACGCTGTGCAGTTGTTAGTTCTGCTTTTAATGAAAATACATCATTGTTTCAGTCGGTGGTTGATTCAACTGACTCCCCACTGGTAGAAATTGCTGTTTTTGTTGTCAACAAAAAAGCTAAAGCATTTTTCCTGTGTCCTCATCTTTTTTAACCTGTCTCAGTTTCATACTGCCTGATGCGTTTGGCAACTTTAGGCTATGTCCGCTCATCAAGAATCTGTTCTGATGACCGGAGGAATCCAGTCGGTTAAATGTGTGTTTTGGGTAGCAAAAGGGGGTGAAAAGTCTATCTTTCCATCAGCCAGATTGTTCCTGAGTATGATTTGGCATCAGCAGCACAAAGTGGTAATGAAATGGAGGGATGTTGTCTGTTCTGTATACAGTCATTGTCTCGACAAAATGGCTACACTTAAGAGTTGGTCAGCGAGTCTGTTAAATTCAATGTATCAGACGCTATGAAAAGTGAACAATTTCACAAGGATGCATTATGATTTTGTGATCTTGCAAAACTGATTATTGCTATGTAGTTTTTTGCTTTCTTGTTAATACATTTTGATGACTAATGCAGCAAGAGACTCCCGTAAAGTTGCTGAGGTACAGACAACAATGGAGCACATGTACACAGTGTGCATATAAATATTGAATATGTCTCTCACCATGAGTTGGGTTTCCTCCCTTCATATCCAACTCCAGCTGCTGTGATGAATGCAGATGCTGTTCTCTTAGGACATGAGTTTTGGCGTTCTACCTGAAAAGTACACAGCAGTACTGTTGAAAGAGTCACACTATGAGTCATTATAGTGTGCAGTGTTATTTTGTGGTTATAGTCGTAGAATACAATGGAACACAATGTATTGCAAATAGGTCTTTGAGTTTAATCTGAGCTCCTGTCAACAGCACAACAAACATTCCTGAATGTGGCCAGAAAGTTCCTTCTTCCTTCCTCTGTTTCAGGCACAACAAAAGATGAGGACACATGAATGAATGTTAATGATAAGACATGTCAAGAACAGTCAATCCATTCATATTTTTTCAACTTGCTTTGACCACAGTAATACTGATCAGTTATGTTTTTGACAATGTCATGCCAAAAAGCACTAGAGGGTAGAAGGCTATGAGAAAGTTAAAAGCATAATCAGGCATTTATGTCTATAGAAACTGAAGCTTCACATTTCAGAGAGCTAAACCTATGTAGGAAAAACTAAAATACCAAAATTGATAAGAAAAAACAAAAACTCAGGCCTAGATCCGAAACAATAAGGCCTACTATAATGGAACAGCCTTCTGTGATTCATCTACCTGATCATGATGAACTGCGTTTTAATGCCATGCATTCAGAACCAACCTGGCACCAAGTTTACATTTGGCAGGTTTGTGATTGTGTGGAATCTAATATCAGCGGCGGAAGGTTTCATTCGATACACATCTGTTTGCCATGCAAGTCTGCATGCGATTGTCTGTTTCATAAGAAGTGTGACAGCTCAGGTATCTTTGAAATCTAACCTAGAACAATCTGCTTTACATCATTCAAAGCACATCTGGCTTAGAACAAGACAAATTCATTTATTAATATCCAAAAGACCATTTTCCCTGAAGTAACCTATGAGGATTTAATAGGCTTTACCAGGGAACTGTCATCTGTAAAATTCAAATTCTTCTAGGAGAGCACGCGCATCACACAGTAGAGAAGATTTTCGTAGAGCATTTTGCAAATGTCCACTGTAGTCACAGTAATGATCATTATTTGACCACAAAAACATTTTATCTGAGATAAACATTAATTGTTCCTCTTATCGTTTCAATAGCTGGGATCAGAGACATGAACAATTATCCAATGGGTTGGATTCAATATCAAAATTACAAGACAAAAATAGCAAATCATACCAAACAGATTGATGAGACTAAAGGCTTTTCTTAATCAGATCAGAATCAACATTTGTTTTTGTTTTTTTCAAATAAAAATTTAAATGGTAATTATAATTTTTTTAAACATTTACCAACAAGAAATTGACAAAAATTATTGATAAAATAATATCATTACCAGTATTGTACATGAACTCAAATGATTGGCCAAAAGTCGTTGGTGCTTATTGATGCCATTGTTAATAAAAAGTAAATCATGAGAGCTGTAACAGGGGTCAGAGTGAGTTAAGGACTGTTATAGACACTTTAATACTAATTTATGCACATTGAACCATATCTGAAATCATTTACTTTGCAGGTATCATGTGTGAGAGTGGATATCCTAAAAAAAAAAGAATATTTTAATATCAATTTATTTGACAATAAAAATGAGACGTGTAGCTGAAGCACAAAATGTAGAAAAGCACTGAATTTCTATTGAAGGTTGAACGGTAAGTTAGTTTAGCAACTTTCTATTTCCAAGGATTTGAACACAGTTTAGCTAAAAGCTGGTAAGACCATAGACCGCATGGACAACTTGGTTCCGCCAGTATACAGACCTGAAGCTGAAATGCTCTCTGTATTTCCGCGTTTTTCGTCCACTTCCTAAAACAAACACTGTGCAGAAGCGTTGTGCGCTCTCCACCACTTGCGCAGTACCATTGTGCGCATTTGGCGGGAGACTCGCCGAGAGTCGCTGTGATGACACGGTTCAAACAGCGGGTCCTCTTACGCCCATAAGAGGACCCCCCCCCCCCCAATAAATAAAATGGAGCCACAACCAGGGAGGAGAAAAATGAACATTCTGTGTACCGGTAATACATTTCTAAAGTTTGTCCACAGCTCCATAACCTTTGCCGTAGGAAGCGGTTTTATGACCTATACTGCAGCCCGTCACCAGAGCGTGCTGTTCTCGTGGTGGCTTCACCCAGCAAGGAGGCAGACGGCGTCCACTCTATATACAGTCTGCGGGTAAGACCAGCTTAAATTTCGTACTGTGTGTACATTTACATTCACTGTATCTTTGCCAGGTGCTTGAAATATTTTAATATTACCCGTTTTATATTTAACGTGTTACTCGTTATTTTCTACCGTGAAGTTTTGTTGAAGTACCTCATAATCGCTGGTCCACCGTCACTGCCTGCAGGCGAGTCGCTGCCTCTCAGCACACGTTGGAACTTGTTGCTAAGCAACTTGTGACTGTTAACTACTTCTTCCTCCGCACGGAACTGTACATCCGGCGTAGAAGAAGACGTTCACGCTGTCATGGCTGTTGTGCATTATTGAACTGCATACCGGTAGATATTTTGTGATATACGAGAGGCTTATGGACAGCGGTTTTCTACAAGATGTTTAAACGTTTGCTCCCCTTTTCTCGTTGCTATCGACCTAACCGCTGTACGTGTTTGTAAGTTGTCGAGTCTGCAAAGGTTAAGCATGTGTGCTAACAGAAGCTAGCTGCACAAGTAAGGCTATGAATCAATAATGAACTATATTGTCAGCTGCAGTGGGTAAACTAGGGCAGATAACACTGTGTGAAGCAGAAGAAATACATAATTATTGAAGGATCAGTGCTAACTGCATGCTTGGAAACTTGTGTATATGTTTGTTTGCTATGCAGTCTCTGTACATTGAGTCACATGTTTTCTCATCCAGGTGCACTTTATTGCTCTCAATGTTACTACAAGTTTCAGCTGTACATTTACTGCTTTGTTGTTTTGTTTGTTGCATTTTCATGATCCATGTCTCTAACGACCCTTAGGCTAGATAGAACCTTGTTTAACACGAAGGTAAAGGAATGGCCGTGTAGACAATGAAGTGGTGCAACAATAATATAAATAATAGTAGTAATACTAATGTTTTTTATACAACAATTATCAAAACTGACTTCACAAACACGGAAGCTCACAATATAAAGATGAAACAGGGAGACAAAATAACAAGACATATTAATAAAAGATGACCCAACTAAAAAAAGTAAATGATAAAATCTTAAAAGAGTGATTAAAAGCTGGGGCTGGACAGAGGAAACAACAAATACAACAATAAATACATTAAATAAATAAATTTAAATAAGGCTATTAGATAAAGATGTTTTCTGAAGTAATGTAAGGTGTTGTAGCAGTGAATGGCTTGTGGCATTCTCACGCACTCCAAAAAACAGCCACTTAAAATTCAAAAGATTTATTCCAAAAAAGGAAATTTAAATTTTAAGTGGCTGTTTTTTGGAGTGCATGCAAACGCCAAGCCATTCATTACTACGGCATTAAGTCAAAAAAACTATCAAACCACAGCCTTTACCTGCCTGACACTGCAGACTGACAGCACCAGCCATGACGTATGACCATAATCGGGTGACTAAAATGGTGACGAAAGAAATACTTACCAATGATTAAATCAGCGTAGATCCAACCAAACAAAAAGGACATAAGTCATAAATAGTGTTTGTGTTTTTTAAAAATGAAATGGCTACAACATAGGGTTCCTTTGGTTTTTAAATTTGATGTGGGATCATTAAGGAGGTCCCTGTCTGAGGATCTGAGACTACACACTGTTTGGTATGGAGACAGCAGTATTCAGGGGCCAGACCATGGAGTGCTTTAAAAGATATAACAAGTAAAACCTTAACATCAATTCTTAAAGAAATGGGTAGCCAGTGTAAGGTCATTTAAACATGAGTAATATGCTCTCTTTTCTTCGTTTCAGTTAAAAGTCTAGCTGCAGAATTTTGCTCTATTTGGCAATTAATTAATTTCTGATTCATTCCTGTTAAAACACGACTAAACTAATCTAATGATGAGGAAATTGATTGTTAGGGTGTCAGTAAAAGTCAGCACAGATCTTATTCAGGCAATATTTCTTCGTTGGTAAAAGCACGGTTGGATAACTTTGTATGTTTCTGATAAGTACAGCTGCTGCTAAAAGTAACTCAGAGTTGAGGTTTCTTACATTTAGTTTTACAGTCAGAGAGAGAGAACCGAGGGAGGACTGAATTTGGGGCCAATAATGAGTATTTCAGTCCCTCTTAAAGTAAAGCTGCTCTGTTCAGTCTGCACCGGTGTCAGGGAAAACTACAGCTTGATGTCACTGGGCTTGAGATGATCAAATGTCTGGATATTTTTTTTTCTATCATCAAAATGTTAACAAACTAAATGGATCCCAACTTCATGACTCATCTGCCTGCGTAAATGACTCCTGTATGACCTTTTAAATGCCAACCTCTAATTTGATTTATGGCTTTTCCACATTATTTTGGGGCTGAAACTAAAGCTAAGTTTATGTTGGATTATTTGTGTCTCTTAAATTTTGCTTTGTTTGTTTTCATTTAATTGTTGTGCAGTTGTGAATGTAGAACCCACTTGCTCCAGCACTGGTCTGTCAACATTAAAAGAGCAAGCATGAGCAGCCTGGACCAAGACCAGCGTCTCCAACCTAGTTGCCGTGACAAAACAACAGTCTCCAGTGATTCATCAGATGCGTGTGAGCTTGCCAAGCAGCCTCTCCAAGGTCTAAAATTGGCATCACATGAAGTACTGAAGAAAGCGCAGCAGAAAGGCAGGTTGATATGCACTAAATGTGGAGGATCAAGGATGTTCTTCTGCTACACATGCTGCTCATTACTGGGTGTCACCCAGCAAGAAATCCCTTTACTCAAGGTCAGTTTAAGGTCAGGACTCACTTGATTGTTCTTTTTAAAAGACAGCGTCACCTCCAGTGCAGCTGCAGTAGAAGTGTCCTGATGTGCTGGAAAATGTTAAGAAATGCCTTTAATGTAGGATGTGTAATTTTGTTATGTTCGTGTCCTCTGAACCTGGCTCTTCTTGTATTTGTAAAGCTTCCTGTTAAGATAGACATCATCAAGCATCCTAATGAGTCTGATGGAAAGAGCACTGCGATCCATGCCAAGATCCTGGCGCCCAGTGATGTGACCATATACACTTACCCCTGCATACCTGACTATGAAAAAGACAAGGTGAGCAGTTTTTCATTGTTAAAAAAGCCCATTTAACCATGGGGCTGTAATTTATTATTGGTTGCTATTAAGTATAATCAGTATTGGTTATTCTGCCTATTATCTATCATATCAATAGTTTCCCCTGAAGATTCCAAAAGGTAATAAGTACTCTAAACTCCAATAAATAGGTCACAAAACATAGTTTATATCTCTCTTTTATTTGCTCCAGAAGCCTTAAACCCCAAAACGATCATTTTACTACTAAATAATCTGAAGAAAAGCAAAAACAGCTCATAGTTATGAAGCTTGAAATAGGAAATGTTAAGTTTATTTGGTCTGGAAAATAATAGTTTCAAGTATCACGTTTCTGCTTCTTACTCAGCATCTTTTACCTATTAGGGAATCATCATTGTCATGTACCTTTCCGTTTATTCATGTAATATTGTTTGTGCTGGAAACTACTCTCAAGTCATGTCATTATACTGTCAGTGTTCATTACATTTACAGTTACAGCTTTTCTGCTTCTTTTAGTTTTTATTTGTACGAGTCAAATGGATTTGAAAATTTGATGACACGGCCTAAATAAGATCAGAATTTGGAAAACTGAGCGACTTCTCCTTTCTGAGGTTTTACACTCGTCAAGTTTCTATTTCATTGATGTAGAACAGAATCAGATACCGTATTTTGATTTGGCTTTCGAAATTAAGATGAACGCATGGCATGCAAAAGTTATGTAGGTTCATTATAGCTGACAGATTTTATATATTTTTTTTATTTCCCTCATTTTATTCCTAATTCCTTAATTTCTTTCGGCGCTACTTCTAGAAATATATATAACACCACATTATAGAAACAATATACATTTGTTGTTTTCTGCCGTCTAGTATGAAACTGTGCCCCTCTAAATCTGTTTATTGTCTTTCACTCTCAGGTGGTGTTAGTGTTCCCTGGTTCTGAAGCTGTCTCAATTCAAGACATGATGCAGTGTCTGCATGCCCAGGCTGACAGCAGGTCACGTGACTCCTCTGATGAACCCTGTATAAAGAGACTAAAGAAAGAGGAGGGTTCAGACATTGATACGAACCCTGAGTCAGGGACCCCAGATGAAATGAAGGGCTCTGAGTCAAGGGTGTTTCCTCTGCAGAGGGTGGTCTTCATTGACAGCACATGGAACCAGACCAACAAGATCAGCACAGATGAGAGACTGCAAGGTAATCAACTAAGATTGCATTTGTGCAGCTTTTCAAAGAGCTCTGGCTGCTGTTGATTATTGGGGGCAAATGTACTTCACCCACGGTGCTGTTTAACATGATCTCAGCCTGTGTGAGTGTGTGTTCTCACTGACGTTTGTCCTCCAGGTTTTGTGCGAGTGGAGCTGAAGACGAGGAAAACCTGTTTCTGGCGCCATCAGAAGGGCAAACCAGACACCTACCTTGCAACTATTGAGGCTATTTATTATTTCCTCAAGGACTACCACAAGCTTGTCCTCACTCAGGAGTACAAAGGAGAATATGACAATCTTCTCTTTTTCTACGCATACCTGCACTCAGTTATCAACACGGCCAAGAAGTCTGCAGGAAAATGCTGAAAGAAAAGACTGAGTCAGCTACAAGAGACTGATATGAGCTGTAGCTGAAGAGTTGCTTCAGCAGTTCCTGCTGTCCTGATTTTGTTTTTTATGCTAAAGGATATTTTCTTTTCAAAGGGACACTGACTGTGATCAGTTTGAACAGAACATGCAATAAAACAAATGGTAAACACGAGTGCAACTGAATTAAGTGTTTTTAAGTAAAACAGAAGTTTAATACATTTAAATAACTTGCCTGAAGCTGCCTGAAGTGTTGAATTTAAAGCTACCCCTTTTCCAAACGGCCAAACATTTATTGGAGATGATGTAAGTCAGAGAAGAGACGAGTTCTTTTATTATGAAATGTTGAAATTATTCTTAAGCATTCAAAAAAAGTCAGCATGCATGATATGATTCATTTGTACGTGTACCATCAGTGAAGTCTGCAAAGTTCAGCATCTTGTTTCCACTTCTCTCCATCTGCAGGCCTGAATTTTTTAATTATTCAAGTGCTGAATTACAACGTAATGTAGTAATGTGGAAATTAAAGTCACTTCAGAAATGTTTCAATATTTTTATTTACAAATCAGTAAATAATAGTGCTTTCATTATACATGCCTTATCATATATTACTCATAGTTCTTGGACACTTGCTATTGAATCCATCTAAAATAAATCTTCAAAGCCAATGCTGGAAATCTCACATCTGTGCACCTGCCTACTGTCCATGGTGGCAAGTTAACGTGGGGTCACTAGTAGAAGGTCTCTCTGATCTTGGCCTGCAGGCTGTCGCACGTCTTCTTGGCGTCTCCAAGCAGCATAGATGTGTTGGGTTTGTAGAAAATGGGGTTATCAACTGCAGCGTAGCCCACACCTAAGGTACGCTTCATAACAATTACCTGAGGAAGATAAGAATACATAGTCACCTTCTGTACCACAGACTAAAACGCAGTGACATGCAAAAAGAAAAAAAACTGAAAACAAACCTGTTTGGACTTCCACACCTCCAGGACAGGCATGCCAGCAATGATGGAGTTTGGATCTTCTTGTGCGGCAGAGTTCACGGTGTCGTTGGCTCCAATGACCAGTGTCAAGTCTGTCTCTGTGGGCCGCAGATGTTCACTCATTTATATACAAAACAGATGAAAACACAAACCGATCGGGCTCTCCATCACCACACTTATCTCCCCCACTCATAAACAGAACCATGTGTCCCAGACCGCGTGCCTGGTTGCTAAGAAAACAAGACTGTTGCTCTGATAACATAGCACATCTAAATATCAGGACACATTACAAAGTTGCTCCCACTGTAGATGAAAGGGGGCTGTGGTCATTACACACAGCTGATCTAATGTTATTGTCTGACACCTTCCGGCCACAGTGACAACCATGCAGCAATAAAACATTTTACAGCTCTGTGAAAAAAAAAGTGATTTACCCGGGAAATCATCATTGATCTCATCCATCTCCAGGACCACATCATAGGGAACTCCAGCCTCGGCCAAGAGGACGTTGAGCTGGCCGGGCATACGACCGGCTACTGGGTGGATACCAAACCTAATGGAGGTGAATGTAAAATATATAACTACCCATTAACACTGATTGATCTACATTAAGGCACTGTAAATTCCCTAATTAATGATGTCTGTGTCTGAACAAATTCAACAGAGAGGAAGAATAACTCCCCTCAGCCTTGTATTTTATGGTTTCAAGCAACAAGTAAGAAGCTTTTCTATATTGTAGCAGGTAGACTTGAGGCTTCTTAACTTGATTGATTGCAATTTAACCGATGAATTGCTTCATATTTAGTATCTGTAATCCAAATATTGCTTCGTTTACAGGCCTTGGATGATAAAACAGAATGTGTATAGATTTTCACCTGACAGCTTTTCCCTGTTCGCTCAGCATCTTCACCATATCTGCAATCGGGTACTGGGCTTTGGCTGCACACAGACCCCAACCTAAAGTCAAAACCATCAAGAGAATAATCATGCAAGGGGTTAAAAAAGGGCCACTCTCAGCCTAGGATAATTTTTATAAAACAAAATAAGATAAACGTCTTTATCTTCATATCTCTTGGGGACATATAAACCAGGGTTGACAGAGCGGAATGAATTCATTGAAGAAACTGCTGCCTCTAGAAAAATAACTTGAACACCAGACTGAATAATGCCCAAAACAGTTTGAGTTCAGGGTTGAATTATGTGTGTTTTGTAAACACTGTAACTGAATTTGGATGAAGATACAAGTGCTCTTTCATACTTTAGGGTGGAACCTCTTTCTTTTGCTTTAATTGTCTGCTGATGAATAACATTTTATCACAATTGTTTTTATGTTTTGTTGTTTCTATGACACAATAAAAACTTCCATGAGAAAGGAGTTACTTGTGCTTCTTCGGCTGCTGAGTCTATTATCACGTCTTTTAAACGCTTAAAACCTAATCCTTTGACACAATCTGTTAATATCTAAATGAAAGCAGAGTAATCCAGCATGGGCAATAAAAAGTTATTCCTCCAGGGTTTTTTCTTTCTTTCCGTCCCTCTCTCCACCACAAGTCTCCTCTCTATATTAAATCATAGTGCTTCATCGGTCTGAGAGACATTTTTCTCAGTAAAACTTTTGCATGTGTGGTGTGCCTTCGGGTCCCCTGCGTGCAAAGAACTCCTTTCCTTATGTCTGCGTAACCCCTGTTTAACCCTGGTGGTCAGGTACCTTGTAGAGTTCAGCATTACCCCTAATTGAGTTTTTTGAAGCCAGTCGCCCGTAACCCGTATCTCCCAATTCCCCAGAAAACTGGAGCCTTCTGTTTCCTCACTGCTGTGCTTTGTTGTTGACAGCGCATGGAGAAGTCCTGGGTCTGGACTCAATAGCTCTTATGACTTTTCACTGTTTCTCTAATCAGAGCAGCATGTTGGACCACACAGCTGTCATTGCGTTGGTTTGGAGCCACTTGAAAACAACAGCAATCCAAGTATCCAAGAGTGGTTCCTCTTACTCAGGCCACTCGACAACTACTCAGCTGTCGGACGAGTCTGGCTTGTTCTGTTTAATAAATCAAGATGTGGTCACCGTCTCACACTGAAAAATAAAATCCATCAACCTTAACTCTTTACGAACAAACACGTTCTGACACACTCACTGTATATACTGTATGTGCTACGAGACACCGGGTTTCTGTGTAATTATTTATGGACAAACTGCTCCCTCTTGTGGTGTCCAGTCCCTGTATTTTCTGTTTAATTAATGACTACCATACAGTCAGTTTGAGATCCCGAACATTTGCAAACTCTTCAAATCCTGTGGTTTTCCAAAAGCTACCACAACAACATTTTGATATAGATTTGGCAGAGCAGTCATGCTGAGCCTCTCTGTCGGATAAGGTTAATCAGATGACAGAGATAGTTGATGTTATTGATGCAGACAGTCTGAGCAGCTGCAGCTGGAGTACAGAGGATCCACGCTCTCTGGTGATGAGGGAATCTCATATTAAATTGGTGCTCCACCTCAGTCTCTGAAGTCAACCCAAACATCTTTCTACACCTGTCGAAGTGATGAATGAATGAATTCAGTCATGCTCCCCCTGGTTCTTTGATCACTTATTGCCTTAAATACTAGAGAAGAGTACAGTCTGGATCAGCACTGCATGTAAAATAAAAGGGAGCAGTGTCATTTTGGTACATTCAAGAGCGGAGAAAAATACAAAAACAAATATTAAGTTGTTCAAAGCTGCTCGTGGCTCTATAGGGAACACTGTAATCATTTAAGGAGACCTATTATGCTGAATGGTATTTTAATACATACATAATGGTCCAATGTTGGCTGCCCGTACCAAACTTTAGCATGGACTTGTTTTCCATGTCCTTTGAACATCCTGTTTCAAAACACTGCCATTATCTAACATCAGGACATGCAATCCTATCAAGACTATTTTTAACTGCCCATCCAGCGGTCCTATTAAAAGACGCAGCCTTCAGGAAGCTAGAGTCCAATTCACTGCTTGTCTTTTTCCTCTGTCTTGTACTTTGTTGATGCAGTACATCTCAGAAAATTGATCCTAAGGGTTCTTTTGGTTGTGAGAGACAATCAAAGTTATTCTCTCTTCCCAAAAACAGAGCGAATATGTTTTTGGGACAACAGCCACATCAGAGCAGCTTGTGCTCACCACTTCACTCAGGACTCCTTAGAAAACAAAGGCCAGTACAGGCTGGATTTGAAACTTCCCCATTGATAGAGACCTTCCCTGAAGGCTTGGAGCCACAAACTGTAAGCAACACTAACAGCAGCTACTGTAACAACAGTGAAAGTACGTTGACATGGCTGAACTGGGAGCCAAGCGGACGCTAAAGGTCAGCCTCAGACATTTTCTGTAAAGGCAGAATTTTCAGGCTGCAGAAAAAACAAAGTGTTTCATGCAGCTGCTGAATAGTGCTGAGGTAACGGTTTTAACAGACGCTGGTGTGAGAAGTTGATCTGTTAATCATGTAAAGCTGCTCTCTGTAGGTGTCTCCAGCTGGAACAATAAAAGGGAAAGTGAGTATAATAGGTTCTCTTTTAATCACCTAAAGTGATGTTACACAACGCACCAGTGGTCCTAATGGATGATATCTGAGGGCAACAGTAGCTTAGGAGATGGATCAGTCATCTAACAACTCAAAGGTTGGCGGGTCGATTCCCTCCTACCCCTAGTCTGTCTCTTGTGTCCTTGGGCAAGTCACTTAACCCACCTTGCTCCCAGTGTGTGTGTCCTGATTTGTATGTACATCACTTTGGATAAAAGCGTCTGCTAGATGATATTGTATTCTGAGAATACCACTTTGATTTTGATCCTTGCTTTCTTAGCTGTTTTTCAGATCTGTTAGGATATAGTGGCTTTTTCATGGTGGTGCTGTAGAGTACACCTTTAAGTCCTGCATTTATGCACTCCCAGAATCTCTTTATACAAACTGTAATAAAATACAAAGTGTTTTAAACAAAAAAAACTCAGTGTACCTGGGGTGATGATGATGGAGTTTGCTTCTTTGATTATTTCAATGGTCTGATCCACATTGACCTCAGTGTGTGTGCCAACTATCTCCATGGGTTTACCGCCTGCTGTGGAGGTGGTGCCATACCCACCCAGGATCACATTAGGCAGGGAGCGGTTCATAGCCTCAGAAGAGAAGACAAGAGTTAATTGTGGCGATTAAACTGTCGAACATTTTTCTTCACCCTGCTGTGTTTTAGCAGACCTGGGATGAGCTCAAGTCTACATTTTCTTTGAGAGTTAGGCTGAGCAGAAAAAATCAAAATAAACTTAAGTGCATGTTCGCATATGTGTGTCTACTCACCACACACATGATGTAGGAGAGGATGGCACCGGAAGAGCCGATCAGAGCTCCAACAATCGTCATGAGATTGTTGTCTAGGAGGAAGCCTTCAGCACACAGAGCCCAGCCGGAGTAACTGTTCAACACAGTGATGACCACGGGCATGTCAGCTCCTCCAATAGCTGCTGTCAGAGTTACACCCTGTGCAGAGAAGGTAAACAGAGAAATTAAACAAGTGGGGAAAATTATTTTAACGCTAACCTATTTGAGGGTATTTTAAAACTAATCATGAGATTAAGAGTAGTGTAAAATCTCCCGAGTGATGTATTTTACTTTTTAAAAATTACTTCAAAGTCACTGACAAAGGGACATTTTATGCAAAGATTTTATTCAATCTTTTTATCCTGAAATACACCTTTAAATGTTGATGAGATTCTTTAATGACAGAAGGAAATTTTTCACTAATTTTTAATAATTTAAGGTGGTTTTTAATGTGTTTTAGTTCAATGGTTGTTAGCTTAGTTATTAGCAGAAACTCACCATGATGGTGGAAAGCCCAGACACCCCCAGTAGACAGCCCATACCAGTTTCATAGCTTGAAGTGAGCATAAAAGGCACCATTCCTCCTACTGATGCAGCCATTAGACCTGCATTCATGGCATGACGTCCTGGCAACAGCAAGGGGGCTGAGTCCAGGAGGCCTGCAGAAATCATATAAATCAAACAAATGAACAAATAAGAAAGAACCAGAAATAAAACATTTCTGTCACACTAAAGGAAATAGTCTGACAGGATAAAATGTAGAAACCTATTTTTTTTCCTGAGTGTGTCTTTGGTCTACTTTGTCCACAAATCAGACAGCAGCCTTTCATCAATCACAGCCAAGCAGCCACTGTACAGCCCCATCAAATTACCAGAAATCCTCCCATGTGTTCCTTTTTCAAGTCCCACAACAATGTAAATCAGTGACTGCTGGAAAAAGCCCAGTGCAGGCCTGGATTTACAGAGGAATCTTTGGCTTTAGCGAGATGAAAGACACAATCAGCACCAGAGGACACAGAGCTCAGTGTGATTATATAGATATTACCGTGTCTGTGTCAAAGAAAGACCAGCCTTGTCAAAGTCTAAGTGTACAGCCGGCCAGCACTATGTCAGAATTCAATATCCTACGGGTATAAAGATACTATAGGTTTAAAGTAAACCATATTACCTTGTAGCTTGCCATAGGCCACCAGAGAGCCACTGAAAGTAACACCTCCGATGTAGGTGCCCAGATACGCCACAGTCTTGAGTACACCAGCGGCTGGGTGAGTTTCCAAGTGGGGGTACTCAATCATGTATTCAGCCACGCAGGTGAGAACAGCTGCCAGCCCCACAAGGCTGTGGAAGGCTGCCACGAGCTGCGGCAAGTCTGTGATTTCAATACGCTTGGCAATGGTCAGACCTGAGGGCGAAAAAAAAAGGGGAAAAAAGACAGATCAGTAAATCTTAATGTGTTACTCAAGTCAGTCTGATTGAGCCGAGGCCAGACACTAAACTTCTCATGCACACTGGATATGTTTGAACTCAAAAAGTGAAAATATTAAGTTAGAGGAAAAATGGTTTTAAGGCTAACACATGTTTTCAGTAACTTCACTCTTAACAAACGGCACTGATCTTCAAAGGCAGACTAATGACTCCTAAGTTTAGTATTGTACGGGCTTTTTTTGAAAACATAGGGTCCCTAATTTAACACTGAGTGAAACCTCATGCTCTGCTGCCTGTGCGTGCGTGTGTACGTAGATTGGAACACCATTCATCATTCTGCTTTTCTACATGGCTGTTAACATGTAGAGCATTCACATATGATGATGAAACCCACCCATCTTTCCGTCTGGACAGCATGATTGATGCTCTGTTAGGAATTAGCAAAAACTTCACACTCTTCAAAGACCGCAGGAGTTGCACGCAAAGCCAATAACGTGCAAATTATTCACGGTGGGCTTGTTGTTTTCTAAACAACCTGTTGGGCTTCAAAACGAGTCATTCTTGAGCTTTATATTTTTGGTTTCTGGCTCTCAGAGTTGTTTTGCTGATTTTTAATGCCCAAACAAAACACAGCAAGCTTTTTGTGAGCTTTCAGGAGTGAATAACAACAAGACCTGTCTTAAGTTTGGATAAGAATGTTCTGCACTGACCAATCAGATACCAAAGTTTAAATTTGAGCAGTCTGACAACAAAATCATCTGTATCCAACTTTAGATCCACTGATAGTAGGAGTTCCTCTTACCCAGGGTTCCACCAGTAGCCATGGCCAGAGACATCTGAGACAGCAGCTCTGGAGAGGGTTTGAGAGCACCGAGTGTGGCGGCGATGCCCCCTGCGACTCCCATCATACCCAGGGCATTCCCCAAACGACTTGTCCCCTGAGCAGAGAGGCCTGCCAGCGCCCCGACACAGCACAGACCAGAACCCAGGTACATCATCTGAGGTATTAAACACAAGTCAGAGGGTTATAGTCTCAGATAAGTCTACTTTGATCTGATCAGTAGGAGAAAAAATCCATAAAACTAATTTAAAAAGATGTGATGTAAAACCCGATCAAAGACGAGTTGTGGAGGTAACACAGGTTTGGATACAGGTTGCCAATATTCATGAAATCCAAGAAGAAGGAGCAGAAATGAAAGGAAAAAGATATTAAAGCGATCAGGATGTGCTTTGATAGTGTTTCAGGCCAGGGTGCTGGTTTAGCTCAGCTGGAAGAGCAGGCGCCCCATGAACGGAGGCCATAATCCTTGTTGAACTGGTATTAGGATCAATTCCCGGTCCTGGCAGAATTTTGTGTGTGTCCTCCCCCGCTCTCTCTCCCCATATTTCCTGTTTCCCTTATAAACTGTCTCGTTCAATTAAAGGCTACAAAGCCCCCAAAGTGGCTTAAAAATACTTTTAAGCCAGTCTTTGGTTCAGTGATTCTCAAGAAATGTAAGATCTTTGGAATTTTGACCATTGTTCACAACAAACAATCTCAAGGACTCTGGGAAAGTTTTGGTTAAGATGTTCCGGTGTTTTCTGACAGACTTCGGTCTACCATAACAATGCAGCACTGATACGGAAGAAATAAGCGTACAGAGGATGTGACAGAATCAGATCCTGTCATCGTGAGAGCTACAGTCAAACAACTGCTCATCTTAAAGCTACTCATATACATATAAGGAAAATGATAAGACGTTTACCTGCTCAATGTTATATCCCGCAGCCAATGACGCTCCATAACCCCCTACAAATGCAGCGCCAGGAAGAGCGTACAAGTAGTTGTACTCAGGAGGGTCAGTGGGGCGCTTGAACATGTCCAACATCCTCTGAGTGATCAGGAAACCACCTACAGACATGCAGACATGCAAAAAAAGATGTTTTTATTTTATCCATATAGTCATCAGTGTTCTGAAATATTTTACTCATTGTCTTAAAATGTTGATAGTCTGACCGGCAATGTTGATGGAGGAAACGAAGGCAGCCGCAAGAGCGAGAGTCTCAGGCAGGCTGGAGGGTGTGAGGCCGCCACCCATCAGCACCAGACCACCGACCGCTGTCAGACCTGACGGAGAGGGCAAAGAGTGTGTTAAAAATCTATAAAAGGATGCGAGATTACAAATCAAATACACTCAACTATACCTGAGATGGCGTTGGTGACAGACATGAGAGGTGAGTGCAGAGCCGGGGTCACGCCCCATACAGTGTGATATCCCACGATCCCTGCCAAGCCAAAGGTGGTGACCATCTGAGTGAAGGCTGCGTTGGGGGAGATGATGCCCAGAGCTAGACAGGTGGACACTCCTACAGAGACACAGAGCAGATCAGTGTTGTTGTTGAAGTTCTGACATGATCCGTGTTGTTTGTTGTCTTGTTGTGGTGGAAGAGAAATGTGCAGCTTGCCGTTTGTTTTGCTTGTGCAATTATTCCATTGCATCAATGGTTGGAAAATAAATGGAAAAAGTCACACTTTTAAATTTATATAACAGGTTACACAAGTATCATGACTCAGAGTTTCTCTAAAACTTACTTGACTGACAAACCGATCCCCCCTGTTCTTAATTACATCTGAGTATCTCTGCTCTGAGGTCTAATTAAAACCTGTTTGTTTTGGAGCTCGAAGTAGAAAAAGGTTGACTTAAAAAAAAAAAAACAGGAAAAACTTTCCTATCATTTTTCCTAAACAGGGGACCCAATTAAATTAACAATCAAATGAAATATTTTCTTGATTCATTGATTTAAACTGGAAAAAAAAACATGAAAAGTCTCCATCAAAATATTCCACTGGTGTCCTACTCAAGTATTGGAGGAGTCTCTTTTGTGGTATTGATAAACCAAACCTGAGGATAGTTGGTTTCCTGGAGTCATACACACCTATTTTCAAAATATTCAGCAATTTTGCTAAGAAATGACATTAAACGGTAACTTAATCATTAATAAAGCTGCAGTTATTTTCTTAGTCTATCCACTTACTGTCTCAGCCCTGTTTTGAGCTGCTTAATACAGTGTAGCTGATCTTTACAATCAGATTAAATCAAGCATTTGTGCAACTTGAGCCAAACATAACTCAAGAAATTCAATTTGCTTAAAGTTTCCGTTTGGTTTATTGTACAATTGCAGTTAAATTTGGGGGGTTTGTCTGATCAGAAGAGTCTGTTGGAAATAAAAGAGCACATCTGAAAAATCCTTGTTAAATAACCTTACAGCACATTCAATTTTGACTCCTCGTCAACAGAAAACTTCCTCCTGGGTGTGTAAATTAATGTCTGACCTGCAGTGTAGACCCCCGCAGAGGTCATGGTGCGTTTGAAGGGAGAGATCACAGCAGCTTTCTCAGCATCCAACTCTGCCACTGATTTCTGTTTCACTGGGGCTGGGGGGGCTGTTTTGGGGAGGGGGGACGGGAACATGTTCTTGCCGTCCTGGACACATCAAAAACAGACATGTGGAACCGTGTGAGAACTCAGAGGACATCCAGAGTTTTGCGTGAGAAACAGAAATCAAAACTTTGGAGTCGATCATTGTGGGAGATCTCGCCTGGCTGGTTTGGAGCTCTCAGAATACAAACTCATCGACCACAAAGGAGATTATGCTGAACAAACAGCAATCACAAACCAGTTACCAGTGGTTCTGAAAGGGAAATTCTCTTCTAAGGGGGCCTGAATAATGCTTAGTTTAACAAGGGGTAAACTGATATGTTCAATTGAGGTTGCATGCTTTCTCTGTCATAAACAATGTGTCAAAGCCAACATTCCTGGAAAAGTATATTTTGAAACGTTCACTGCATTCTTGCAGAGATCCAACATGAGCCTTTCCCAGCCGGGACTGGGATTTTAGTGCTCATTTGGCACAGTATCGTAGCATGACAGGATCTGATAGCTCATGCCGAGAGGGGGAGATCAATGCCAGCAGATGCTGAGGCTGCCAGCGGACAGTTACAGCGAATAAAATCCTACCTTCATAACCAGAGTCCCACGGATGACATGGTCAAGAGTTCCATAGTCAAATTCCTCTGTGGGCTCATAGTGGAAGTATTCCTTATCAGGGCTGATGCCTTTCAGCAGCTTCAGGATGTTGTTGGAATACAAAGCGCTGGCCTGGGTGGCCATGCGGCTCGGAAGGTCTGTGTAGCCAACGTGTGTTACTCCCTGGTGGTTGAATAGAAGTACAAAAGCGGTCAATTTTACATTATTATCAGAAGGGAACAAATCTGGCTTCAAAGAGGTCCAAACAGACACCTAACCTTGTGAACATAGAGTTCCCCGGGTTTGGTGGTCTCAATGTTGCCTCCTGCCTCTGCAGCCAGGTCCACCACGACAGAGCCGTCCTTCATGGACTCCACAAACTCCTTTTTGATCAGAATAGGGGCTCGCTTCCCTGCAATAAAACAAGATGAGCGAGATGAAGAGGACCAGGTGGTATTAAAAAAATATATTATTACCATGAGGTGAAAGAAACAATTAAGTCAGAAGATGTTTCATTAATAAAGCTGAATAAATCAACTTATTTCGAACCGTAACAAGCATCAGAACACGTGTATGAGATGTTATGGCTGATGAGCACCTGCATTTAACAGACAAATAGCGTTTATCACTGAGCTAGTGGACACTTTAAAAGGTAAGAAAAGAAAAAGAGGCAGATGAATATTCTAATAAAAAGAGAGTCGCCATTTTCATATTCAATAATTAATAATAAAAAAACACTTAAAAAGGTTTGAGTATAACTGACCAGGGATCAGAGCAGTGCTGATAAGAATGTCGACCTCTTTACACTGCTTAGCAAAAAGAGCCATCTCAGCCTCGATGAACTCCTTCGACATCTCTTTGGCGTAACCTCCAACCCCCTCCCCGGACTCCTGGACTTCCACCTCTAAAGGCTCTGCTCCAAATGACTTAAACTGCTCCAGTGCTGCCGGCCTGAGAGACAAAAAAAACAAACGAGTTATCACCAAAGTCATGACAACTATAATCACTTTGTTTGTGACTGTCTTTGAACTCTTATACCTGGTGTCAAACCCTCTGACTATGGCTCCCATTGACTTTGCTGCTCCTGCTGCTGCCAAACCAGCGACTCCACCTCCAATTACCAGAACCTGTGGACAACAGAAAAAAATAGCTATGGCACATTTTGATTATCTCTTAAGAGGTGCAGCGAAAAGAAAGATTGTAGGAAGAGGTTATATAATCACACATGTTGACAGTTACCTTAGCAGGAGGTACTTTTCCTGCAGCTGTGATCTGACCAGTGAAGAACCTGCCAAAGTGGTTGGCAGCCAGAACCACAGCCTTGTACCTATAAAGTAGGATATGTATTGATGTGACGTTCACTTTAAATATACAGTCCTGAACAGCTACAAAGATATACATGGGTGAATGTGTACTTTTCCTCACCCAGCGATGTTTGCCATGGAGCTGAGTGCATCATAGCCTTGTGCAATGGTGACTCGGGGCACCTGGTCCATGGCCAACACAGTGCTCTCCCTCTCTGACAGCTTCTGCATCAGCTCTGGGTTCTGTGCCGGGTAGATAAAGCTCACCAGGGTGGACTTTGGCTTGAGGAGGTCTGCTTCACTCAGGCTGGGGGCTCGAACCTGCAGCAGAAACAAGAGCCCAGAAATGTTTTGACTTGAATAAACTGAACACAGGATGATCTTATTAGACGACCAAATGAGAGATGTGTTCAAACCTTGAGGACCAAATCTGAGCCGAGCGCTCCCTGGACGTCAGTGATTGTGGCTCCAGCATCTTTGTACTGCTGATCAGAGAACTTGGACTCCTCTCCGGCTCCACTCTCCACCTGCACACTGAAGCCCTGTTTGACCAGCGCCTGCACCCCAGCAGGAGATAACGCCACACGGCGCTCATTTTGTACAGTCTCTTTAGGAACGCCAACCACGAGGTCTTTGTAGAGCACACCTGAACATACAAACCAGAGAAAGTTGAGTCTGTTGTACACAAGTTCTGGGACTCAGGTCTTTCCTGGCAAAGAGACACTTTCTGATTAATTTGGGGACATTTCATGCTGAATAATCAAGATCAGTCTTGATATAAAACAGAAGGAATTGTGTCTGTTTATCTTTTACGGCAACAACGCAGGGAAACATGCGTATACGGTGGAGAGTGAGTGGCTGGGAACAGTGTCAGATTACACATTTCTCTCCATACACGGCGTGGTGACCTCGCCACCATGGAGACATTATTAGCAGGTGATTGGACCTGAGCCAGCACACACAGAGAGGCCTACACTCCCACATCGCCATGTTCAGAATCCAAACTTAAAAAGCACTCAGTATCTCTCAGACCTTTCACAAACAGTCAGTTCTATATGTCCAGAGAGTAACACTGACTCCCCAAACAAACATCTGTGGACAGAATCTGCCAGGCAGCAGTAAAACTTTCACATGTCACCTTTAACTGACCTCTTTAGCAGCAGCTCCTCCAGCTAAGTGAGCAAAGCCACTGCCTGCTTCACTACCAGCTTTCCCTATTTAGGGAAGATCTCTAGCAACCTTAAGCAAAACAGTTCATGGTCTGTGTGGGGTTTTCCACTCTTCTGGCCAGGAGGAGCGTGTCCTTGAGTGAACTCTTATTCTTCAAATCAAACACAGAGGAAATCCAAAGCAAAAGAAAGCACGCAGACCCCGGCTTGACTTCTGAGAAAAATCATGTAAGGTTGAGCTGAGAGATTTTAACAGATCTGGACATATCCTACCTCTGGAGGCCTTTTGGTCCCATAACGCAGGGAAAGTCCTAAAATTCCTCCTTCCAGGTAACTTCTGACGGGCCCCTCGCTGAAACAATACCAAAGAAGAGCTGGAGACACAGCGCAGGAGGGTCGACATGGCTGCTGCTGCTGCTGCTGAGTGTCCGCCCCAAGACTCCCTCTGGCTCTTTAATATTAACACAAACAAGCAGAGGTAGATAAGGAGTTAACACTACTTCTGCATCTGCTGTCAAATAAGAAAAGTCATTCTAATCCCCCCTAAAGTTAAATCCTGAGCCCCTACACTCAGGCTGTCTGTGCTGCGAGGCCTACAGACAGCAGAGTGACATTTCAGCCTCCCAGGACACACACAGGGTTGATTACACACTTCAGGCTTGTCCGCGAGATCTGAAATTGTGACGGCACAGGGAGGGTATCTGTGCCAAGTCTGGCCTGGTTGTTGTGGGCATGAGCAGAGAGAGGTAGGAAGACAAATCAGTGTTGAGATAACATGTGGTCAAGCTCAGGATCAAACACTGATGCACACTTTCTCACACAATGTACAAAATTGGTTGTTTTAAAGTACAAGTCTTTCATAAAACACACAACTTTATATCTTAAAAGCAAGAAAGTATGAACAGTTTAACTTCTCTGTTTTAGTGTTTTCAGTTTAGGATCTCAAGTTCTTAAGTTCTAGGCCTGTTTTTACACTTAATCACCTCCCAAATGAGAGTGGGGTGCCATCAATCAGTGCCAATCATTCTCCAACTTTTACTGATTAAGTCATTGATAAAGTCGTTGATTTTCTGAGCAAACTATTCTCAGACTTGCCTCTCAGGTTTTCCAGAAAGAGCAGGTAAAGCAGCTCAGCTTTCACTTAAGCAGCAGGGTCACCTGTAAGTGAGGCCTTCTACCCAAAAGTCCCTCGTGTGCTCGCAGGGACACACAAACGACCTTCCGCAGTTTCGATATCACTGCTGCACTATTTATGTATAAATAGCAAACCATGTGACTCCACTCATGACCAACTCTCAATGAGATAAACTCACTACTGCCGCTACCTACAACTCTGAGGGACTGTCGACGGATTTAGGGATAGATAAACAGTATTTTTAGAAAAGTGACAGATTATATATTAGTCAATCTAAGAAAAAAGTTGGCACTGGTGGTCGGTGTCACGAGACAAACCTTGGCTTTCCATGCAGCTCAAAGAAAATAAAAATGGATCAAACATACTAGTGCGTCCAAAATAAGCGAAAATACTACTATTTCGAATGGTGGTTCACGTTTTTGCTCTACTGTATTTTCTTTTCTGTACACAAGGTGACGCCAAAGCGCCAAAGAAGTAGGAACTTTTTGTTGGACAACCATAACTTTTACTCTTTTTTTTTTTTAACCTCTTGATTAAATTTAGACGCGTCAGTTCAAAATTAACAATTGTTTTGCATTGAATTTCTGTTTTCTGTTATTTTAACACCTAAAATTTTTAATATCTTTATCACGTTGCTCTGGGCAGAATTTCTGGATACTTGACTGTATTTGTAAAACAAAACGAAACAAAAAAATCTATCTAATCTGCTCTACAATCTAATTTTCAACTCTAAATCCTAAAGGGTTGGGACCATAGACTGTATATATTATATATTGTCTACTGGATATTATATGTGTATTCTATATACAGTCTATGGTTGGAATGTTTGGTAAAAGTTCAATAAAGCTTAATTTGATAGTATCCAAATAATTTCAACCCTATTTTGTGAAATGTTCTGGAGATAAAAAAATTGAAAGAAGAAGAAATTTAATTGTTTTGTTATTTTCATGATACAGTTTAACCTGCATTTGTAGATGCAGCAACAAACTATGACAGTGACTTTTTTATTTTTATTTATTTGTTTGTTTTCTGTTCGTATTTTTGACACCATGCAGTTACTTCCACTAAAGAGTCTTGTATGTTTTTAATGCAGCACATCATAATGGCCTGGTGATCACAGCCATCTAGTACTAGTTCTGGGCCCTGACTCTTTTGTAAAGTGATTTCTCCAAATTCCCAGATTTTTTGTGATATAATGTAGATTTCAGATGATAAAGTCCTAGAATGCTTTGCAGTTCAACACTGGGGTTTATTTTTCACTATTTCTTCCACAAAAGATTGAACCTTCTGTTTTATTTCCAAGACTCTTAACCTCTCTAGGATGCTCTTTCTATACAAAGTCATGTTACTATCCTACTGCAAATTAAATTAAATAATTGAGAAATGTTTCCCTTATCTGTTTTGAAATGTGTTGCTGGCATTAAAGTAAAAATTAGCACTTATTTTTCATCCATAAGATTTTTCAACTTCACCAATATATAGGTTTTGCTGTCTTTTGCAGCATTTTAGATTAAATATATGACAGACTTTAAATCTTTTGTAAACCTTCAAAATTTGTTTTTGTTTTTAATCAACAGTTTTCACAGCATCCCAACTCTGATGGGATTGGGGTTGTTTGATCAAATTTGATAAAGTCACTAAGCTTCTTTAAAATTAAAAATAAGAAAGTGACTGGAAGGATTACACTATAGACTGATTTTTATATACAGTCGATGTATTACGCTTTGAGTGAAATGACGATACAAATTAACAAAAATATATTTGTGCAAAATTTGACTGGATGACGATTGCCAATACAAACTTTGCCCATAACAGAAACAGAAACCAAAAACCTAGTTATTAAACCCATATTGTACCTTTAAAATACACCATGTTACCTTGGTTTTCGTAGCGGAAACAAACTCCTCTCACACAGGAATAGTTTTGGTTGGCCATCCGCTCCTAGCGCCATGTGGGATTTTGTAAACATTGGACGCTGTTCTCCTTTAACACCGCTGTAACTGGTACCATTAAAACCACCGTCCGCTATTCTTGTGATACCCGCTGTATAACGATGTAACATTCGTTGTTTTAAAGCACTTATGCTGTGAAGTTGTAGCCAGTTTACGTTAGCATGTAGCTACCTTAAACAAGTAGCATGTAGCCTAGCTGGAGTTCGCAGTGGATCAAAACAACTGTCACTGTCTTTACTACATATTTTTGACTGAATTCAGCTGCTGATGAAGAATTAACGCCACGTGTTTTCGCTGTGTGCTAAGAGTGGAGGATGTCTGTGAGGCTGCTGTCAGTAGATGTGTCAGATCGGGGCTCTCAGAGATGCAGACTCGGTCCAGGTTTGATGTCCTCGCTGGGTCTGAGTCTGGGCTCCCCTCTGCTGGTGTGTCTTCCAGGGGGAAGCTGCCTGTGCACGGCTTGGCCCAGATCTGACCTGGCTGAGGGTTTCCTGCAGATGGACATAAAATGTGCCTCTCCAAATCTGATCTCTCATCCACCCACACATCTGAACCTGGAGCCCTCCCAGCTCTCACCTGTACCCTGCCCTAAACTGAGAGGTGTCAAGATAACTGTGGTGGTCCAGAGTGGGGAGTTTAGAAAACACACACCTTCTCGACTCATTTATGAGCTTGTGAAAGACATGCTGAAAGGTGTGTATGTCTATGAGAAGCATGTGATAAATCTGGAAGACTTTGACACAGAGATCAGATATATTATTGTTGAGAGCATCAACCCGGATTCTGCTAGTGCCGGATTAATCACCTCAAAAACTGCTGTGGAGATAGCTGGCATCCAGACAGTAAGACACTACAGGAGTCTGCTGCAAGGCCAGGACACAGTCCCACTCGGGGGTCTGGAGGAGGTCAGTAGTATATCAAAGTTGTCCATGAGAAAAGAGAGTGTATATCTCAATTTTGTGGTTTGTTTCATTGCTGTATTTCAGGTGAGTGCATCCCTTAAAGAGATGCTGCAGCTGCCCTTGCTCTATCCAGGCACGTTGAGCTCTCTTGGTTTGTCATGTCCCAGAGGTGTGCTGTTGGTGGGACCTCCAGGGGTGGGCAAGACCTTGCTGGTCCGGAGAGTGGTTGGGGAGGTGGGAGCCAGCCTGGTGGTGGTACAAGGGCCTGAGGTAAAAACACGAAACAAAATATTACAATGTATTACTACTATCCTGCTGTATTTCCTAACATATATTTAAAGGGATATTCCAGTGTAAAATTAATTTAGGGTCAAACACACCGTCACACCGAGTTAGATACCCCCCAAGAGATGAATGTTGCCGAACGCTCGCTTCTCCAGTTATGCCAACTTCAGTAATGACCGCACGATAGCAATAAGTAGAGCCACGCAATCAACCAAAAAGCCACTCTATAGCCACAAATAATGCTCAGAACAGCACCTAACTTCATCAACAGTACATATAGGGTCCCAGCCATAGTACTAGCCACCAAACATCTTTTTAGCTTTGCCTGATTTCTTTAGCAAAGAGACTAAACACAATACTCACCGTCTCTCTTCCAGCAGCCACATGTTTGTACGGAGACCTTCGGGCGAGTCCATCGAGAACATTTATGATCATTAAGTTATGGAAATGCAATCAGACCGAGGCGCTAATGCAGAAGAACTACCGCATCTGCAGTGCAAAATAATTAATATGGTGATTATTACTTCAAGGAAATGATAAAGTAATGATCATAAATGTTCTTCCTTGAGCTGCGTCACCCCACTGCAGTCAATGGACTGGCCCGAAGGTCTCCGTACAAACATGTGGCTGCTGGAAGAGAGACGGTGAGTTGTGTTTAGTCTCTTTGTTAAAGAAATTAGGCAAAGTTAAAAAGATGTTTGGTGGCTAGTACTATGGCTGGGACCCTATATGTACTGTTGATGAAGTTAGGTGCTGTTCTGAGCATTATTTATGGTCATAGAGTGGCATTTTGGTTGATTGCGTGGCTCTCTGTATTTCTATCATGTGCTCATTACTAAAGTTGGTATAACTAGAGATGCAAGCGGTCGGCAACATTCACCTCTCCAGTGGGTGTCTATCTTGGTGTTACGGTGTGTCTGACCCTAACTTAATTTTACACCGGAATATCCCTGTAAGCCCCTTTTGACTCATTTGCTTGTGTGGCATTTTTATGTAAAAAATTTTTAATGGTATTTGTAAATTTTTGTTTCAGGTGGTGGGATCGCGACCGGGTGAGAGTGAGGAAAAGTTGCGGTCTGTATTTGAGAGTGCTCGATCAGCAGCTGAAGAAGGTCCATGTGTGCTCTTCTTGGATGAGTTAGACTCTCTGTGTCCAAGGAGAATTGCATCATCGGCACCAGAAAACCGCCTTGTGGCTCAGCTTCTCACACTGATGGACGGGATGAATCAGTCCGATAGATTCCTCATCATTGGAGCCACGAACCGACCAGACAGCTTGGACCCTGCACTGCGCAGGCCTGGGAGATTTGACAGAGAGGTGCAGATGATAAAACATGTCCCACTGTGTGATAATAGATGTAAATAAATCTTTGAGGAGGATCTTTATTCTACCTTTTACCTTCAGGTTATCATTGGAGCTCCCACAATGCAGCAGAGGAAAGACATCTTGTCTGTTTTGTGTGCGAAGATTCCAGTGTGTCCCAGTGTGGACATGATAGATCTTGCATTGAGGACAGTAGGCTACGTGGGAGCAGACCTCAGCGCTCTGTGCAGGGAAGCAACTATGCATGCTATACGAGAGTACTCAAAGGTAAATAGAGTTAATCTTTTTTCAGTGAAGAGCATTATTATCATGTTTTTTTTGTTTGTTTGTTTGGTTTTTTTGCACCATACATGAGTAAGTGGTTTGAAGCTACATGTTAACTTTATTGGTTATACTAGTAAAAAAAAAAGAAATTGAATTGAACATAAATTAAAACCAAGTGTAAGAACTGACTTAATCACTCTCATGTGATCAAAAAAAACAATAAATGATTATTTTCATTTTGTCCTGTTGTTGCTGTTCTGCAGGGTTCAGGAGAGCAGGCTGTGGGTTTGAAGCACTTCCAGGAGGCTCTAAAGTCAGTGCGTCCCTCTTGCTTGAGGAGCAGCCTGGGAAGGACAGATTTATCTCCAATTTCTTGGGAGCAGATTGGAGGACTAGAAGAAGTCAAGCTCAAATTGAGACAGGTACACAGCAGAGGGCTTAAGCAAAAGAAATCAAGAGATTGATCACTTGAGTGTTGACTCATGAAATAGTATCTCTGATTATGATGGTTATATATTCTATTTTCTCTTGTGTCTGAACATTTTAGAGTATTGAGTGGCCGATGAGATACCCTGAGGCGTTTGTGCGTCTGGGCCTGAGCCGGCCTCGTGGCGTGCTGCTCTATGGACCTCCAGGATGTGCAAAGACCACACTTGTCAGGGCTGCAGCCACTTCATCTCACTGTGCCTTCCTGTCTGTCAGCGGTGCTGACCTCTACTCTCCCTTTGTTGGAGACTCAGAGAAAGCTTTAGCACAGGTATTTTCTTCCTACTGCTTGTAGTAACTCCATTGAATCTCAGCTGTGATTGTGTCCTCCTGTCTGTGTCATTCATGAACACCTACATTTATTTGTACGTGTTTAGCTGTTTCGGCAGGCCCGCGCCTGCGCTCCCTGTATCCTGTTCCTTGATGAGATCGACTCTCTGATTGGTTCACGGTCAAACAGTCAGACAGCTCATGGCGTACAGACCCGCCTGCTGTCTGTGCTCCTGAATGAGATGGATGGAGTCGGCTTGAAGACACTGGAGAGGAGAGGGACAGAGAAGATCCTTCAGGTGGAGGGGGCGGATGAGAATTGTAAACAGGAAGAGGTCAGGCTTTAAGTCCTCTTATTGTTGCTCATAAAGCCCTCTGACCGGTTCTATGGGGTTCAATCCTTTTTAATTTTTTTGACAGGTGGACTGCCAGGAAGTGTGCAACAAGGATGTGATGGTTATAGCTGCAACAAATAGACCTGACTGTTTAGACAGCGCCCTCCTCAGACCCGGCAGGTTGGACCACATCATCTATGTCCCGCCACCTGACCAGCAGGTGAGTAATCTGTCTGAAGGTCATGAAAAATGGAGTATAACAGTTTGCAGAGGTCTTATAGCATTTTGGTCCATCAATCAGACACCATAAAATATAAGTCACCCTCTTCTTGCTTGAGCTCCTGCAGTATGAGAGCATTTTTTTTAATATTGACATCTTTAAAAACAAAGTCACATGCCTAACCTTTAATCTTCATTGTTTACGTGTCTCTCTGCATGTTCAGGCTCGTCTTTGCATCCTGAAGCTGCGCACAAACTCAATGCCTCTAGGCGCTGATGTGTGCCTAGAGGAGCTGGCAGCGAAGACCGAGCTTTACTCTGGAGCTGACCTGGAGAATCTGTGTAAAGAGGTAAACAAGAGAACACGCACACACAAAAACACAAACAAAAGCCTGATTTTCCTGCAGCTTGAGTATCAAATATGAAATATAATGTTGTCATGAGTGTTAATCAAGATATCTACACCAAGTTCCTAAATACCTAAAAGTGTTTTTGTTTTCCAGGCTGCTCTGTTGGCACTTGAAGAGGAGAACATGGAGGCATCTGACATCAAACACACATACTTCCTCCGATCCCTCGATAAAATGACTCCCTCTCTCACTTCCCAGCAAATCCTGACGTATCAAAAAAACCCAAGATGACAAAGCAGATATGATAATTCCCTCTGCATTGACATTTTGTACAATTTTGCAGATACTGTTTTGAAATAAAATCATTAAAACTGCATTCCTGTTGTCTTTTACTTGTTTATGTGTCATGAATCATCTTCAAATTATTTGTTTTTTTGCGATCTGCAAGCCAAACTGAAAATATTTACCCTTACTTTCATTCTCAAATGTGGCCACAGGAGGGTGCTGGTCACCCAGAAAAAAGTATTGATCATCAGGAAAGTGGATCTGTTGATAAATTGACCTCCACTGGTGCTATTCAGAACAGGAAGCTTGGTCTGTCTGTCTACGTGCCTCTCACCTCGTACTACCTCTCCCATCCAGCCTACATCAGCCGGCTCACAGGATGCTGCGCAAACAGTTGTGAAGGACTCCTCGGCAACAACAGGTGAGACTTGCTTCACTGCTCCCTCTGGAACTTGTTGACTTCACTGCATGGGCTCTCAGCATCACTGAGAGAGAACATTGTCTTTTCCTCTGTAGAATTTACTGACATCAAGATGAGAGGTGGATTTTTTCAAATGTTACGGAAGAAGAAGGAGGTAAGCCACTGAAATGTGATCATTTTTTTTAGTTTTTGATTTTGTAGGATATTATTCTCTTTTAATAACGTGATGGAGATTTAGAACTCTCTTTTTACATGTATATTCCAGCTGATCCCTCTGATAGGGTTCATGGCTTTTGCTGCGACAGGAGCCACCTCTGCTTCACTTTACTTTCTGCTGACTAAACCTGACGTTATGTGAGTATCTTCAGACAAATTATAGTTTCCACTTATTTCATTATATAATGTGCTTAAAATTGCACTTGTCTGTGTGTCTTTCCCAGTTCTGCCCACTTTTTATGAAAGAAATGTTCAATATTGATGTTACATTTTATCATCTTCAGTTTGAACAAGACTAGAAACCCAGAACCATGGGAGAGAGTTGACCCATCAAAACCCCAGAAGGTAATCTCTAATAATCTCTAACGCCATTTTCATCTCATTATGTTGTTAAATACACTTAATATAGTCACATTTCTCCTTTAAACAGCTGCAATCAGCTGAGTCAACGAGGAAGTAAATATAGCATATTGACTGTAATTTAAGATGAGTGTCAAGATGGTTTTGTCACAACATGTATGGGATTATAGCTGAATGAGTAACCTGCAAATGGTAACACCTATAATGAGGTCAGGCGAAGCTCCGATTTAATGTCCATTTCTGTATTGTGCTGCAGCTCATCACCATCAATCAGAAGTGGAAACCTGTAGAGGAGCTGGAGTTGGTGAAGAGCCTCCACAAGTAAAACAGATCCACAGATCCACAGTCTGAGTTCTTTCCCACCCCACATCAGTCCAACAGAAACCTTTCCGCACAAACTAGGAAGCTTTAACACTCAGTGTGCGGAAATGCTTCTGCTCCACTGTTGGGGTTTTACTTTCTCTGAGGGGCCCGGCTCAGCATCATGATCCATCCACAACAGTAGACAGCTATGGAAACAGATATTTTGTGCTATTTGTCTCTGAGTTAAAAAGTGGTTATCTTGCTCTACGCACTTGTGATTACAGCTACAAGACAAAGACACACATCCAGTGAGCAGGTTGTGCTGTTTCATTTAGTGAAGAAGTTAGTGGTCTTAGCTTCTCAGATGCTCTCACAGTAGATGTGAATGTACAATAGTTTTAAAATGTAACATCTGCAAGTGATGATCTGTACAGTGTCAATAAATTATTATAAACATTATGTATGTGTTTCTTCTTTGCTTCTGTCTTGCTTTTCTTAAGAGTTAAAATAGTAATGTAATGATATAATCAAAGTACTTTAATGAGTTTTGAACTTTAATTCTGAGTCAACAAAATGAAAGATAATTGCAGGCTATTTTACCATATTTTTATAGATCAAAATTGAAAATTACTGTAAGTGTACATTTAAGATGGGTCCAGTGTCAGGCCAACAAAGAGCCAGCACACCAGAGGCCTTACACCATATCATTAACACACGATTGGGCTCCCTGACATGTTTCCACATTAACATGATGTTCCGGCCTACCAAAAGTGAAACTATGTCGGGAAACAATGGCTTGAAAAGTGGAGACTCACAAAAGAATTGATGATTAAACTCCATCAATCCCCAGATTCTGGGGGTTTATTTAAAGAAATAAACCCCCAGAATCTTCAAAATCAAGAGAACAAAAACAAGGGAAACAAACAGAGACTGGGGACTACAGCTAAACTGAACAAAAGATAGGAAGGTGCTGGGCCAGCTGTGCAATGGACTATTGCCCCCACCAACACCATCCCACCACCACCACCCACCCACCCCCACTAAAACCCCAAAACTAAACCAAAAAAATAAAAAACTGATGACTAGGCCATCAGAGACAGAGGAGGAAACAATTGGGTTAGAAAAGTTTGGATGATTCTGAGTGAATGCCCATGAATGATAGGCATCCTATGGGGGTCAGTTGTAATATGTTTTCATGGGGCCCAAAATCCCTGGCAGACTGGAGGTCTCCAGCTCAAACCAGTGAGTTGGTATTCATGCCCACCCAGCCTGAGGGTTTCTTGATGGATCCAATTCATGCCTTCTTGATACTGATGTTGCTATGACTGTCAGCTGTGTTCATACATAACAGGCTATAAGATGCTGTTAATGTACCAGTTAGTGGGTGTAAAATCCTTTTTTAAAGTCAGCTCATGTGTTTTAAAACTCAATGAGAAGGAGTGGTTTAGGGTTAGCTTGGCCCACCTAATTTTGTAAGTGTGTCAGTGCTGTCTCTGCCACACTAAGTTCACTGCAGGTAAAGAGAGGAGGTAGACAAATGAGCCTAGGTATCTAAGTAGTTTTATGGTTGGGTAATAAAGATGCTATGAATTATCTGTCAAATATGTGGTGATCCCTCATCACCCATTAAGTGCTTTGTTAGTACTCCTGTTGGAGTAGGTGTGTCATTAAGCTCTTTTAACCAACCTATTCATTTGATGACTGGTTAAACATGTTTGAAAATGAACGTTTTTGCTCTTCTTACTGGAAGTGAAGCTATGGCTAGCAAACAGTTAGCGTAGCATTAACTAGCAAAGATGAGGCGACCTCGGCCCCAGTATTGTGTTTTTGGGAGGTCCACAATTCACAAATTAACCAATTTTCTGAAGTAAATAGATAAATAAATGAAAAAGGATCTGATGGTATGAAGGTCACTCAAGGTCATACTCAGCTACACCAACAATCAACCGACTTAGTACAGCTAGTAAAAATATTTACTATTCTCTTAAGATGTTGGGCAGAAGTCAACTTATTTCAGTCCTTGTAAGAAAGAAAGACAGAGAACTAGTACTAAGTACTAAGACACATATGGATGCTTTGGTTTGGTCTTTTTCTGTGGATTTCAAAACTCAATAAAATATAGACCATCTGCTTTCAGGCTGTTCATATCTCATAAATTTATCATTAGATGGACCTTTAATCATTTTAAGATGCCATATTTATTTATTTTATCTACCCTTTTAACCCGGGGGAAAAAAGCTCATTAGGATTATAAATCTTTATTTCCAGAGTGTCTTGACAAAGACAGACAGTGAACCAACAATAAACAGCCATGCACAAACATGCCACAGAATACACCAGCCTACTTTAATAAAACAGGAAATAAGAGCAGCAAATGTTTGTCCAAGTACAGCCTGGTGTTACTGCGATCATGTAACAGATACTCGTGTTATTAGACCTGTTACCCATCCTCATATTTGTGGACCAAGTTGTGGTTAAACAGGTTACTTCCAATAAACAGGTAAAACCAGAATATTTAACTGACTAAACAAGGCCAAAAATCTCAAGGTCCCACATGATTCCCATCAACAGGATGATCTAATCATGTTGCTATGAAACTGGATATGTGTGTCGTTTGGAGCGTTAATCATTTGAGCAGATTCAACTGTCTTTCATTCACAAGAGAAGAAACTCCCCTGCCAGTGAAAAACACAAGCTATGATGAATAGCTACTGTCTGCCAAAAGGACATTTGGAGATCTGTGCCACATAAGTTATAAACAAAAAGGAAAAACAAACACAGTGAGGACAAGCACATTTTTATTCAAGTCAGACACTATTTATAGGATCCCAAAGGAGGTAATGCTGTGTCATTGTCCTTCATGTTTTTGTTCTTTATGTTGCACATAAGAGCAAAGTCAGGTGTGTGAATGTTGAATGCAGACATAAAAGTGATGTGATGCTGCCAGGTTAAGACAGCTGTAAAGTAATTACTACCCTCCAAACAATGTGCAAAGGCTCTCATCTGCTTAGTTTACTGCTGCAGGGCATTCAACCCACCTGTTTTATAACCGGAGACAATCCTTTTAACACCCATTTAGTGTGCCAGAAGAGAGAAAACACCAGAAAAGCCTCCCTCCCTCTATAATGTCTAACCATGGCACTTTGGCATAGACAGCTTGTGAGTCTGTTGGCCACACTGTAAATCTAAAAGGACTGCTCTTAAATTATTAAACAGTAACCAGGAAGTTTGAAAGGAAAGAAAGAGAGAAGAGGTATGGGTGTTGCTTCCTTGTCTGCGGGAGTTTTTTTTTTCTATCAAGGACACTTTTTGGTTTCACAGACATGCATGTTTAAGCATGACATGCTTAAATTCTTTCTGATTAAAAAGCCACATAAGTTATATTTGATTATGAATGATGCACAGCATAGCAGTCATTAATCATTGCATGAGAGGATGTTGATATGATGTAACGTGGATGAGCCCTGACCTGACTCCTGATAGTCAGAGGACATTTTTAGGTTGCTGTCAAGTAGTGAGTAAGTATGTTACAGTCAAGAGTTAGTTTCACTTTGAAGGCGGAATGCAAAGGCAGAGTTATTTAGGGAAACAATGACAGAAGTGGAAGGATACAGCACGTGGTGTCGGTAACTGTGTACGTGACTGTCACAGAAATCATCACACCGCAGACAAAGTAAGGCTGATGCTTCTCACATGAGATACGTGATTAAGTCCCCCATGTTTGTGTTGTTGTCAAAATAAGAAAAAGACACGTTCAGCTATTTTAATTGAGTCTGAAAAAGGGTTCAGACTCTAGTTACTATATTTTATGGTCCTCCAGGCAGAGCAGTCAGGTGGATGTTGTAAACTTCAAGCTGTGCTGAAATACAAACAGAGTAGTTGTCGCTCTTTGCATTTTTGGTTTTCTGTCAGGGCAGCTGTTGCCTGGAAACTCAGACACTCCCATTTCAGTCATTGTTTCAATTGTAAACCTTTGCTACATCAATCTTGCTATCCAGAGTGTGTGGTTTTGTGTAAATGATTTCTAACTTGATACTCTTCATACGCCCCAAATATATTCAGCCTTTTCTATTGCATGCCTATGCTGTCTGTTGTATTCTTGCCCAAATATCACAGGACTCATGAATGCCGTTTCTGCCACAAATTTATCTGCCTCTAGTTTTTGATGATCTTCAACTTGTTTCCTAAAAAAGCCCAAGCATGTAAAGATCACAATATTTGGTAAATGGGTTTGTTGCTACTCTTAATGACACAAATTCTCAGTCACTGAAGAGGTTAAAGCAGGTAAACAGGGAAGTGTAATTAAAAAAAAAAAGGCTCCCCTGTTGAAGTGCACCACCTTGTGTTGAAAAGTGGTACAGCCTACATTGGGTTTTATCTGGTCGTGACTTGATACTTCACGAAAAAAAAAAAAAAATCAGAAATAGAGGCTCCTCTAAAAAAAGGAAGTGACTCAGAAAACCAAGATTCTGACAAACATGGATGATTAAATACTTTATTATAAACAAAAACAATGATCCAGTTCCTGATTTCTCTTCATGATTAATATCAGAGGCGTGACAAAGGTTTATCCTGAACCTCCCACAGCCTCTCAACACTTGATGAAGAAACACTATAAACAACCTGGTTGGCAGATATTAACTCACAGCTCATTCTTTAAAAACACTGCAACTCTTGAAATACTGAGGCTCTCTTCAACATTCAGCATGATTACACTGTCAGTAACAGATATGGAGGAAAAGCTGAGTAAAGCGTGTGAGGTGGAAACCAAACTAAAGTCAGTTTTACTCAAAGACAGACACACTTTGATTGTCAGTTGCTGTTCGAATGACAATGAAGTCAAAGACATGCTAGAATCCAAGGTCTGTGTTAAAAGTGTGGGTATTAGAAGTGTCGGTCAGTAAAGGCCAATAAAGAATAGTTTGAGGAAGTCTAAAAGTCTGCTTGGCGACAGACTTCGGTTGAGAGAAACTACGAATTTAGTGCATTTAATGAGATGAAATGTTTACGGAAGTGACTCTCCTCATGTGAGCCAGTGGTGAGGAGGACAGCTTATATGCACCGTGACCACAGTTATTCTCGAGTGACATGAGGTACCTTTCCATTTGCTGACATTCTTAGTAAAACAACACGATCTCAGTTTACAGGCCTCAAGCTACAAACAAAAAGTAAAACTGTCATCTGATGACAAAGCACCAGTAGTGAAAAATTAAACCGTAACATATAAAAAAAAGTTACCTGTTTGAATAGGCTTTTATGGTGAATTAAGAGCATTTTTTTTTTTTTTAATTCATCTAAGCTGATACTTAAACCATTCGAACTCCACTCACAGAACTTTGCATAAGGCCCCTGAGGGCTGCAGCGACCCCTTAACGAGAAAAATGCTTCTGCTGTCTCCATCCTTACGGCACCCGTCTTTTCCACATACATTCCTGATCAAAGTTGGACCAGTTGAAAAATTGCAAGAATTTATATTTTGCAGTGTTTGATCTTCAGAAAGTTCTAAGTAGAGCCTCAAAGTGAAAAAAGAAGATATGGGAGTGAGACAAGTGTGGATACAAGTGTGGATCATGCAACAGTGCAAAATGTCTATTCTTGCAATTTCAAAACTGGTCTTAAACTTGATCAGGAGTGTATAAACAAATACTGCGGCTCCTTCTATGGCACTAAGCTGTGACAGCCGTGTGACGTCTAGTCTCTCCTTGTGCTGTGCTCTCTGACGTCTGTAGAGGTCAGTATTTGTATGAGTCTGTCTTCAGGCGCTGGGCTGCTGGCAATGTGCACAGCTGCGTACCGGCCTCTGTCTGTGAGTCTGGACCTGAACTGTGCACCTGGTGAGGCCATAGGTGTGAAGCATCAGGTGGCGGGCCTTCGCCTGGACTTCTTCCCAGTTGTTGGCACTAGAGGGTGCTGTAAACACAAGCATATGATTATCAATTAGTAGTCCTTATCATTGTAGTCCTTATCACAGCTTGCAAGAATGCCATAATGCAGTTTTGCTGCCATCACACTGTCTTTGTACTCTCATAAAGATCCCGCAAACTGGCATTTCAAAAGAATGAGAGCCACACACACACAGACACACTTTCCCACCCTGTGTGCTCTGCACGCTCAATGAGCCTGTCCCCCTGAAATGCTGCTGTTACTAATGCCAGCACACCAATAAGATGACTTGACCCCACCACCATGCCTCTGTGGCATCCACATTGCATTGCAAACTTCGGAGTTCTGGAGGAATGACTGTTTTTGTCTTTTATGAGCATATTTGGACAGACAGGAACTAATTAAACTAACTCACATTCTGTATTTGAGATTTTACTTCAGTATTTTCCATAGGGTTAGAGTTCCTGCGATGTGTTAAAAGTATGTACCCAATACTCTGAGCACATTTTTTAATGAATACTTCCTAATTTTAAGTAGATTAACAAACAGGTAGTTGCATATAATTTCTTGGAGTAAAATATTTTTGTTCTTTTTTCACCTCTGGTCTTCAGATAATTAAAAAGAGAAAGTGAAACCAAAGTTAAAATAAACACCAGTAACAATTTTTACATCTGCTGTGACACTGCTGTTGGTGGAGTTTCATCTGTAGAGCTGATGAAACAGCTCCCTCTAGTGAGGAGTGAGGGTCTGGTGCCTGAGAAACATAACTTGAAGTGAAACAGGGCTCACAGTCTCACCTCAGAAACAGCTGTAAGCACTGAAGGCAAAAAAATAGAACATTTTTTACAACATTTCTAACATTTCTGAAGTGAGGGTTTCTCTTTCGGACTGTGTGAACTCAAACCGGATCATTTAGGCTTTTGTTATGAATCTGCAAATTCAGCACTAACAGAATCAGTTTTCAAACAAGATTGCAAGATTGTAAGGCAAGAGTATAGCTGCATGAGAAAGTTATAAAAATATAAGTGAAATAACTTAGGCACATCATACTATGATTAGAAGGAATGATAAACTGCTACTTTATCATTTTTAACTCAACTGAAAAAATTTGTAGCCCGGTGAATATATTTTTTGTCAAGGCCCCAATATGAACACCTCAGTACTTCAAGTTGCTTTGTCAAATATTATTCCCTTTTCAAAAGAAGTTGCAGCTTCTGCCGTTTGGATGTTTTCACTTTGCCCCCTGTAACTTTTTCCATCTTTACCAATTTAATTAAATTTTTGCTGTTCTAGATAAAAGCAAAGGAAACAAGTGGATCTATTGTTTTCCACATTGAACTTTGCTGTGAATGGATGTAGACACAAGAGTAACTGTTCTGCTCTGACAGATTACTGGCATTTGGGCTATCAGCAAATAAACACTTAAACCTACTGAATCAAGAGGCAGCTTAGCCAGAACAGCAGGATAGATTTGTCTAAGACTATGAAAAAAGGATAAAAGACAGACAGCCTTGGAGACACTTTCTTACTGTGATGGTCTAAAGACATGAATGGCCAATTTTTACTAATTTAATTATACACTCCTTCTATGCCTCTAAATTTCATGTTTAAATCTTAAGGTGAGTAGATATTAAGAGGAAACTCACTGAGCTGAAGGTGAACTAAAGCTGCCGTCTTATCAGCCGTCAGCGCCCAAACGTTCAGCTCATCCACCGATTGGACGTCCTCCAGCTTCAGAAGATCTTCTCTGATTTGCAGAGTGTCCAGATGTCTGGGAACACCTAAAAAAAATCAGGATGAAAACAAAACCATAAAGCACCAAAACTGATCCGGACCACACAGTCTGACAGGACCCTGTGAGCAAAGACTCACCCTCCAGCACGATGACTATTGTGTCTCGTATGATGCGGAATGTGGTGCAGAGAACCAGAACAGAGAAGATGTAGGTGCAGATGGGATCTGCCAACTTCAGCTCCGGCTGTGAAGACAGACATAACAACACATCAACTACAAGAGCCTTTGTTTTATCTCTGAAGCACAGTTTGAGTCTGTTCTTGAAACTTAAACGCAACACTTTTATTTTTGCTCCCGTTTTTCATGAGTTGAACTCAAAGATCCAAGACTTTTTCTATGTACGCAAAAGACCTATTTCTTTCAAATGTTGTTGACAAATTTGTCAACGAACACAGTTGCATTTTACTGATGCCATTTTGAAACCACAGAGATACTGTGACGGGATCCTGGGGCCCATTGTTGTGCTATTCATCCGTGACCATCACCTTATGTTGCAGCATGATAATGCACGGCCCCATATTGCAAGGACCTGTACACAATTCCTTGAAGCTGAAAACATCCTACTTCTTGCATGGTCAGCATACACACTGGACCTGTCACCCACTGAGCATGTTTGGGATGCTCTGGATCGGCGTATACGACAGCGTGTTCCAGTTCCTGCCAATATCAAGCTACTTCGCACAGCCATTGAAGAGGAATGGACCAACATTCCACAGGCCACGATCAACAACCTGATCAGCTCTATGCCAAGGAGATGTGTTGCACTGTGTGAAGCAAATGGTGGTCACACCAGATACTGACTGGTTTTCTAATGGCCTTTTATTGTGGCCAGTCTAAGGCCAACAGGTGCAATAATCATGCTGTCTACTCACCATCTTGATAAGCCACACCTGTGAAGTGGATGGATTATCTTGGCAAAGGAGAAGTGTTCACTAACACGGGTTTCCACAAATTTGTCAACAATATTTGAGAGAAATAGGTCTTTTGTGTACATAGAAAAAAAAGTCTAAGATCTTTGAGTTCATGAAAATGGGAGCAAAAACAAAAGTGTTGCATTTTTATTTTTGTTCAGTGTAATTTGTTAAGTGTCTTTTGCATGCTCAACAATCTTGATCGTTAGAGTTAATTTAAAACCCAAGGTCTCCAGTTACAGCCAACAATCACATGGAGATGCATCCCTGCAAAATGAATGACTGAACGGTATGCAGCTAGTTATTCAACAGTATCACAGGCAAAGCTCTCAAGTGTAGGCACTGGTGAAAAGATCTGCCGATGACTCCCTCAAACAGAAATACTTTCTAAAATTAATCCTATTCATTGTTTCTCAAAAATAGTTTTAGAAACAAAATCAAAGTAAATTGTGCAAATAGATTTTAAAAAATTATCAGCAGGCATTTCTCTTTACAGAGCAGAGTACCTTGAAGCGGACAATGTAGGCGGCTATGAGCACCCCGACACTCTGCAGGAGATCTCCCAAAGCGTGGATGAAAGCGGCTCTTACAGCCAGGCTGCCATGCTGCCTCTGCTGCTGACCTGACCCGGCTGAACTGGAGGGAGCTGGAGGTCCATGTGAGTGACCGTGGCCGTGGCCGTGACCGTGACCGTGAGAGTGGAGGTGACCACCCTGGTTTAACAAGAACCCCATTCTAAAGAGAAGAAAACACAGAAAGGATGATTCATCTACATAATTATGGTATATAATATGATGAATAAATGAGTGGCTTAATCACTGCCTTGGAGATTGTAGACAGTGAGTTATTTATTTACCTATATGCAGTAGTCAAATATTACAAAACATAAAGCTATGGAGCGCACTGAAAACAGTACTTTGGACTAAACTGCGTTTAAACTGCTGACTCTTGAACCTCACAGACATGCAGTCAGCGCTGTCGTGTTGCAGCACTCTAGCTCTTCTTTTGGAAAAGCCACTCACAGCTTTCTCCTCAACGGATATCTTTAAGTCAGCACTTCACTTACACGAGGTTAACAGCCACTCCCACAGCTGCAGTGATGAGCATGACATCTCCGTCTATGTCGAACTGTTGGTGTACCGTCCTCTGTATCGCCTCATAGAGCAGTATGGCCGTCAAAATGTAGATGAGAACCACGCTGAGGACTGCAGATACCACCTCTAAACCAGGAAGCCATAATTAGTTGTACGTACAACTTCAAATATAGAAGCTGTGAGAAAATAACATTTCAACATTCAAAATAACAATTCCACATTTCAACTGTCTGAGCTCAGAATAAGAACTTAAATAAAAGCTTCTTTTTTTCCTACACATGACTTCAACTAAATGGTGCTTGTCTTTCTGAGTGCTTAAGGACAGAGTCAAGTTTCAGCTATAAATCAGACAAAGCAGCATTCTGTCCACTTCTATATTTACACCAAAAACCACATTTGCACTTTATCAGGTCAACTCCAAAAGAACATGAAATGAATTGATGGTATTTGTATGTGTCAAAGTGGAGGTAACCTGAACTTGTCCTTTTTGGAAAATGATTTACAAAAATCAATAATCTAAATCTTTACTTTCAGTGTAACTGAATCTGATGTACCCTGTCTGGAATCTGAGCTGGTTTAAAAACACTGCTGAACACACACTTTCCTCTCTGAACATGACTCATCTACCTAAAAACAAAAGTATTCATTTGCCTAACATATGATAGAAGCAGCAGAGAAGAAGGGCAGCGGAAAGAGGAAGTGAGACGGCTTCTGAAATTAGAGACTCACCGAGGCGATGCAGCCCGAAGGTGAACCTCCTGGTGGGCGGCTTTGTCGAGAGCCAGAGAGCCAGCAGAGAAAATAAAATGCCCACCACGTCTGCCAGCATGTGCACCGCATCAGTCATAATGGCTAAGCTGTTTGATACATATCCACCTGAAGGCAAAAGACGGCATGATTAAAATGGCATCAATTCAAACTATGCAGACACAGATTATAAGATACAAAGCACATGTTCAGATGTATGTGGGTCCATGCAGATACACATCAGCAGCAAAGCACATTGTTAGATTTATTAGTGTGAGTTTAACCAACAGATATTACTAGGTACATTGTTTAATTCCTCAGGGGAGCAGTTACTGAACATTTGGAGGAAATGGCAAAGTTGTATATGATCAAACAAGCCCACAGGAATAAAACTTTAATTAAAGAAGGAGTGACCTTGTCGTACAGTAATGTTGCACCTCAGAGATGGAACACTGTGATAACTTCTGGTCATTGTTTCACGTGTACAGTCATGTGATTGTTTTTCTTTATCTTGAAGTTGTCACGCCTCTTTGTTTTGTTTTGTTTTACCATCACCCGAGTCCACGCAGGCTGAACATCCTGCTGGTGCACAAGTTTAAGAATTAACTACTACTACTACAGCTGCAATAAAGACAAAGGAACAGTTGAGGAAAGCTGTTAAGTCAGCAGGATAACTTTGAAAGATAAGATGATCTTGATAAAGAGTCAAGGGTCAGAAAAATAAAGATGTGTGGGACTAGATTGTGTCACGTCTATCTGGGCTTGTCCAATCCAAATTATAAATAAAACTGTTCTCATATACAGACAGTTACCTAGATACAATAAAGATATAATCTAACATTCACCATAAACAAAGCGCCATCAGTGACAAAATCGTCAATTTTCATGTTGTAATTTTCAATGCCTAAAACCAGTACAGCCAAGCAGTTAAACAAACAGCCCTGTTTTTATATTTTCCACACTCATAAATGATCAATTTGGCTGTCAAAAGTCAGAATGGAGCATATAAGACAGCATAAGCAAAGACTGCTTTACTGACAGAGGACACCAGAAGTTATGCAAACTGAGAGTACCTCACAGAAACTTCAGATACCTATCAATGTCTTGATTTATGAACAGGGAGGGTGTTGCTTGGAATGAAGTTAAGTAGAGATACCACTAGTTACAAAGGAAACTGTAAATCCATGTTACTGCATTATTCATCCTTCTCTACTGAATGACAATAGCTGAAAACCTGATCCACAGCCATTTTAACATACCACTGGGGAGCTATGTCTGTATGCCCCTCAGTGGAGTAAACCAACCCTTTACAGGGAATACCACAGTCTTTGTTGTCAGCTTATGATAGCTGAATGCAAAATTTAAGTCTCTCCTGGTTTAATCACTAAGTATCAGAACTATACAGCTGCATTCACCTGAGTAACCCTTTTTTTATCCCCCCACTGTGACAGATTGGTCATAAAATGATGTTAGTTCTTGTCTGACCAGCATTAATGAAATAAAAAGTGAGTGTCACTTTGCACATCCTTACCTATAATTTCACCTGTCATGAAAAGGAAATACAGCAAAGCTGCAAAGACCAGCCTTTTCATCACCCTCTTCTGTTTGATGCTCTCCCTCTTCCTGTTGCAGTTGTCACAGGGGTCCATGTTTAACCCCGGGCTGCCCAAGCTGGAGGACTCGAGCAGGGAGTCATCATCATCATCCGCCACTACCAAGGTGTTGACCGCCACTCCGTTTGAAGGAGCCCCAGCTGAGTAGTCTGACATCTCACCGGAGACCACCACCTTAAGCTTGTTGAATTTAGGGGCCTCATCCTCCACCAGCTCGTCGGAGAAGTCAAAGGGAGCAGTGTCACTCAGGTCCCAGTCAGCTGGCTCCCTCCTGAAGGCGGACCGCACCCTGTTCAAGAAGTTCCCACCTGACATCTTGGAAGGTGAGAAGAGTTTATCCAGGTGAGCTCTGGCTGTAGGATAGTGTCTTCAGGGGTGATCATTCGTGTTTCTGCGGCTGTAATACTGCATAGTGGGCTTCATAGTCACACCTGGAAGACAGCAACACATGAAAATAACAGCTCAACAACGACGTCTGAACAAACCTGTTTACGATGGTATCGGGATGATTTCTCGAGAAGTTAACAACAGCGTCCAACTTTGAGTTTGAGTTGACCAGTCCCGTTAAAAAACGGTAACCCGCTAGCCAGTCAGGGTTAGCTATCTTCTCATTTTCCGACAAACATAAACCTCTCTTTACGATTGTAAAATGTTCAAAACACAAGTAAACTTACCTGTTGATATACTTCTCGGTTTAACAAACTTATCTCGCTGTGAAATGTGAAACTGTCATAGTTATCTTCACGTAAACACCAAAGTCGGAACAGTGGCAGGATACCTCCGCAGTCGGAAGTATCATCAGCAAGTAGTGTTGTTTCGTTCGCGAACGATTCGTACAAAATAACCGAATATTTTAAGTGGCCGTACTGAACCGAATCACTTGTTCGCTTCTCACTTCAGTTGAGCTGGAGTGAGAGGAACTGAATCGCTTAATCCCTAACCCCTAACCCCCATATGGGGTTTCACTGTGTAGTTGACTATGTAGTGAACTCAATCACTGGAGGTTTCGGACATTACATGGCAAGACGCAATGCATGATGGGATGCCCACCACCGGTGAGTGACCATCGGATGGTCAATACATTTTGCAATGTTTTATGGGAAATTTTGAGTTGCCTATATGGGGCACTGGAATTGATCACTAAGGTTTCGGACACCCCTCAAAATGGAGCTAACCCCATATAGTCACCTACATAGGGGTTAGGGATCCATTTTGGACACAGCCAGATACAACATTGCCAGTCAAGCAGCCGGTAAATGAGGGACTGCATGCACTGACACCTAAATCACTTGGTGACACTGAACTACACTTTCATTTTTGAATTATTTTAGTGAGACAAAACTACCCCTTTTTTACTGCTACAATGCCACCACATCAACTTGCATACAATATGACACAGCATGTAACAAGCAGTGCATTAAACCCGCAGCATCCTATCATTGCAGCGGTTTGCAAGGGAACGGTGTATGTTCAGTTTGAATTCTTCTAAACATTCAGTGAACGAATCACTCACTGAGCCCTATTTACTGAGCAGACCTGGTAAATAGCATACCATAGGACAGTACACTTAAAACATCATGACTTATAAACAAGTTCATTTTTACAAACATGTTTGCCAAAGCAAGACAGCCAAACAATCTTGTCTCCCAGTTCCAGAAGCTATGATCTGAACTGAATCCTGAACTGTTCAGCTGTGTATCAGTACAGGAGGTCGGAGTCGCAGTCTTCTCCCACCAAGCGCGACATGATTCGGTGATTTGGTGAACAAATCTTTTGAACAAATCTTTTTAGTGATCCGATTCTAGTGATTCAGTACATCTAAAAGAACTGCCGTGCCCATCACTATCAGCAAGTTTGGTTTCGCCCACACGCAGTCACGTGATGACGCCATGAGTCACATGACGTTTTTGTCAGCTGCAGCAACAAATCCAAATTCCTGCAGATTTCTCTCTCTGTGTTTCTGGGCCACAGTAACTCAACTCAGCTCATCCACTTCATGTTTAAAGTAGACACTCAAACAGGTAAGATGGTTTTAGTTGATGTTTAATGTTGACAGACTGCAGAGCTGCGGTCCTCGTTGCTAATGAAGCAGTTAGGAAGCTAGCACCATAGTTCTCAACGTGGAGCTGTTTCATGATGATAAAAGCTGGCGTTTTTATCCTCTGCTAGATCAGCACGTAATGTCCATCCGATAAGGTTGTCAGATTTTCGTGTGTCTTCTTTGAGGTTGTCAAAGTCGGTCTGGGTGAAACAAGATCTTTGCAAATGGAGGAAGAGGAGATGGGAGATGAAGGACCTTCATCCCAAAGTGAACTTCCACACAGTGAAGGTACACTTTGATTTCTAATGCGAAGATACACTGACTGTCTGCATCAGGCTATTTCAACTTCAACAGAAAACAGGGGAATTCAGCTGAAGCTCTGGTTTTTGTTCACGATAATGTAATTTAGGCTATGCATCACAGTCACATGGGACTAAACCTGTATGCTCTACTATATTTGCCTTAGTGATTATACAGTAGGGGAGAGTGGGGTAAGTTGAGTCACCCCCTGTTCCTTGGAAATTGTAAAAGAAATTGATCATGTGACTAAATATTTAGGAGATGGGCACCAATTCATGGAGTCTGTGAAGGTTAGAAGCACATGGGTGAAGGGGTTAGACATTTATTTCTAAAAAAAAAAAAACATTTTTCACCCTTGAAAGTGAATTTAGTCTGCCATCAGTTTTTTTAAAAAAAATTTAAGACCAAAAAAGATCATTTTAAATTTGTTTTATACATCAATTGTGGTATCTGTGAGCTACAACATGAGGTCAGAAACATAACATAAAAGTCCACCATTTTAGCTTAGAGGTAAAATAAAGTCATCATAGTAGTTCTGGGGTAAGTTGAGCCAGTGGTTCAACTGAGAAAATAAAGGAGTCTGATGAGAGGATCAGAGTTTCAGTTCAGATTGTTGAAATGTTTTACTTTTTCTTTTCAAATATACAGATATGAATGTTCTGAATCACTTTAAGACATTCTCATGTTAAAATGGCTTTTGACAAAACAGCTTTTTAGCAGTTATATGCAATAATAATAAAAAGAATTATTGTACCAGTTGAATAGCGTATAATAGATAAAAATGCACATGAATGTGAAGAAGTGACTGTTATTTAGGGAGAGAGAAGGTGAGGGAGGGCTGGGGTGGAGAGTGGGGGGGAATAGGGATGCGCCTCAACTTACCCCGCTCCTATGGTCAACTTACCCCATACACAGGGTAATTGGAGACCACTTCTTTTGGCATGCTATATTATCAAGACAGTTATGTTTACACTCATTCTGTTGGTTTGCAGGGATGAACAACATCTTGAAATATATGCAGAAACACTAGTTAGAGACAAAACTATGATTGCCTTGATGCAGTGATCTGAAAAATAGCTCATCTTACCCCACTCTCCCATACATCCAGATAACCAGTCAAACAAAGATTCCTGACTTTTGTCCAAATTTGTAATCAAAGTGTGAAAAGCTAAACTCAGATAAAGATGCTACAATGACTTTTCAATCCTAACCTATTCCTGGCTTGAGTCTCCTAGAATATAAGTGCTCATTCGTTAATTTTACACAGGCCCACTATCTCCTTTCTATTTGAAAACAGCAAAGATTAATGAGTGGCTGGACAAGATGCTCCATGTATGACCCTTAATTTGTCAAGTTTTAACCATCAAAAAATGTCCATCGCTGCAAATTCTTTTGCAACAACAGCCATATTGTTCTTCCTCTTTTTCTATCGATAGGTGTAATTTGCATGGCCAAACACTCAGCACTAAAAATGGGTGTTGCTAGTTTGTCAGTTCTGTGTTACTGCAGAAATGTGGAAGTGAAATATAGCAGCCTCTGCAGAGGGCGATCCACTACAGTGTAGATTTGAAAGGTGTATTCTAAGTTAACAAAGCAATTTGCATATTCAGGGGATTGTAAACTAATTTAGATATACTTAAAAGTATTAAACTTTGTTTCCTGCAAGTCTGATCTGCTAAATGCTGCTGTTCACTACCTTTGTACTTCAATGATTAAGGTCTAAATCCTCAAGTTTGTAACACAGGCCTTTGGTTAAGTTAAAAGTTTTCCAACCTCCAGATAACCGCACCCAGCAGACATAGAAGTAAAAGTGAAAACTCACTTCTCAGATTTTAAATTTGTCATAATAAACTTAAGTGAAGGATTTTGGAGCTAAAACTGTCACCTGACCAGCTATAAGGATGATTATAAATTTTATCAAAGGCTTTTTGAAGCAAGATTAAATGCTCTTTTTCAATGTCTGACAGATCCAGAGTTGGCACAGCAGGACCCACTGCCTGTTGAGAGCTCACCCCCTGAAGAAAATGTGTTTGTGGATAAGAAAGCAGTGGACAAACTCACAGAGGGATTACTCTCTCACTACCTACCCGATCTACAGAACTCCAAACGAGCACTTCAAGAGCTGACGTGAGTTTTCCCTGAATACCCGAGTACCACAGGATTTTGCTAGTAAATTTTCCTCATTTTTGTAACTCTAATAAAGGATAGGTTAATCTGTTATCATCTGTCAACAAGAAAATTTGTTGCCATATATATACCTTTTGCTCCTAAGTAAGAAATTTGATCCCAAACAATCCCTGGTGGCTGTAGCGGTGCTTGAATAAGGCTAGTTAATACACAGCAGCCTCTGCCACCAGTTTATTGATGTGTACGGATGGGTGAATGATGTGGTACAAAAGCACTTTGAGTGATCAGAGGATTTAAGAAAATGCAGTCAACTTATATCCCCATTTACATTTACTCGCATATCTCACACAAACCCATATGATGAATGTTCTTTATATAGAATGTTAAGGCAAATCCATAGACAGACATTCAAAACATACTTGACAACAAGAGACCTTTTCCTGCACAGCCTAAAGTGATGTGATTCACATAAACACGTTGACATACACAGACTGCAGTTTTCAGTAACAGGCATATGACACAGAAAGTCATATGACAAGAGGGACTAGCTGGATGGGTCGACCGCTCGCTTTGATGCTGAGTGTCCAAGAGGGAAAAGTTTCACTCTCAACATGCTGTCTATCTCCTGTCAATACTCAACTATGTAAACGAAAAAAGAGCTGCCTTTTTGAAACATTAACAAATCTGAGGTACACTTTCATCCTTGAATAGTCTGTATGATTGTGATGTGAACAAATCTCTGCTTACTCACTCATTAGACACCCACAGAGATCAGTTATTTCCTGGATTCAAAAGTCCATGTGATGACCTGTCTTCTTTCTGCTTCTGTTTTTTTTGTTTGTTTGTTTTAGACAAAATCAGCTGGTATTGTTAGACACACTGGATCAAGAAGTCACAAAATTTAGAGAATGTAATGCGTTACTGGACCTCAACTCACTGGTAAATTCTGGTGACTTCATTTTACTTAATAATTGTTAATGTTTTGTACACTAGCATGGAAGAACTGTTTGTAATCCTATACATTTTCTGTAGTTTACAGAGGCAAAAGTTTACCACAACAAACTGGTGAACATACGGAAAGAAATGATTATGCTCCATGAAAAGACGACTAAACTAAAGGTAACTCTCATCTCAAAGATTTGAAGCTCAGAGGAAGTATTAGTGGATGGATCTAACTAACCTAACATTGATGGTTCTTTCAGAAAAGAGCGCTGAAACTGCAGCAGCAGAAGCAGAAGGAGGCACTAGAGAAGGAGCAGCAGCGTGAGAAAGAGCTGGAGAGAGAAAGACAGCTTATAGCCAAACCTGCCAAAAGAACGTAGGACCCCGATTACGCCTGCTGTATTAATGGACCATACAGGTGGTTTGTATGTTTTAGCCCATTCATAATAGCACATACATTCATAATGATAATTTGGGTTGTTCTTTTAGTTTGGGAATGAAATAGAGCATCAGACAAGCATAGTGAGGGACAAGGGACAGGGACTAAGACAACTTAGATTTCACATGAAGATTTCAGTGCTAAGGAAATGAGGTAATTTTGTTGTGACAATGAGGTAATTTTGTTGTGACAAACTGCAAATTACCACAGCGTGTCATCTCAGCAAGTACCGACTGTTTTAAATTCAGGTGTGGTGTGCTAGTTTGCAGCATGTTTGCAGATGAAATACCTTTTAAGTGCAGGAGCCTGACATGTTTTCACAGCAGAATTGAGATTATCCTTAAAAATATATTTGTTTCACTCGTTGTTGTGATAAAAGTATTACAGAAAGACTGCAATCAGTATTTCTGCTTTTGTAGACTACATGTTTTAGAGATGTAGTCAGCTGAGAGTTTGAGCCCTTCTACTAGAAGGAAACAAAAAAAACATTTTAATTTAGATGCATACGACACATATTTGGGAAAAAAATCTCACCTCAAAAACCTTTCAGACTGTGACATGCTTCTGAAAATGTTTGGCTCAGTAGACAGTGTATGTAATATTTAGGAAATGGGCTAAAACCTGCAAATCCCTGTTATGATTCTTAAAATCTGACATTGCCAAGATCACCACAAACCAAAGACATGGACTAAATCATCAAATGCTGGTATGTCCCACCATCAACCTGTGACGACAAAGTTGGGTTTTTTACCCACGAGTGGGTAAAAAAGATCCTCAGACACTTTCTCAGCCGCCAGACAATGACCTGAAGAAGAACTGTATGCTGTTTTTGTTCAACATTAAGTGTTACTGTATACTGTTGCTGCCCGGTTAGTATTGAATGCTATAAAAGAGGTTTGTTGGTTAATATCAAATAGGTCTGCACTAAACTTGACTGACCGTATGTCCGGGGTTCAGATGATATGAGACAGATTGACCAAACTTTCTCCCACCAAACACAGCATCGACAGATTTGTTAAAGAGGCCTCTATGCACTACTTACACCTGAACCCCCTCTGCTGTCTGTACAGTTAATAATAAAAGCAAAGCAAACTGGTTTGTACAAGCGTGCATGCATGACTTTCATTTTTTCTGCTTCTGGTTTAAAAACACTTTCTAAGCTGTGGACTGTGTCCAATGCAGTATGCACGGTACATTTTATAAAAGTTTAGTTAATAAAAGACTCTTCTTCATGTCTGTTATTTGTTGTAAAGCACCTTTTTTCAGATCCACAAGCACAAATTTCAGCTGGTTATTAAGCATTTATTGGGGTTTTTTCAAAAGCAAGCAAGACCATCACTTTGAAAGCCTGGAAATATCTGCAGCAGTTTCTTTGACTGTTGACAGCAAAAAAATTAAGGGTACCAATTTATCCACAGGGGGCACCAAAATCATTACAAACTTAACAGTAGCTTGAATTATCCAGTCTGTATAGTATCTCTCTGTCCACTGGGTGTCAGCAGAGACCAGATGACTGGTTGATTTTTGCACCGAGTTGTGTTGTTCCCACAGCCGAACTTGTCAGATACTTCTCATTAATTTGACTGATTTTGATGAATCATTTCAGTCCCTCTGTCTCTCGGACTCTCACACTCAGGATGGACACCCCCAGCCTCTGTTTTCTGCTGGTTTTTCATTACATCTAATCAGGAAGTCATTACCTGCTCAGGTGAATGTAGTGATCTGTGGTTTACATGCAGGGAGACAGGAGCTCTAGGACTGATCATTGTTTACCGACTCTTGTCCTTACGAATCTGATCTGCGTCATCATCCTTTCCCCACAGACCTTAAATTGAGACTGAATTGGTCAACACTAGACACATGTTTTCAACAAACATTGTCCCTTTTACTCTCCTCTCCTGCCTCATTGTCTCGTCGCAGCCACACAAACACTAGTTTGTTGACAGAAAACTAGGTTACATTCCTCTCTATCCCAACACAAGCATGTGTCTGTCCCGTCCCCGTCCAATTCACATAAAGCTCTAATTTTACACTCACTACTACTGCAGGAAACGTTGTCAAAACCAACATGGCTTGGCCCGCCCCCGCTCGGTGCTTTTGGAGCGGAAACTGCACCACAGTGTGGCCATGGAGGGGTCCAGAGAGAGGGGCAACCAGATGCCACTTAATGAAAGTGAGCCAGTGCAGAAACCACATTATGAATATAGTTCTCAGTGGCCTGACTTTTGGTTTTGTTTGACATGTTTTCACTGTATGCCTAAATGCAGTGGCTACATATATAAATACCTTGTGCAACGCTAATTGGTTGAAGTTTTCTTTTTCTGAAAATGGGTCAGTGTTATGAGAAGACCAGAAAAAGAAAGATGGTCAAACTAAACAAAAAGTATGCAAGAGAGCAATGGATGCAAAGATGCAAAGGAGAAAAGTCTCAGGCACCTGTTACCGCAAAATGGCATTTTTTATTGCATTTTTTATTTATCTAATATCATTTTGGTGTAGTGAAAATAATGTGAAACCAGTGCCAAATACCTTGACAGTGCATGTTTTGATGGGCAATAAGGCTGTTTCAGATTCTGATTGTTATGCAAACCCCAATATGTACCAATGAACTTTGTAGTTTTTAGGTGATTTGAATATTTTATTGAATGTTGGGTGAAAGTACAGCACTGTTCGCAATCTTAGAGAGACTTTGGTTGTCCACTGGGTCTCAAAGGGGGGAAAAGTGACAAATATTCTAATATATAATCTTTTATTTAAGATTTATCTATTTCAAAATCATCTAAAAAGTTCCAGCTGAATAAATCACTGCATTTCAAAATAGTGTGAGCATAGATAATTGTGATTAATACAATTTTAATTTGAGGTTTAAAACTTTATTTCACATTTCAAACCAGTTCTTGAGTCTGTTGTCCCGTAAAGCAAGCCTTATCTACGGTATGTCTTGATCTGAAAATCTGATGAATGCAATGAAATAAACTGTATCATGATTTTATTTCTATTTGAGCACGTTCAAAATGTGCAGTTTTTATCTCATTGAACAAACACAAATGTCCCAAATAAAAAGTGAGGCTAATAAAGAGAAAAAAAGATAAATAAGCCTTATCTTTCTCAGTATTGCTCTAAAATCTAAATCTCCACCATCTACACTTATAACACTTACAACATAACACCTTAACGGACCAAAGGGCCAATGGTGGTGGACGGCTCCTCTCTCTTCACTGCAGGACAGAAAGATTCAAAAGGTCTTTTGTACCTTGACTTTACAACTCTTTTATAAATATTAGATGACTTTTGAGACATGACAAATGAGATGACGGACAATTGAATTTCCCTTTGAGGATTAATAAAGTTATTCTTATCCTTATTCTTAAAAAGTCGGAGAACAAAAGTTCCTCACATGAAATCTGCTCTGCCAGCTTTTGTGAAGTTGTTGCCACTTGACACCGGTCTGATGTGGGATTCAAAAGCACAGCGGTGTCATCATTTTTTCATCACAGAGGCAGCAGAAAACAGAAGGACTCTGCCGCAGCTCAGTTAGGGTGTGGCAAAAGAGTCGTTATAGTTAGTGACTGTAAAAAAACAACAGTTCAATTTCAGACCTTGGTCACATTGTTATTAATGCATCAGCACTGAAACCCTGCAGGCCGCAGCTCCTCCTTTGACTGTTAAAGGTCTGATTTTCTTTCTTGTGTACCTCTGTAACTCATTTTTGTTTTCATTCCCTCTGATTCATCCCTGACAGGACCTGCTCATAAGTATTTAATACTCCGAGTGAACAGGGCACTGTTTTTCCAGCAGGAGGGGTATATAAAGTTCCAGAGTCAGACAGCTCAGAGAGGCAATGTGGTTTCCGCGGCTGCACCCTACTCCTCCAAGCTTTTGGTTTTAACTTGAGTCTGCTTTTAGAAACTTGGCCGTCGGGGAAAACACAAACCCCCACCCTCTCTTAAGCCACAAGCGAGTCACAGACATGGAGTAGCAGCAGCAGATGATGATGTTGTATAGCAGCGGGCCTTCCTGTCTAAGTAAACAGTGAATCAGACCAGTGAGGAGTGGGAGGCTGTGGTCAGCTTCAGACTGGCAGCACCAAGCTGCTCCCAGACCCACCATAACAGGATATGGTCCTCAGGCCCACACTCAGGAAGCTTGCATCATATTATTATTGCCCTCAGGTTTTACCATTTGGTTGGTGTGGCGGTGCTCATGCACACTGTGTACCATGTGAAGGGCTGAACTGAAGGTTCTGGAAAACATATCTCTCTGTGGTGTCTCTGACCAAATGACAGTGAATGAGGTTACTTTCCCTTCTCCACCAAGTCTTATATAACGCTACATACGCACGTCTGGATAAGTGGGCTCGGAGAACATTAGTAATTAGGTTTATGTGACTCAACAGATGGTACACAGCAGATATTTAAGAGATCTGTTTACCATGTAACCACCCCATCTCTCCAAAACAATCATTTTACATTTGTTTAGATCCGGTCTGAGACAGAACTGAACAGCTTTTGAGATACTCCTTCTTCTTCAGTGCTTGTACTTCATAACTTTACAACATGTAGCATACAGCTGCAGAAGTTGGTTTGCAGAGAAAAACACACACTCAATGATTAATTTGTGGGGAATTTTTAATTTGCATTGAACAGACTGGTGGGTTAGAGTTAGGGTTAGTGGTGACTTTATATGACTGACAAAAATAAACAAAGGTCAGCCAGAAGACAGGGTGCACCGTTTTGACCCCAGGGAGCGCCAAAAATGTCGCAAATGGAAAGTTTCTCACTAGATTGTGGCTTATCTTGTCATCGTCATGCTTAATTAAGTAGTGTCAAATTTAGTGTCAAAATGCTAGAATACAAGTGGCCAGTCTTGCCCCTGATGGCCCTATACCACAAAAAGGTATGAGTACAAATTACAGCCTGTTTCATGAATATCATAAGAAGCTAAGGAGCCACTGGTTAATGAAAGAATAATAAGACAGATATTTCTGACTATTTTGTTTCTGGAAAGCTTCTGTTTTTCTTCAGCTCTGGAAACATAGGCAGGTAAAATATCCAATATCAAACTTGGAAATGTTCTAGACAGTAAACCATCGAGCAACGGACCCCATTTTTTTCATTTAGTTAGTTTATTTGTTTAAAATCAAGTCAATATTCAAATGTTTTGGTGGTTTGTGCTGTTACTCACCATAATAATGTTTGTGGTTCATGTGCAGTGTGTATGCTCTCCACATACACATACACGTTTGTGTCCCCTCATCAGGTTAACCTTTGACTCTAACTTCCCTGTAGGTGTTCAGTGTAGGTTTGTCTGTTACGTCTGTGATAGACTGGCGACCTGTCTAGGGTGTACTCCACAACTTGCCTGTAGACAGCTGAGGTTGCTGTAATAATAATGGGAAGGTGCTTTAATAATTTAGAGGTGCTCAGTAGAGTGGAGGCCCTGGATGAGAAGTCCTTTTCCATCAGAGCCCCTTTAATCAACTACTATGAGGAGATCAGATTGGCATTCCCTTTATCCTTTTTAAAAACCTCTGTTAAAGCGCATTTTTATGGATGAGATTTTACAAAAATATTAACTGAGTGGGTTTTGATTCTCTCGACACAGGCTTTTACCTTTTTCATCGTTTAGTCCTTTTTCTTTTGTTGGTTTTATTCTGTTGTCATTATTTTATTCCCTTATATCTTTTGGTGGCTTTATTTTTTAACTTGTTAAACTCCTCCATTATCTACTGTGATTTTACTCATTTTATCTTATTTTTTATTATCATTATTTCTATTATTTGTGATCATTATATTGTTAACCCCCCAATTGTTTCTTTTTTAATGTTTTGTCTTTTTATTCATTGTATCCTTCAAGTTTCTGTTTTATTTTTATTTTATTTTCATTTTAAAGAACTTTGTAACCCAGTTTACTCAGAGTGCCTTGAAGAAATATAGTTTATTTCTAAAATTGTTTTTCTTTTATATGACGTTAAAATATCAACAGAAAAATATTCAGTTGTAACAATTGACCTTATAACACTTGGATAATTGTTTTTTTCTCAGCCAAAACTTTGCTGCAATCTAACTTGCGTGTTTTCAGATTGTGGCATTCCTGCTTTTCCCGAACTAAATAATCAAAATTCTTCTACAACCACCTCTGTGTGTTGCAGCAACGGCGGCGAAATGAGCACAACTTAAGAGTCTAATTTCAAGTATGGGTCACAGAGCGAGTTGTTGTGTCTGGCCTGTGGTATAATTTCTCCCAAAGCCAGCTCCTCTCAGGGTAAACACAGACAGACGGGTGAACCACGCGGTAGGTGAAAAGCTGTTTTCACACGAGCCCCACAGGTGCAGCATTAACCCCACTCTGCTCTGCATGTCAGCTTTAGACAAGTCACATTTTCAAAACAAGTCCCTTCAACAACTCTGTACGTCACAAAGGATTTTATGGCATGAATGGCTGGTTTCATTGGCTCCTCTTAGACTGTAGTAAAAGAAGTAAATATAGAAAGTGAAGAGGAGGCTTTGAAGAGTGGGTAGTTGTGGTTGAGGGGAAAGGAGACTTTGATTAAATAAATGCAGCCTGTCTTCACTTGTTGTTTTCTTTGGTGGGGCAGCAGAAGAAAACAGGAGGACGTACTGTACATACAGTTAAGTACCTTGACTTGGCATTTTGTTTTGTTTGACGTGTTTACAGTGTCTAAGTACAGTGGAACCATAGCCTTTATAACTGCCTATTGCGACATACAGTATGTTGTTGTTGTTGGTTTTCCTCAGTCTCCAGAAAGTGGGTCAGTGTTGAACCAAACGAAGACCAAAGATAGGAGGAGAGAAGATAATCCTATAATAAAGTATGACAAGTGCACTTTGGATAAGGCTGATATACGTTAAAAAAAAAAAAAAAACACAAACATGTACATATAAGTATGCTTTCAGGAAAGAAAAGTGTCTGCCAAAGTTGGACTTGGCTCAATGAAGTCACTGAAAAAATGAAATGCTTTGGTAGCAAGCAAATTTTTGTGATTTTGGGGAGAATCTATTTTCATTTATGATAATAAGGATCAGTGTGAAAAAGTTGCGAGGGGCCCTGAAAGTCCTCAGCCACGGGAAAACAAAAAAAGTTTGAAATAAAAATCAAAGTAGAATAGAGCCAGAATATAATCATGAAAATTTTAAAAATCTGTCCAAAAAACAAAAGTTTTTAAAAGACTTGCTGTTTCTGAATCTCCCAGCTGCATCTATAGGTATTCTTATTTGGTTGTTTGTTAGAGTTGTTCTTTATGTTTCTTCTTTTATAATCAAACTTGTGCTTATGTTACCAGCGACTCTCTGCGTTGTACACTGTTAGGACAATAATGATGTCCTAACAGTGGAACTTTTTCTCTTTTTATGGCTCTGGTAGAGACACATACAGACGTAACCTCCAATAAATCAAAGCAGCCCACTCCATCTCCTCTCCCAAAGGGGCACAACAGCAAAGGGCGTGGCAATAATATAACAATAAAAGTGAATAAAAGTAGAGAAGAGCTGCATAACAAAGTAGAGTGGTGAGGTTCTTCAATCAATTTCTACTAAATTGCCAGGATGATTTTCCACGATTATGATAAATTAACTTAAAAATATGTGTACACTTGAGCCCGTTAAAGACAGTAAATAAGCAGTCTGACAAAGAAGGCTTTGAAGAGCATGTGTAGCTGGAGGAGAAAAGATGATCTGATGGAATAAACACAGTCCCTCAAGTCGTGTTGTTTTCTTTGGTTGAGGTTAACAGAAAGTTAGGAAAGCAATAACAGCAGGAGGGCATCGCTTTAAGCTGCAAGTCAGACAAAGACACTGTTTTCAGACAGGAGGCCACAGAGTCACAGTCACCTCCACAGCCAGCATGGTTAGTGGTTTTATGGCTGTGTCCTGTCTGACCTGCGTGAGGTGGGGATGTGATAATCCAAACCTTAACTGTATAGAGTTAGAGGTCTGAAGGGAGGATTTATGGTGTTGTTTATGTGCTCTATTTGAGTCAACCACAGCAGACTGTTGCTTCCTCCTCTGCTTTTTGGATGCTCTGTGTGTGAAGAGGTGTGTGTGCATGTGTGAGGCAGCAGCACAGACACTAGACACTAACTCACGTACACAAACAAGATCCAGTAAGAGCCAGTGCTGCAGGCTTCATGGTGAGGTGGTCGCTGTGGTTTTAGAAAACTGCTGGGTTTGCCGCAGTCCAGAGGCGGTACGGGTGTCAGAGGACGATGTCTTCTATCACCACGGTGCAACTCGTCCATGAGAGATATGATCGGTGGACAATGAGTTCACAATGACCCAGTTTGTGCAAGCTGGAAGCAACTTTACTAAAGAGTACAGTTTTAGCTTTTTTTACATTTATATTTAATCTTTCTGGCTGACCCTGCAGAAACCATCAAGTTAGTGTGTGGACAAAGAAAAGCCACAGGAAGCAAAAGTCAAAGAGAGGAGTAGAGGTCTGCCGTGCTTTTGTTCACAGTGAAGCACTTTCCTTTTTTTCTAAAAGGGGGCCTTGCCAGCAGCAGTCCAGGTTACATAACTCCTTATCTCTCACATTCACATCTAGACCGAGACGCTAGTACGCGCTGTGAAGTAACACCCACCTCAAAATAAGAGAGGTGCCCTAAGGGGAAATTAACACCATCTCAAAATGATTTCTGGCTTTAAAATAAATTATATGTTGAGCTGCTGTGACAAAAGGTGTGCCATGTGAGGGAGTTAGCACACAGAGTTCTTGCTCTCATGTAAGAGTCTGCACAGAGAATACTGAGAGACTGATCTGTGACTTTGCAAATGAGTAAAAGAAAATAAAACTTTTTGAAAGTTTTGTGCACTTGACAGATTGCATTATGTAGAAATGACACGAGGAATGTTGATGTTTGTCTTACGCATACTGTAGTAGGCAGCAGGAAATTCCCAGGATTAATGAGTTTGTAACAGGATCTCCTGCTCACCATCTCTGTCCCCCTTCCTCTACAGCTGAACGTGCTTTATAGTATTCCACTTCTGTTCATTCAGTAAACTGGAGACATCTAACCTAATGCTGACTGGTTACAGTGAGAAATTATTTTAAGGTTTAAGTCACATAAACTGTCCATTGTTGAGAATGGATTAAACTCTTCCTACAAATCCCAGGCCACACCGGAAGCCCTGGAAGTTTGCACAGACGGGAGCATCCGCGTGTGAGAGCATTAACAGCAGATATTTTGTTATGTTTGGTACGGGAAATAGATAGAAGAATGACCGAGGATTTGTTTGAGGCCAGAGAAATTCATAAATATGATGATAAAACCTCAGTTTAACCTAACAGCCCTCACAGGACAGATGTTCACCGTCTGCCTGTGTGTGTCTGTCCTGTTGCTGCAGAGACACAGGTGTGTTGATCCTTCAGACACTTTGAAACCATAAGAGCTGCTTTGTCGTCTGTGAGTAATTCAACACGTGTCTTTGTCTTAGTCAGACCTCCTTTCAGTGTAACATCAACATTTGAAACTTGTTTTTATTCCAGTGACACATCCAGCAGGGGGAAAACAGTGACTGCTAAATGGAAGATTAAATCAGGCAAAAAAACAATCTAAAAATAGAACCAGATTGTTTCAAACTGTGAGTTTAATTTTCACTTAAAGAACAGCTGTTTTTTAAATTCAGGTAATTACATAATATATGTTAATTGGTCTTTCCAGATGTGAAGATTAATTATTACACAAGACAAAGAAGTGTCATGCACAGCGACTAAGGGTCATGATATAGTTTGTCACATTTAGGCCAGTTTGGGCTGGAGTTTGAGTTTTTTCCCCCCTGACCTCCTCACAGCTCTGACCCACTTCCATACATGTCTATAGTAAAATTACGTAACATGCTTTTAAAGCGGAGCGAAGAAAAGGCTGTGTGAAAGCCATTTTACTCCCTCAGAGGGGCCCAACACAGCCATGACTCAGAAGGATCCAGACTTGTGTGGATGTTGACTTTACATTTCATGAACGGTCCTTTTCCGTCACAGAAAAAGAAATGCTTTTCTAACATGAATGAATGACATTTGTGAATTACTACGGGACTGCATAATGCACGAGTTGGTAGAGATAAGTGTTATCAGTTTTCACCTAATTTACTCATGCAGCCAACTTGTCATGTCCTTTACTTATAACTCATGATGCAGCCCCCATAGTGTGTATCAGATTAACACCATGCTTTCTATATGGACTTTTCAAACCATGGGAATGTACAAATGCATGACTTTATTTGTGTCCCTTGTATAACACATTAAACAACCACACTGCATACCGCAGCTTTTTGAAGAATCTGAAACTGGTTGCATTGGTTTGTTTCAAATGGGCAATGCAGCTATTTAGAATACCTGTCTCTGCATATGGGATTAAACAGCTGCTCTATAGGACACCCATTCATAGACTGGTGTGGGAGTGAGATCTGGCCATCTGCCAAAGTCCTTTCCGCTACACATTGAAGTAATGAATAGTCTGCTGGCATCCGCTTCTGTGGCACTTTCTGCCTTGGATTTCTCAACATCTGTGCCAAGTTTGCAGCAAACATATACCTAACCTTCCAAAACGGGATTTTTAACTATTTTTGATGAAAGCTTCAAAAGACATTACCTGCATTATTTGTTGTGTGTGTGTGTCTTACAGATTGGCCAGATATATTTTGTTTAAATACATGTTGGAAAATCTAGAAATGTGAATCTACATTGTAAGATAGAACTAATTTCTGTTTACACCAACTTCTGAAAGAAATACTCCTGGAGAAATAGCACGTGTATGTGTGAATATAGATAAGGCGTGTGCTTTGAAGGTGAGGTCACATGGCCGAACCTTGTGACTCTTTCTTATCGCTCACACCAACTGTCGCCTGGGAGCAAGATAGTGAGAGTGGTCTGTACACGGGCTACTTTGGTGGCTATCAAGGGCTGCAGGTGTTGAATACAGGACTGTACATACGACTTCAGAACTAAGGACTGTGGATACTTTCAAGAAGTGGTTAAAAACCTATTTGTTTACACTTACCTTTGTATAAACAGGACTTTGGCTACAAGTGTACTTTTTGATGATTATTATGTCTTGTTGCAAGGCACTTAGTTACAACTGTTCTAGAAATGTGCTATACAAATTAAGTTTGATTATTACTATTATTAAAAAACAAAGTGTTCATTTTTTCACGAGTTTCTGCCTGAGGTGTAAAAGAAAATGCATCATCCCTTTAAAAAAATCATCACAAAAAGCACAGAATTAACAGGAGGATCATTTATTGACTTAAGCAACTAAGTGCAACCATCCTCTGACATATCCATCGACTCTCTGTGGAGTATAGGTTGTAACAAAGCAATAAATATGGTAGATATAAAATCATGCCAGCATTTGATGCTGCCAGTTAAAAACATTTACAAAAGACTTTGTAGCAGTCAGCTAAATGAGCTGCCAGGTAGAAACTTAAGGCAAGGTGGTCTTCTGCTTGCAGGATGAGTATGTGGTCCTTTTAGCCGATCATCAGACCTGTAACAGAGAGAAATGATCAAGAACTTGCTTTTTGAAAAAGACACTCAGCTTTTAGAGAGCTTGACTGTTTTTGTACCTTTGTTTTTAAAATGACTTCTGGATGGAATTCAGGATGTCACCGTAGACGAAGTTGAACAGCTGTTCCTTCGACTTGGTTCCATCAAGCTGCACTGTAACAGAATTTAAACGTTTGATCAGTAAGATGAAACTTTAGGGTATTTGATTGTAAATAGAAAAAAAGTTGCATGGCTGAAAACTAAAATTGCACACTTACAGACGTCAACATTTGATGCCTCCATGATGTTCTTGTGTTTCAAATACATGGGCCAGACATGACCATCGAACAGGCCGGGGGGATCTGGCACCTTGTAGTTCCTGGAGCTACAAAGAGACACAACACCGATCAGAAAAAGTCCTGAAAATTTACAGTACATGAGAGCGAGGCCAGTGAGGCCCTCACACTGCAGTACTTACCACCTCCTCTTTTTGCATTCTTCATATGGGATGGAAATAAAGTAACGTTGGTTCAGCACGTCGATCAAAGGTCTGAATGAGGAGGGAAGAGACAAATCAAGGTCGATCCTGACTAGAAACAAACAAAACTAACAGATCTGTACTTGAGACACATTCTTACTTGTAGGTGTAAAGCAGAAAGCCTTCCACAATGAGGATGTGATTCGTCTCCTCCTCCTCCTCATTGTCAGACTTTGGGACGATCTCAGTATCCAGGGTGTTATTAACGCCGTGAGACTTCTCAAACTTCACCGGGTTGTCCAGCCATGCGTAGATGGTGCTCATCATGGCGTCCATGTCCAGAGCAGTGATGACTAGAGAGCAAAGCAAGGGGGGGTGGAGGAAAAAGAGAAGCGTATAGAAAAGTGCAAAAAGCAATTAAGAAACACAAGTTTAGTTGTTTTAAATTTGATTATTAGGCATGCAGATTACAAATGCAACACAACAGCAGCAGACACACAAGATATAAACAGGCACACACCCAGACACACTAACCCTTTTATAAAAACCCAGGCTTACCATCGCACAGCTTAAAGCCATCTTCACCAACTTCAATCTGATCCCAGGGCTGAAACATACATTGATAAGATGTACCAAGGTACATACCACTACACTCTATATGGAAGGCTCTGACACTTTTTTTTTTCTTTTTATCTTTACCCTACATTCATCTTTATCCTGTAACACAGGCAGCCAAGTGTAAACACCTGCTTTCCTTGTGTTACTCAGAGCAATCCCTTAGATTTAACTACATCAAAATTTTTACAAGAGCGGTGTTTGTATGCGGCTCACCTTGAAGAAGTCATCCTGGTGGACCACACAGCAGTTGGGAAGGTTCTTGATCAGTCTGTTGGTGAGGGTGGTTTTCCCTCCGTTGGTAACGCTGCATGAAACATGAAGAAAAGGAAATACTTGATTATAAATGAGTGGATTTGGTTAAGTAGCAGTCACACTTTTAATCCACTATGTTGCACCAATTGTAAGTGAGTACCAAACAGGCAAAATGTGTATTTTCAGGCGATTTTTGTTACTGTAACACAAAGTGTACATGCAGTTCATCTGAGATTTTCATATCCGCGTCGTGTCAGGAAAAAAAAGGGTGGGTAAACCGAACGCATACACTTGCAACGATCACCTTTCAGTGTCTATTAGTAACCACGTGTATTAGTGTTAGCACAAACTGCACGATGATTATCGATCATTGGTTTCTGGGTATTTTTCAATCGACAAACAACAAAAGAAAAAGAAGAAGTAGCAACGACCAAGCGGATGTCATGACCGCTCTCTCCCTCTCCCTCCACGTGGATCGGCCTAGCAGCTCGGAAAGCTAGCCGGCTACATTAGCTCCCTTCCACTCCCCTCCATTCATTCATTCGCCATCACTCACCCGCCGATGCCGATGATGTACTTCATGGTTTCAGATGGTCAAAGCTCGTCGATAAAACGTTCAAGAAGCGTCGGTCAAACTGGTTCAGGATCGGATTGATCGATCGGGAAGAAAGCTTAAAAAGAGAAGGTTGCAGCAGGTAACGTCAACTACTTGATTCCTCCATGGCACTTTGAGTGGAGTGAGTAAGGTTAAGTGCAGAGGGACGGAGGTGTCGCTCGGACTTGGTGTTCCACCGAGAAAGAACCGGCTGCTCACTGCTACTGCTACACATACTACAGACAGCGCACTGATTGGCTATTTAAACACTTCGAGAGGCACGGGGAAACCACAACAGCCAACCAGAAGCGAGGGTGACCACAGCTCCCACCCCCTTCTCCCTCTCTGCCCACTCTGTTCATTCTTTTCTACGCGAAATGTATGATGTAATTTTATTTTTTATGAAAAAGGGAAAAAAGGACTTGTTGTACTATCCTGTGTTGCTTTAAAATCGACTCTTATATAACTGAATTCTAGTTTGTTGTTCCAGTTGTAAGTACAGATGCTTAAGCTTATGTATTTTGGTGACTTGCTACACCTCATATTGTGGCGGTTCAAGACCAATTTAGTTGAATTGAAAAAAAGGGACTGCACACTGTTGCATAAGAACATAGGATGACTTTCACAGAGGCCACTTTAGTGTCATGAATAACTTAATGGGCGACAGTGGCTTAAATATAATGCTTGAAAATAAAAACAAAACATTATCACACAAAATTAACTCACTTTTCCAGACTTGCTTTTATGTAATGCCATCTTTTCTCTTATTTCTTTTATATTTTATCTCTTTTACCTCTATCTTATTTTGACTTTCTGTCCCTTTAGTCTTTGTTTTACTAATGATCTTTTCTTATTCAACCTTTTAGGCCTTTTATTGATTCTATGTTTTTCCTGCTCATTTTTGTTATTCTATTTTATCATTACTATTACCATTATTATTATTTTATTATGATTTTATTAACATTATTAATATCGTCTTTTTATACTTACAACTCTGTTTCCTGCTTTCTAACCCCCTTTTTATTACATTTCTTTTTCTTACCTATTTTATATTTTTATTATTTTGGTCTTCATGGTCTCATTTTATGTTGTATCTCGTTTTGTCTGGGTTTCCAATGACAAATGAAATTAGCCTTTAATTTGGAGGCCTTGTTTTTTACTGAGATTTTGCTTTTTATTTGTTTTTATTTCCATGTGCTGATGTTTTGTGCTTCACGACTGTTTGTCAAAGCACTTTGTAAACTTCGGTTTTAAAAAGTGCTATAAAAATAAAGTTATTTTTATTAGTAATAAAATTCATACTGTGGCATATGAGGTATCTTCTTCACTCGACACATTACAGTAAATTTTGGCACACGCACTTAACATTAGTCTGTCAGCGTTAAAAAAGCCTGTCCTTCATAATTTCCCTCTGGAAATGTTATTCTATAGTAGCTTCTGTTTTGTGTTGCACCACATTATTGTTGTAAATCCTGGTAATAAGTGAATTATTTAATTTGATAACACTGCTTGCATTTACGAATTTCCTGTAAATGACTGGAAAAGGTAAAACTTCTAAAGCTATACTTACAAAATCCTCTGTATAAGGTCTCAACTTGGTTTGGGGCATTTATTCAGTGCAAGTAGGCAATTTTTTAAATGTTAATGATCTCATAGTTATAGAAATGAGTCGAATTTACAATCAGACATGAAATAAAATCACCACAAAGAAAGAAAAGCACTGCAGGGAGTTGTCAAAACATCAACAGGATGAGATAATTAGTTCAGCTGTTGGTCGTATTACACTTATCTAATCTGTCGGAAGAGAGGGCCTCCTTTTACTGCTGAGACCTTAACAGATAGTTGATAATTATAGGCCAACTTTACACCGTGAGAAAGATGACCTGTCAGATTATTATGTTGTCCTCGCTGCATTGTTATTACCACAGTGTTATCAGACCTCTCTCAGTATACATATCATACCAGACAAGGTCACCTGCTCATAATAGTATTTGAATCAGAGACAGACTGGACACTAAAAACCGAGGACAGCATTTCTCTATGCAAACATGCAAACACACACGCACACATTGCTGTGGTGTTTCTCTCACCAGCCTGCATCTGACCTCTGTTTTGTTTAGAAACTTCCCAACCAACCCGATGACACAGTTTCCCTGAGGTTGCACCAAAATATTACTTGTGTTGGGGTTTACACCCTCGAGAACCTCAACTATGAGGAGGAAGTCGCCAAGTGTGGAATCCGGTTCAGCTTTTAAGATTTCTATTCATGGTTTTCTGCAGCTTTATTCTGCCAATTTGGTGGCTGAGACAGAGATTTTCCAGATTTTCCTAAAATCTGCAACACCAAGCTGCACAAAAACTTTCATAACCATGGACTGAATTTGAGTTTTATTGCTTTTGCAGGGTCAAGATGAAAGTAATGCACCTCTTTACTTTTTACTTGAATCATTTTACCCTTTCTCTCATGAACCTCAACTGTGGTTATAAAGCTGTTACACGTGAGAGGTTTATGGTTATGAAAGCAGGGCACACCATTATATTAGTCACTAATTCTTTTTCTGTGAATCCTGCTTTTGTTCTTTCTTTAATGGGATCATTTACTGTACATGCATGAATCCAAATGTTTGTTTTACACCAACAATAAATTAATAAGGAAGCAATACCCTCTGACTTGGTTGAGATTAAGGTTGCAAAATGTCATTCTGTTACCAAATATTCAACCTTTGATGGGATTAATCATCAGATCCTTTATCCATTTATTAAAGCAATGAAGGACCAGTGTATTAATACAACATTACAGGTAAACGTCATGAATCAGTAAATCAGAAAGTGAACACAATCACAAATCAACTTAAGAGGAACTTTGAAAGACAGCACAGATAACTACAGGTTGAAAGTCTCTATTGTTGCTATTATTATCACTTAATATATTAACAATCTAGAGCAGAATATGAGGAAAAGCAAAGGGGCAAACCAGTGGTCATGTGTCGTCCTATATAATTGTTAACCAGATCGCTCATAAATTCCCTTTGTCATCACTTTGTGACACGTCTGACACACTTAGATTATACAACAGTGAGGGGCCCAGATCTTTTCAGAGGTTTTACCTTCCCTTTTCAGGATTTAAGTGAACTTCTCCAGAGCAAAACAATGACTTCTTCCTCTTAGCCAAAGTCCCATCTGTGGCCTTTGGATATTCTTCCATGATATGGCAAAGGAACACATACAGCAGCTCCCCCTGACTTATGACAGTCAAATGTATCATTCACTGTGAATATTACGTTCATGATAAAAACAGACACGATATAGCTTCATTTACTGAGGGCACCATGTTAATAAAGAAACTTTAAGTTCTGCAGTGTCTCTGACTGATTTGAATACATATATTTTTTAAATACACAGTTTTTCCCAGGGGTTTATGTACCTTTATCCCATAGCCATAAACTAAAAGTGGTGGTTCAGTGAAGAACTGTGGTAATCTAAAATGCACATCCATGATAAGATGGCTGAGTGTGTTTGCAGCCTGTAATTGGACCACCCATTTTTTGATATGGTAAAAGTACCAAGGAAAGACTCCCAAATGAACCTTTTCTTAGTGTTTGTGTACTATTGTTACATCATTTTAGCATTATACATAAACTAAAATGTCTAACTGCTGAACTTTTTGTTAGGGCTTGCTGTAAAAGTTTAAACAAACAGAAACAAACTGAAAATATTCTGATATATTACCTTGCAATGTGTTGTTTGATAAATGCTGTGTGTGAAAATCTGATTCAGTGAAAAGTACAAGATTACATCTCAAGTTTAGTGCAGCACACTGAGAGGAAACTGAAATGAAACTCATTATCAAAGATCCAATGTAAATCAAACAATATTGATCGTAAAAAAACTCAGTGATTAAATCATGACTGTGACCCTCCTGCTCTTAATAAACTTCACTAAACATCATGAGCTGCCTCATGTCCCTGAGAATTAATAGTAGACGGCTATACAGACAACGCTTGCCTCTTTGTGCATGTATGTTAACGTTCTCTCTCTGCTGTCTCATCAGTCACCAGGCCTGTTTCATTGTAGTTGAAAGGCTTGAATATGTTATTACTGTGTTTCCCGACATGAGCCTGCCAATGTGGTGAATCACCTGCACATCAAATATTACACTGTCCCACTCACGAACATATCACAAACCCGTTAGATTCTGTGGTCTCAGAGAGCACACTCTGCAGACTGTACACTGTGTTCTGCTCTGATTTCCCCCCTCTTTCTGCTCTACAAACGCTTTCAAAAAGTCACATTTGTGTCAGCCTACATTCTTTAAGTTTAATCTGATTGTGTTTCCATGAATATTAGATTTCCTGCATGACTGCAGCCTGTTCATGTTGAATTCAGGAGATCTATTCTTTAATCAAGTGATACAGTTAATGGTGTGCAATGAAGACACAAGAGTCCTGAACTGGAAACTGTGTGATTGAATATAAAACTTGAAGTCCTCTTAAGATTGTGCATTTCTAAGAAAAGTTGAAATTAAGTACTTAAGTTTTTCTGCACACTTTGTCCTGCTCTTGGTGTGCAGCAAGCGTAATCCAAGGCTTCTGTCTGCCATCTGCTGGCTGTGATTGAAGCTACATTTGAGGATTTTCTCTCTTTGCAGCCTCTCACTATTCCTGCAGGCTGCACCTCAGTCTGTCATGACTTTGAGATCTCACTGTCATTTTTCAACATGACAAAAAAAAAAAAAAAAAAATCACTTAAGAATTAAAGATATTTTTATTGTTGCCACTTTTAAACATATAAGCCCATACCTTCACTTCACTTTGAACTGTTATATAAATTATTCTTTTCTGTAAATTCATCTGGCGAAAAACATGTTTGGAACAGTCTATAGTTTGCAGCCATCGCAAATGTAACAACAAAGCTCTCAGTAATATGTTGGTAAACTAATATTACCCTAGCCCAGTTAAAAGTATGTATATTTAGAAGCAATTTGATTTGGATAAGATTAAAAAGATAAGAAAGGATTATATCTCCTTGTCATTACCTCCCAAGGCAAAAGTCCATTTCAAAATCTTGAAGGAAATCTGTCCAACAAATGAATTTTTAGGATTTAACTGTGAAGCGAATAATTGTGTGTTTTGTGATGTGGACGTTGAAAACCTGAGCCATGTTTTTTTTTTTCACTGTAGTGTGTCACATCCCTTCTGGAGTAACATGTGGAGCTGGTTGCAATCCAAAAACATTGACTTCCCTTTGTGAGCAGAAACTATTTTGTTTGGTGTTTTCAATGAGGATAGGAACTTGGATTTTGTTCTAAATTTTTTTTTTCTTCTTCATTCACAAGTGTCGATATTTTCAAACAAGACCATGCCTACCTCACAGGAACAATGAGCCGCTATTTTTTTGTAAATCCTTAAAACTTGTTACGGACAAGAAAGCCCTACGTCTATTTTCTTCACTAGAAATGTTCGAATTGATATAGAATGGCCTCTAACCTTGAAATTGTATTGTTGTTTTTTCTCTCTTTTTATGTTATTCATGCTCAATCTAAGGCAAATATTCTATAATTTTCTTTTATGATAAAAAGGTGCCTTGTTAGTTTATAATTCAATTAAGAAAAAAAAAAGTTTGCAACCATCGAATTCACTGTACTCCGCTAGGTGGCGATAATGAGCTCGTAAGCTGGTTATCAAATCGCTCGTTAAATCAAAAGAAAAGGAAGAAGAAGAAAGACGAACCAGGAAAAAAAGAAGAAAAACAGTTCGGAGGGATGGAAACGATGGACTTTCTTCAAGGGCTTACAGTAAGCAAAAACTTCAACAAAAACACTGTGAACATTAACATTTAAAAACCGTAACAGTCTGTGATGATTTAACTCGTGTTTGAGTAACTCTTAGGCTCTGTAGTGGGCTGACTTCAGACTAAATTCTTCTGATAAATTGTCTTTTTCACCCAATAAGCTACAAACCAGTTGTTTAGCCTATAGCTTCGAAAGTGGCATACAAACTAAGTATTGAATTAATCTACCTTAGTACAAGAACAGATACTTTGGGGACCTTTTACTTAAGCAAGAGCAAAACTACTTAATCTACTCACGTCAAAGTATTTTAGCTGATATCTCCTCTCTTTGTGTCCCACTCAGATTGATGTAACATAGTTAACACCATCAGTATGTGAATTGCTTTGTTTTGCAGCATGTTATAGTGATATATAAACTTTGATTTGTAATAATAAGTCTCCTTGTCCCTGTCTCTATTTTCCAGGTTCATGAATCAATCCAGAAGGGCTCTTCGATCCCTCCTGTGGAAAAGTGCATCACCTGCTGCTTTCCCGGCAAATATCACTGTCCGTTTTGTGAACCAGAAAACTTCAATCCCTCAGCAGAGTATTTAGCACTCAACTTGCATTTGAAAAGGCATTTCAGGTCAGCAGTTCATGTCGGAGGTACGGGTTTGTAATATTTCCCTTTCTTGTATTTGAGTGACTTTAACATTAATCATGTCTCATCTAACTGATTCAAAAATCTTTTATACTTTCAGATTACACGATCCACAAATGTGGACTGGGGTGCAGAAGCCAGCCCCATTTCCACTGTCTGTTCTGTCCAGCTACTCTGATAAGGAGAGTGGATTTAAAGAGACATCTAGTTTCATGCAACAAATTCAAGCAGAGTGTGGCCCAACGAAGTACCCAAGAGGGACTAACTGAAGGGCTGGTGTTTCCCTCATTGACTGAGAGGAGCAGAAACTCTTCATTTGACATGGTAAGACTGTGACCATGCCCTTTTTATTAACCCCCTTTACATTTGTATTTCTGTTGTCATTTTTCCCCTGGAGGATTTACTATTTCAAACACAGAGTAAAAGTTAGCAGCACAAATCAAAAGTGGACTGTGTCAAGAGGGATTTTTTTAGGCCCAATCCCAAACCCCCTACACACTCGCCCTTCACTACCGAGTGTCTCTCGTAATAAAGTTACACTCGCAGCTGTGGAGTGCGCGTCATTTGAAACAGGAGTGTAAACAAAACGGGCGGGTATGGGACGCCCTCCTCACTCCACTGGAAAATGGAAAGTTTCATCGCCATTTTAACACAAAGACGCATCCCGTGCATGGCAGCGTTTCTTTTCTTAGTAACAGGGCATCATGTACAGTTCTGAGCCGCTCGTTTCTTCATCCTCCCAGTAAAATTATAAATCCAGCAACCATCACAGTGACAGGAGCTAAATTAAACTTCTGATTGTTAGTGATTCCACGTCTTTGAACCCCCTTAATGTCAGCACAGAGTACGATTTTGGAGTTTTATTTGATCTTTCCAAACCATGTCTTAAGGGTTTTTTTTTTTTTTTTTTTTGTCAGTAAGACAAAGGTGGACACATACGGAACTTATATTTGTATGTTGTTTCCTCCTCCTCCATTTTTGCTGGTGATACAACCAGATTCAGACGATACAACCACTCCACAAAGGCCAAAAAAGAGTGATTCTTATTGCAAATGCTGTAAACATGTTTGTCAGATAGACAAACTGAATGTAAACTGGCTTTTGGCATAAGGAATGGTGTCCCTTAAAAGAGAAAGACTTAACTGCTTGTGTTTTAAGGCCACCAAACCTGACATTTTGTGTTTTCCTCACAGGAGAGCAACAATGATTACAAAGGCATGAGCTTCAGTTTGGATTCAGACGACCAAAACAGCCAAGGAGTGAGCAGCAGCAGCCGCTTATTGACCTCCCCTGACAGTGAATATGAAGCAGCAGGGCAGAACTCCTCTAAGTGTGTACAGACGGACCTTGACAAACCTCAAGACTGTGACGAATTCTATTTCATGAACCTGGTGAAAATCTTCAAAAAGCTGTCCCCTGAGAAAAAGGCCAATGTCAGGTTGAAAATCGAGAGACTCCTCTTTGAAGCAGAGTTTGTGTAGACAAGAGCTCATTTGCAGGTTAAACAGTTTTACTGATGAGTTCTTATACTTCGATTCAGTGATACATTGAAGAGATTTGGTATCTGAGATGCTTCTTAACAATACATTCTAATCCATCACATTATTAATGGAGGAAAAAAATAGATCAGCGTATAAGCTTTAATGAAGGTAAAGCGTTGTTACCACTACCTCTGCTGAAATGCTTCACTGCCTTCAGGGACCTTTCATTCAAGTTTATCTGTGGCATTATTTTCTTGCATGTTAAATACCTGATAGTCCGGTGTGGGTGTACAAAAACTAAGCAGGATGTAGCAAGAATTTATTTTTGCAATCTGATGTCAAAGTGTAAGCAGTGTTAACAAATCAGCTCAATGAAAAGTGCAAATTTCTTTAAGTGTAACCATTAAACCAAACAGCAAACAATGACAGGATGTAAAAGCTGGACTGGACCGATAACCACTTTTATTTTGGACTGAAATCTCAAGTCCAACAAGCTGCTCCCAGCTGTTTTTCCTGTGGTCAGTGTAAATATGACCAAATAAGGATTTCCTGTAACAGAGAGCTGATTGTATGTATATGGTATATTCTTTATAATGTCATGTCGCTAAAAAAAAAAAAAGATTCAGAATGTTCATGTATGTTTTCAAGCTAATGGTTCATGTTTGAAATTGACTGTTAATGTTTCGTTTTGTTACCTTTGTACTAGAGGCTGCTTTTTTAAGATTACTGTAACCTACCTCACACAGATTCTGGTGCAGATGTCATTGTTCTACAGTTGTTCGGGATTTTTTATACATTTTATTTTTGAGATTATGTATTCCAAGTTATTAAAAAAACAGCAGTTTGTAAGCTTGAAATGTATTTGAGTTTACCTTTGTTCAAATAAAACTCCTGCTGAGACCGATGTTTTCTCTTTCTGTATTTTTATGTCTTTCACAGTCTTCTTAATGAAGATTAGTTTATTTTCTGTACGTATTCTGTAGTTCAGGATGTGTGGACAAAGACAGAAATCTCCTTTTACAATGAGCTGCCTTTTTAGGAGACATGCATGTGATGCCCATCCACATACAGCAGCCATGGACCAGCACATTTCACGAATGAAACCTCTCACCAGGCCAAGGGTCAAAACAGATCAGGACTGTGAGTTCAGCAAGGACAGGAGATGCTGGAAGGATGTTGTTACTTTTGTAAACAGCTGACCAAAGTCAGGACATCCAGAGTGGAGACAGCCCGCAACATCAACATGTGGTTGGGAAGGTTTGTGCAGAAAATAAAACAGTAACTGGCAGCAGGTTCATCGTCAAAAAATTTGAATTCCAGTGTGAAAGCTTCAGTTTGAACTCAAATCCCTCTGCATCTTCATGTTGGATTTGGAAAGCAGTGCTTAAAAATAACTTCAGATTCAGGTGCTGAAAAAATAAGGAAATGTCCTCTTTATTCTGACCAGATTAGTTCCTATGTCCTGCAGTGGAAACAAACCATTATGTAATTGGTATCTGTCATATATGACAGCTCATCCAAAGGCTTTACAGACTTCATTCACAAAAAACACACTTAGTTGTTTATTTTAACATTTAATTAATGATCATAGTTCAAGACCAACAATGATAAAAAAAATGTTTTTTCCTACAAATACTTCTATTCACATTTGTTGAAAATGATGAAATTTTAGGGTGAAGCTTAAAACCTACTTTAAATTAGTAGAAAAACACAATTTTGCAAAAAAAAATCTCTAAAACTGCCAGGCCGAGTGTAACTATGCAAGCAGTTACAATGTGCAAAGAAAGATGTTTAATGGGTCTTTTAGTTTTTAACGTTTGTCCTCTTCATGCTGTTAAAATACAATAAATTCAGGGAGTTAACTGATGTGGGACTGTAAAAAAGGACAGCAAAAACCTACAATTATCAAGTCAACAGATTTAAGAGAACCTGAAATCAAATTTGAAAACACAAAGATTATGCATCAGGATTATATCTACATATATAAAGTTTTGTTTATGTCTGAAGCAGTTAAAGTTGAAATCTTCTGATCATTCAGAAAATTCTAACAACATCATCATCATAAAAAGTCACACATTAAAAAGTGCTAAAAGTGTTAACAGTCCCAGCAGCCAACAGAGAAACAACCAAAGGTGAGAGCAGACGACCCTGCTCAATATCTGCTCCTCTGCTGTGGTTTGAAGACATGGCGAGCGAGGATGGAGTATGGTTAGACGGATGATGAGTTTCTAATCATCGCAGCCCAGCAGCTCCATACGTAAAGTGATGCGTTCGTGCCACTCCCAGGGGATGACTCTGACAAATCGGGCGTAAAATGGAGGCTCAAATAGATTCTTCCTGTGAGTGTTGTTATCGAGGTTGCCTTGGAAAAGCTAGAAAAAAAAGGGTTGATTAGATTCGAGCAGCCCAACCAGATGTCAAGAGAATCCGCACAACAGCCCAACATCCCTGTGTCATGAACCTGTTGACTCTATTTAAAGACTTTCAGTGTTTTTACGCAAAAATATCTCAGACAAAAAGACGTCTTCTGTATTACCTTATCATTTCCAGTGTCAGGCTCCTTCACCGTTCTCCAAGACTCTCCATCGTTACTGTAAGCAACTTTAAACACAGACACAAACTGCACCACACCAAAGTCTTTGGCCCCCTGGGTGATGATGCCTGTGAGGCGCTTTGTCTTCTCCAGATCGACCTGTTGAAGACAACATTTAAACGGTAAAGATCTGAATCACCTGCTGGTTTATAGGGGATATTTTTCTAAGATGATAAGGTCTTGCAGCTGAGATACCTGAATCCACTCGGATCGGTTGCTGCGAGCAGGAGACCAGGCATTTGTCTTCCCCTGTTTGTCCAGACGGGCAAACTGAGGGTGCCACGTGAAGGAGTCGATGCCCCACGTGCGGTAAGTGCTGGAGGCTGTGAGCTGCCCGTCTGAGATGAGGCGAGACTTCATTCCCAGGGAGGCTGAGCAACCTGCCGTGTTTGAATAAACTGTGAATCCAGGGACAAACGGGAAGGCGGAGGAGGGAGGGAAACCACAAGCGACAGAGGAAGAGAGAAAGAAAATGATTACACCCAAAGAACAGACAAATTAAGGTCAAACTTCATCCCCTCTGAAGACATACATTTACCCAGAAAGAAGAGACTGATTAAAATGATTTTTACAGCCAAAGGGACCAGGAGGGAACAGAGAGAAGCAGAATGCACTCAGCAGAGAGATTTACATGCAGCTTGTGTTCAGTCATCGTGTTTGTCTGTAAATATTGTTGCCTGTATGTTCAAAGAGACCAAGGATTAAAGAATAAAGAGTTACACGTGTTTCTGCCTCTGCTCACACTTGGAATTCTCGCTTTATCGTTGCATGTTTGAGTTTACCCACAAACACCGTTTATACTACACATTTTCTCTCTAACCACAGAGAGATGGAGGCCGTGTTATGTAGATGAACTCTTTTACCCCGTCATCATGTTTGTCAGGATAACCGCAGAAAAATGGAAACAAGACATTAAAACAATAAAACAGAGGAAACATTAAAAAAGAGAATTTCCACTCTTATAGACGCTCCAGGAATTTACTCGTATAGTTTCAACCACTGGACAGAAACAGGAGTTCACTGAGACTTCGCCTTGATCTGATTTTAACTTTTGTCTGTCAAGTTTCTCCTGAGCAGCCATGCCCGATCAAAACTGTAGTATATGTTTTCTGTGTGTTTACCATTGAGTTCACAGCCAACCAGCTCCATTCGCAGCGTGCAAGCTTTGCGGCAAACCACAGGAATGATTCGGATGTACTGAGCCACGATTGGAGGGTCAAAAAGGTTCGTCTTTGTGCTCTCATTATCAATGTTGGCCACAAAAACCTGAAGCACAGAAATAAAAGAAATTAAAATCTACTGTTTGAGATGAATCTGGTTAAAGAGCACAAAACATGAGGAGTCCTCTAACCTTGTCTCTGCGTTGGCCATCCGCTTTGTAAGTGGTGTAAAGTTTTCCATCGAAGCTGCTCGCCACCTTGAAGGCTTTGATGTACTCAGCAGTGCCCATACGACTGGCACCCTGAGTGATGATGCCTGTCAGGCGCATTGTCTTCTGCATATTAACCTGTTGTTGAAAGGAAGTAAGTTAAATCAGCTCCGAGCCACTTACACAGATCGCTTCTCTACTTCTTAAGAGTTCACTCCTCTCACCTCAATCCAGGGGTTTTTGTCATAAGCAGCGGACGTCCAGGCGTTGACGATGCCTTGGTTGTTTAGTCGTGCCAGCTCTGGACCCCACCGCTGAAGACCCAGAATGCCATAGTGCACAGAAGAGGATGTGATCTGGGACTCCACGATGGCTCCTCCCTCCATTCCCAATAGAGAGATGCAACCTGAAAGACAAAGTGTGCACTTTTAGGGCTTCTGTTTGAGAGTGTTGTCATGTTGGTAAACCTTTTTTAATCATCTAATCAACATAAATTATAGTACTTCTTTTTGTCAAAACCAAAGTTAAAGTTCATTGTAGTGTGTGTGTGTATTTGATAGTAAACATACGTAGCTGGCACTGCTTTCCAACATATGGTGAGAGGCACTGGCAGGTGTAGTCTCCATCAAGATCTCGACACATCCCTCCATTCTTACAGGGCTGATCGACACAGTCATTCACATCTGAAAAATAAAGGTGACAACTTACTGTGTGGTGCTGATGATCTGCACACCTACTTAGCAACTTCTCAGAGGAAACAACTTTTAAGGCTGTTTGGGAAGGGTTGATGCTTGCAGCCACTTTGTTCACAGCAGATGAAAGGTCAAATATCATGTCTGATTTTAATATTTTGTTAAAATGTTGCAGAGGAAACTTGAGGATTTTCAGCAAGCTCACAAACCAAGTCTGTGTGGATCAGAAAGGGAAAATCATGGAAAAAAATGTTGCTGATCAAAGTCTTGTTACGCTCCAGGGTAACCATGGCAACAAAGCAGGTTGTTCTCCTATACCTACTGCTAATGCAGTACCTAGTTTTCTCCACACGGTGGCAGGCTTGCACAGTGTGTTTTAAAAGTCTGAAAAGAGCAGCATACAGCCTCAAATCAACCAGGGAGACCAAAATGTTTTCATGGACTGATCCAGAATAAATAAATAAATTGATAAATTAAAAACTATAACCTTGTCACAACTCAGAATTTATAATTCACAGATCAAATATCATGACCAGCCTCATTTATAGTATTTTTTTTCTTTAAGCTTTTGGGTTCTGAGTCAGGCGGGGTATAGCAGGTGACTGAAGGTAACTGGTTGATGAAAATGCTGCAGCCAGAGTATAAACAAGGTGAAAACAAACACTCATATCACCCCTGTGCTTAAATCCCTTCACTGACTGCCTGTTGCTTTAAAATCCAGATTAAAATTCTAACACTTACTTATAGATCTCTACACTCAGGCCTCAGAATACCTGTTTGAACTCATTTACCCTCACCAGGCAGCTTGTCCCCTCGGATCAAGTACGTTACACTTAGTTTCTGCTTCAGGTGCACACCGCAGGACTCGTGGTGACAGAGCTTTCCAGACTACAGCAGCAAATCACTGCTCTCCCAGCATCCCTGCACTCTGCAGAACTGTAGGCTCTGCTTTTAAAAATGTGTCAGACTGGCCTTCACAGTCTACGTGCCTCACTTAAAGAGGCTGTAGTACTCGTGGAAGCTGATTCTATTCCTGGCCATGACCCTTTGTTACATGTTTTACCCAGCTCTCTACTCCCTACATTTCCTGTCTTTCTTTAGCTGCCCTATCTTCTCAAGGCAACGATGCCCCAAAACACAACTTAAAAAAATCTATGTAACAACACTCCTATTCAGTTAGAAATGTGGTAAATCATCCCTCTTCTTTCGGTCCACCATAAGAATTTGTTCCCAGTATTGTATATGAGGAGTGTTTCTCAAATTCTTGAACATGTAAATCTCTGGCTCATATAGCAATGACACTTATTACTCGCCCAAAATGTTTAACCTTCTTCCCTTTTCTGTATGTTTCATCTGTGACAAGCACTCTGTGACTTTTGTAGAATCAGCATCAGCTCTATTGGCCAAGTATGTGTACACATACAAGTAAATTGACTCTGGTAGACTTAAGTCTTTATATACAAACACTTAACATGAAATATGACACAAATATGTACAAACTTAGACATTTAGATGATCTATACGAGACTGTTTTAGACAGCGGTGCAATGGGAAGGAGTGCAGAGGAATGTTGAGAGAGAAAAAAATATATACATATGTGATTATATAACAGGTGGTTTATGTGCATGAGGTGGACCTGTCGGTGAAAAGCGCTATATAAACAAACTATTTTTACTTACATGGTTGGAAAGACCACCAGCAGTGTCCTGTCGCATATAATAGTTTGTGCATCTAGTTCAAAGGTGTCTTTTTTATTTCTTTTTTAGTATTTTTGGGGCAATTTTTGCCTTTTATTGATTGGATAGGGTGAGAGAGAGGGGAGAGGACCCAACAGCACATGGTTGGGGCTGTAGTCCCAGGGAGTTCTCTGACTAATATTTTTAGTATTTATTCATTTTAAAATTTGTGTTTGGGTTTTACCAAAGAGAGCATGGCATAAGGTCATGTAAATAATCTAATACACTTTTTAAATGGTTCAATTATTTTTTCAGCCATTGACACTCTGAAGAGGTCAGGATTTCCACATGCTTAGCTGCCAATAAAATAATCAAATATCCTAACTGATGACTAGTGTAAAGCTGACCATGCCTCATATCTGATCTCTTCCTTTTGACAATAAATACAAGTCAGTGTTGCATCAAACCGTTTGGAAATTACTTCTTTTTGTATTTTAACCAGTTTTCCTCTGGCACTCTGTGAATCTACATGTCTATTGTGATATAATTTATGAACACGTGTTATTATGTGGCCTATCAAAGCTGATAAAGCAGTGAACTGACCATGAGTGATACTGAAAAATAAAAATTAACTCTAAACTTTAAAACGAACTTTCTTCCAGTCTTGTTTTCTTGTCTTACTCACATAAAGACTTGTTCTGGACTTTAGGGGTAAAGCAAATGACATGTTGACGTGAGACCACATGGGTCTGTTTAATTCTTGTTCCAGTTAGCACTAAGAGGATTGGTCACACTTCAGAAACGAATAACTGTATGTCTGTGTCAAAACCATAAATGATCCAATCAGGAGACAGACCGTAAAACAGCTTGACTGATTTTCTCAGGGATTATTTTCCACTTGTTTGCCAACACTGACATCATGGACAACTGGGTCTTCTCCCACAGCTGTACTTGAATGATCAGTAACTTTTAACTGTAACTGAAAATACAAACTAAAAGTATGTTTGGTCATTCACAGAAACTAATAAATGGGACAGCCGTTTGGCTCTACTTTCAGCTCTTCCACACCCGCCCAGCCTATGACGTCTGACTGACACAAATATAGAAAATGTCAGGGAGTAGACAACCAGACTGCACAAACATAACATTTGGTGGTCAGGTCGTGGGCTTTAGGGTGAGCTGTTCATTCACAAAAAATGTCACTGCAGGAGTATAAGTCCCACTTAGACTATAATTATGAGGCCATCTGCAGAGTTTGATCTGTCATATGCACAAAGTTTATCGTAGATGTATTTTCTGACAATTCAAGACAAACTGCGTGAGTCACTCTCTCAGGGGGATTCCGAAAAAGACATTCACATTTAAAGAGAAAAAAATGATTTCCTCTCCCTTTTTCCATGACTAAACTGTGCAAACTTCAGCAACATTTGCACGCCAACTTAGTCAATAAAATAAGAGGATATGATGGATTTGACTAATATCAAATTCCTGCACGCTTAGTCAAAGCTTAAGCACAAACAGATGCAGTGTTGAGCCTAAGAGCACAGCCTCTGCATGCTAAGAGACTTGGAGTGGGGTTTTGTTAATTAGCCAAACAGAATGACCACAGAACCAGCTGAAAGGAAGTCTTTCATGAAACTGCTGAACTGACAACGCGTCTCTTTCTGCACTAATGCTATGACAGGATGGAAAACCCTCATGTGTTCACACTCAGAGAGAAATCGGCTCAAAGTGGGCTAAACTCTCATTTCTATTTCACTGCCTTTCAACCCATTTGGATAAAATTTAACATGACTTTCTTTTCTTTTCTTTTTTGATTATTTCTCATCAGGACTCAACCAAAGTTAGTGTTTTGTTCTCAGCAGCTTGGCTGTCTTCTAAACCATAAAATCTCTAAACATCAACACATCATTATTTCAGCAGAACCATTGCTATTTTATGCTTTATCAAGTGTTTTATTGACTATAAAGGTATGAGGGTACTTTGAGTGCTTGATGTAATGATTCCTAAAGGTTCATCAATGTTGACTCAAATTATACCTTGTATTTCTCATTCAAATATCAAAGTTGTTACAAATATTTTTATCATTATTTGTCTTGGGTTTTACGTATCATTTTTGGGGGGATTTTGATGTCATAATTGTAATTTTGGAACGCAGAAGGAGAGGTTTCCAAACAGTGAAATTAAAATAAATTAAATAAAAGCTTATCAGATTTCTTTGAGGTGTGATTTAAAGAAATGAATAGAGGACAAAAGGTGTTACTGTGCAGCTATACCAAACAAGGGATACAGCTATTGCACATAAATTGCATCTGTAGGCTACATACTAGTCTGGCAGTGCGCTCCCTCGAAGCCTGGCTGGCATTTGCAGATGTACTCATTGAAAACATCTCCTCGTCTTGTGGGAGAAATGACCTCACAAGATCCATCGTTCTTGCAGGGGTTTGGGCTGCAGGGTCCTGAAAGAAAGACAGAAAGAAAGAAGAGGATGATGGATGGGTTAATCAAACAATAAACTAGTTTTCCTTTCACTTATAAAAAGGTTTCCCTCAGCTGTACCTGTCTCTGTCAGGTTGCAGGTGTCTCCAGCGAAGCTATCTGCACAGATGCAGATGAATGGATCATCTCCAACTCCCGTCACACATGTTCCTCCGTTATGGCACAGATTCACCTTACAATATTCACCTGAGCAAAAAGACATTAAAAAAGTGAGTAGAAGATATAGAACCACAGCACAGTGCAAGAATGGCAACTACGACTACTTAGACATTAGTATTTGACCGACTTTGTAGTACGGTGGCAGCTTATTTCCCTCGTGAATCTGTATGAGACCATCTACTACAGACTGCAGTGAGACAACAGCACATGTTGTTGTTTTGAAACCCTCACAGTGTCTTGTGTGTGAAACTCTTGGCCTCCTGATCTTGTTATGCTGTAGCTGTTGCCCTTTTAACCCTTAAAGTTTAAGCCACAGGTCAACAGATCAGCTCCTACTCAGTCTGTGGAATGAATCTAAAGTCATTCTGGGAGAAGGATGAGCTCAGTGTGGTAGCCTCAGGACCATTATGTAGATTCAGGCATGAACTATGTAAAGGTCAGAAACTCATCTCAAAACTATCTCTGAGAAACACTGAAAACATGCCTTCTAGCAACGTATTATAACACTTTATTGGCATTGGCATTTAGAGGAATTTCACTAACAAAACAATGTAAGAATAGGGCTTCAACTTTAATTTTCATATTGATAAAACTGTCCATTACTCTTTGCAACAAGTCAATAAATTGATCGATGTAAACATTAGAAACTGTCAAAGTATTTCAGCGTTACATGAGAAGTCTCTAAAACACTGCTGGTGAAATCTACAGAGGACAGAAAGATCCTTTTACCATATTCAATTCCAGTTCAACGCCTCCACTCTAGCAAATTGCTAATTCTCTAAACTTCTCCACCTATAGGTTTGACACGTGGGTTTCCTGCTTAACATTTGTAGCCATGAAAGCGATTCTGGTGGCTTTACCAGGACCTTTAATACCTGAGTGCAACATTCCTGATGCTTTGCAAGTACACAGAGTTTCAACAGTCATCAGAATCAATGGGGCAAATCTCTACAGTGAAAGTTGGGCCTGAACATTTGTAACAACAGCAAAAGTTGCAGTTTTGGCAACAGAAACCACATTGCTGACTCACAGGTCCTGAGTGGATCAGGAAAATAATGGTAGAGACATTTAGTGGGAGTGGCACAAGTTTATGAGTCACACGGTTAAGCATTTGAAGTGACAAAATCATATATCATACTCTGTGGGGTTTGTTTTTACATGTGTGTTGACTCATAAGAGGCCACGTCACAGTCTGCACCCATCTGGCATAAGGCCTGAGTGAGTGTTTGTACTGGAGTTTATCTATTGTGTCAATTAAAAAAAAAAAGAAAAAAAAAGTGACATAACAGACTTTTTCTTTAGTTTCACAGTTATGATGCCAAAAAACGAACACTGAGTATGTGTGCGTGCTTTTTTCAGATTCTGTAGCTGAAACTCTTAGGTACATAGAGTATCTCACTGTTGTCATGAAACCTGTGAGAACTTAGTAGACTGGCTCTGCCGATGGAGTCATTTATACAAAAGGAAAAAAGCTAGTTAATGTGACAGGGGAAGAGATTAACATTGTTGAATGGAGATCATCAATACTATGATTCAATAAATATGAAGAATTTGAGTTAAAATGGGTTGCATCCTTGTTTTCAAGTAACAGAGTCTGTATGACAGAAAATTGGAGGACTGCAAGTGTTTCCACTTAAACCAAATACTGGAAATAAAAGAGGTGGGGCCTTGAAAATAATACAAAACACCACCTCTTCTGGACCTCACCTCATACTTATGGAACTTTTTTACACATTTTTAAACAATAAAACCCCCAATACTACAGTAGTCAACAAGAGACAACACAATGTGTCTCTGTGCAGGATTAAGAGCTTGCAGGATTAGCCAGGTTGCACAGATACCTGAAGCTCTTTCAGGACTGAGCAGTTACACAACATGACAGCATAGCAGCTCAGGTGTGGCTGAGGACACATGGCACACCTGAACTATAGACAGGTGAGTAGAAGTGGGCAATAAATAGGTCCCCTGACTGGACAAAGATCAGATGGTAAAGACACCCTAGCATCATATAGCAAAGGCGGTAATGCCCATTTTATGTCTTCAGATTCACGTGCGGATGGCAGGCATTTTCCCAGGTTGAACTTAGGATAGCTAGGTGAGTGGACAGCTGGCTTGTGTTGGCTCCAGACTGCTGCACAGATGGTGTTGTTGTTTTACTCCATCTGCATCACCTCTTAGTTTGACCGCAAAGGCTTCCATAGGGGGCAGTGATGCTTTACAAAACAAGCAAAACTATAATGGTACAAATCCTCTGTCTACTCCCTACAGATACATTAATATCAAGTTACACAAACTGCTTTTTACAGTGGGTGACACTCAGCAGGAAAAAAACATCAGCTACTGCTTAGCCATCTCCGTGAGCAACATATCTTTTGCAAACCAGCATTTTACAACCTCTTTGAAAAATAGAACTCATAATAACATAGTCTCACATGAAATAACAGGGTTGTCTCACATTTAATAGCCAATTCTACCATGACAATAATGAGGTGGTATCGTGTGATGACAGACTTGACTAAACTCTGAATGTTTTGGTCATTTTAGAGGTGATTTATTGCTATAAAATAATGAGAATGGTCACGTTATATAAATGTGATTATTATGTAAAAACTGTTCAATAAAAAAACTCATGTTGTAGCACATTATTACTTAAACCTATCTCACTACCAAGCTAAGAGGCACTGACTCACTCCAGGAAAAATGGGTCCGTATGAGACAGGAAAATGAAAATGAAAAAAATAACTTTGTGGCACCGTTCAGTGTCAAAGTCCCCTTGTGACTCACATGGAAAAAGCGAATAATGTTTAGTTATATTTTTTGGAATAAGAGGCAAAACAAAAAACAAGAGGCATTAAGAAGCTACTTTTATATGCTAACTACAGTCTGTGAATAAGACCGGCTGCTCTGCCACACAGACATAAACAGACTGTCAGCAGATTTGATACGTTTAGGTGGAGAAAAAGGACTTACCTCTGACTGAAAACAGGCAAAGTAGTAGAGTCGTCACGGCTAAACTCACTTTGATTTCCATCCCGAGACGTATCATGTTTGTTTGTCTTGACTTTGTCTGTATGTCCGAGGAGGAGACGCGCTGCCGCTCAACTTCTAACTGATGCTGCCTTCAAGTGCCCTCGGATATTTTGGAATTTCAACAGAAGTGGGACGTAGCCGAGGTAAGGGGTGCAGTATTAAATACCAGAGCCACCGGGACCTTTTCCATAATACCCGGGTCAATAACACGTGACGTTACAGGGGCGGAGTCATGTTAGTAAACAGACACTGCGAGGGGAGGTGGGGGTGTTTTCTAGCATGTTCCTGACTAGTAATCCATTTTGCCGATAGTTTATTGCTACTTTTGAGGAAAGTTGTACTAGCAGTTTGTCCTTTATTCTATCTACTTAACCATAAGTAAAAGTGTAGAATCAGACAGGCGATCTTGTATCAGAAAGGGCACAAATATTTCATTGAATGCTGCAAATTTAAGATTTATGACTCTACGTTTCCGCTTTTTCATGAACATTTGAAGGCAACATTACCAGATTGACAAGGTGGGACAGGGTGGGCGTGGATCGTTGACGGGCTATTTTGTGTGGCTGTTCCAGGTAAAGATGATAATATCCTAAGCCCATTTACGTGTTCATGTGTTTTATTTAGGCTCTGGTGATGTAAAGGATGACTATTCATCTCCTGACACCCGATCTGCAAGAGAACAGAGCAAATCTAAAGAGATCTACCTATTTGGTGCCTGAATCAATCCCCGTGGGAAAACTTCATCAACCCCCCAGCCAAGTGTTAAGGAATAAAGCAGGCAAAGTGCAGCGTCCAACCTACTCCAGTTTCCAGGCCAGAAATTTCTTTGGTCAAGGCGTTTGGTTTGGCAGGAGTGGTACTGACCTACTAATGCCTCAAGCTACCATTCTCTTACTTACTCTGGGTATTATCCAGAGTAAAATGTCTAGTTTAAAGACCATTAATTACAACCAGCAGTCATTTAATTAAACTTCAGGGGCATGATTTATCTTTTTTATTCAGTTTCCTTCCATATCTTTGAGTAAAAGCAACAATGTTGAGGAAATTAACATGAAGTATACAGTATTGTACACTAAAGAACTCTTGTTCCACATGACAGACAGTGCTGTAGTGCTGTCTTAGATCAGACAAACCACAAACTCCTGACAACTTTTGGCATGAACAACAATAACGCATGAGCCAGTGGCTTTTGTTTGCAACATCTTAATACTCTCCTATTTGACTAGAAAAAACATTACAAATTTTATAACAATATCCGTGTAGTATCATGTAATGTCTTGGTACTTTAATTTCTTTTTTTTAATTTATACATGCATCATATATACAGTACATAGTCAGAGGCAGAGCCGGCCCAAGGCATAAGCGAACTACACGCCTGCTTAGGGCCCCGCAGCCAGTAGGGGCCCCCAAGAGCAATCAAAAATAATAATAATAATAATATTTTTTGCATGTATGAGTGACGCTTTCTGTATGAACAAATATATATATTATTGTAATAATAAAATAAAAACATTTTAGTGCTGCTGCTGATGTAGGCCTGTGATTCTTACTGCCAATATGTAAAAGTTCTGCTACCATTATGTGCCTCCCACTGTGCAATGTGCACTGAGCATCCTAAATGTGTTACATTTTGAGATTAAACAATATGTGGCACCCTGGACATCATTCATCAGTCACTCATTAGTATTATTTGTATGGTTGCATTGGTATTATTTATGTTATTACCTAGGCTATCCCCTTAAATGTGTAAAGACATGTCAGGCATATTAAATTTATACTGTAGTAGGTGTGTGAATGATCAACAATCAATATTATTAGCAGAAATAGAGGGCCCCAAAATCAAACTTTGCTTAGGGCCCCATTGAGGCTTGGGCCGGCTCTGATCAGAGGTAAAAATATATTTATACAATGACTTGAAATAATGTGTCACTAGTCTATCACAAGTGTTTTGACATGATCAGTTTTTTTTTGTTTTTTTTTTTTTACATACATTATCTTTTTCACTTGCCAAACACACTTCGGTTTTCAAAGAGATCATGGTATTTTTAATTTATTTTACGATTACTCATCCTTTCTTTGTAAGGTATCCCTTGTGCTCTGTCGCCATCACGTGGTTAGTATGATATTACACGGGCTGAATTTTTCTCATATTTGTTTTTTATTGATCAATGTTTCTGGTCAAGGTAAGGTAAGGTCATGCAGTCTCCGCTCCTTTTAAAGCCGTGACTATAAATACACAACGAACTGCTGCAAATATTGGACAAAAGGCTCTTGCAAATCAACACCTGCCATGCAAGTACATGTGTGCCATAAAAGAGAAATAGTGAGGGTTATAGAAGGTTTTATTTTCGGATAAAACAGTGCATTACCATCAATTATGCACCAGTATACTGGAATGTTACCCGCTTGTATGCAAATGTGTGGAAATCACTGAAGAAGAAATGTTATGTAACAGGTTCCAACGCACGTTCCTGTCACGTTTAGGAGGCCTCAGAGCTGATCCAATGTCTACCGAATGACAATGGCAGAAGACGTGATCTGATTCTATGCTATTGATAACGGATTTGAAGACTTGTCGCAACATTTTCGGTAAAAATATTCGCCGCTTATAAGAAACTACGCAGCAGCTTTTTCCACAACCCTGTCACAAAGACGGGAGTGTCTTTTAAAGTTGTTAAAAAAAACAATCTTCAACCCAAATGATAGCTCCATGATAATAATATCAATGAATATGTGTAAAAATGTTGCATTGTTATTTGTGATAGATAAGGGGCGTGGAAATTGATGGTGGCGTTACGTCATTGTTGGTATCGACCAATTAGGAGGTCGGTATCCCTGTTCCAGATTCATCGAGGAAGTAGAATCGGAGATGTGTCAGAGCTGCTGTCGCTAGCTTTTGGCTTAGTGTATGAGGAGGGCGTCCTACACATCAGTCAGCCATGGTATAGAGGGGCACGGAATAAATAAACGAAATGTCACGAATATAAGAAAACATCTGAAGCAGGAGGGGCTCATTTATTCTCCTAACAGCCGAGGTAAGTGAGCCAAAGACCTGCTGTTGTTATGACGGTGGGATCCGTGTTAAAATGATGCTGCTACATTTAAACGAGAGTCAACAGCAATCGACGCTTTTTTGCCTTTTACGACAAGCATTTGACAGCTAAGATTCAGGGGGCATTCGTATAATTAGTGTGGATTTGGTCTGTTTGTTGTCTGTATTTGAAGTTACTGCGCAAATATTCAGACTGGTTGTCCAGAAGACACTGACTGTGGTTATCATTTTCTCACCGGGGTGGGATGAGCAAAGATGCAGCGGAGGTTATTGGCTTCCTCCCAAAAACAGTCCGTATAAATAAGCATTTAACGGGGCAAACTGAAATGTTGGTTATTTTTTGTTTAAGCTAGCCAACAGTTACTAACGTCTCTCTACATGTCCGCGCGTGCTGCTGTTAACTCGTCTCGCGCGGACTGTTAAGTCGTGACAAAGACTGAAGAGCTAATCTTAGCAGCTGTTCTCATGCCAAATTGGATAACTTATTTACTGCTACAGTAAGGCCTTTAATAAGTACAGTTTCTCTTGGCTCGAGTCATACACAACTGTCTGATATAACGTTACTCACGAGGTGTGCTGGCGGTGGAGAGGACTGGTGCTGCTCGTGCGGATGTGGGGCCCTTAGTCTAGTTAATGAAGCTTGTTTTATGCAGCTGGGTATTACTCTGTTATTATTTATTTTAAAGTTGAATAACTGGTGTTAAGATCTACTGAACATAGGTTAAAGCGGTAAAAACAGGGTGCGCGATATCGATCTTTACCGATATCTGACATGCCGATATTTTCAAATTTATGTTAGATGACACTGATGTACTGAAGTACATCATTGGCCTGAGGGAGCTGACATTTCCCCCCATGCTGAAGGCTCCTTATCAAGAGTTGTGATCTTAGTATTCTTCTAGCAGCCTGAACTGGATTTTTGTCAAAGCTGTTAATAACTGTTAGGATCTTCCCAGCAGTAACTGTCTCTTTGTTTGCACTCCAGTTCTCTTTGTAGATTTCATTAAAACACAGAAAAAAAGGAGACTTACAAAATATTGAACTAATGTGGCTGGGTGGGGCTGTATGAAGTTTTGTAGATTTCGTAAAATACTGATTTAAACAGTGCAAGATGAAATTTGCCATTTAATAATTAGAAAGGTACATTTTTAAAAGTGTCAAGTACATTTACAAGCCACCAGCTTAACACAAATGTGTTTGTTTGCTTTATTGCAAGAAAAAAAAAATCAACACAAGTATAAAACTGTACAGCACTTCAGATGAGTAGTGATATTCTCAGGCTTACTGCCCTAACTGTAGCTCACCAGTCCTAAAGGACCAAAGCGTAAAGGATGCTTGATATATAATATTGTATAAAGGATATTGTTGTACAAAGGCTTACAGTGTGTCACTGGGAGGCAAAAGGTGACAACAAACATACCTGCTCACACATCTGTTGAGATAGTTTCAGGCCAGGGACAATGGTGATAAGCAACAATACAGTCAGGTGACTGCATGTGTCGGAGATGATTTGTCTGTAATTTATTTTTAATTGTTATGCTTCATAAACCCATTATTTTGAACAATGTTTTTATAGTGGTTAACCCAAAATGAATTCCAGTAATTGTGTAATCAGTTCAGCACTTAACTAAATGTCATGTTAACAGGTTCATGTAATCTAGAGGCAGCTTTTGATAAGATATGGAATAACAAGATATTGAAAATGCACCATAAAGGTTCTGACATTACATTAGGCCACTCCTAAACAGTCTAGGGGAGGGATGGAATATATTACTGATCATTATTATAATCAAGGGATCAATGTATTGTTCATTCTTGTCTTCAGGTTTGACCACAACACTGTGACATTTTATCGACTTTGGAACAAGTCTTTATTGGAGTTAAACTCAAACATCGCTTGTAAGTAAATGTAATTTACCATCATCTGTACATTTTATTGTTTCACTCTTACATTCATTTGTTATTTTGTCAGTTTTGTGTTACTGCTTTGTCAACAATGGAAAGAACTGTTTTCTATTTTTGTGAAATCCAATACCCCAACTTCCCCTTTCTCAGTAATGATAGGAGATACTTTAGCCTCTCTGTATCCTGGACAGTTCCTCTTTCAGTAATTTCACAGCTTATTTAAACCTGGCTGTGAAAGGGTATGTTTGTTCCCTGTAACCAAATGTGTTATGACTGCAATGCACTACACCGTTTTTCAGTCCAGGATTACAGTCTTCTGAATATATGGACAGGTTTTCAGTTGAAGTTGTTAGCACCTCAATCAACCATATAGATAAGTCTACTCTTGGCACATTTTTAGATGAAATGTAATTAAGGTGAGTGTGTTAAGTAACTGATTGTGCACCATCTGACTGGTCCGCTCCTCTTCTGTGTTCCCACAGATCTGTTGCTGCAGGGCTTTGGGCATCAGGAGTATTATTTAGGTCAGTCAGACATCATCAGATATTTTTATTTTCCATTCCCTATCTGACATATCAGTCATCCAAGAGCTCAAGAAAAAAAAGTCCTAAATAAATGATGAAAAAGTGTACAAGTTAAGTGTGCAAGTGTATCTGTGAAATGTAATACCAAAATGGGAAGTATGTTTGTGTAAGTTTTTTGTAAAAGCTCTTAAGAAAGTGTTGACGGCTGTTTTGTGTTTCAGAATAATCATGAACACCCACGAGGCAGACGTGCACACCATCTCCCCGGAGCTGCCGGCGATGTTCGACGGCATGAAGCTGGCAGCAGTGGCCACTGTGCTCTACGTCATCGTCCGCTGCTTGAACCTCAAGAGCCCGACTGCACCGCCAGATCTCACCTACCAGGACACTCCTCTCCACCGCTTCCTGCTCAAGTCCTGTCCTCAGCTGACCAAAGAGTGAGTGTTGTTTTCAGCTCAGTGTCTGTCACAAAGACTCAAAGCATTACCATGGAAATGACTCTGCTTGTCCGCCATCTGGGGCTGCAGTGAAGGTAGCTGTTTGTCTGGCGGTGGTCCCATATGTCATAACTGATTCTGAGTTTGCGTTGAGTGTATGCCAGAGATGTCTTGTCTAAGCAGTGGCTCTTTCATGAATAAACATCAAGCCGTGTTTGCAGGGAGTTATCCCAAAGGTAGATTGGGTTTGTCACATTTGCATTATAGATATAGACTTCTTCACCGTGGGGAAAGTGTATTTGCATATATGACAATGCAAGACTCCCAGTCAGAGCGAGTCTGATAATCCTATGATTCAAATCTTAAAGTAAATGATGCAAACCTGTTGATAGAGGAAGGCAGGTTCATAATGGGTAAGCTAAACTAGATCAGCAGCTAGACGCTAATGCCCTATGGTTTGACAGAGACTTATACCTCCCTGTCTTATTCTAAATGAGCATAACTAATGTCCTGAGATATGATGGTGTAGCAAGAATCCAGAGGGTCTCTGCAGGGTGGCCTCTCTGTTTGCCTCAAGCGTCTGCTTATATAACCGATTGTTACCAAGCCCTTTGCCTTTCAGCTGTGGTGTCACAGAATCATAAGGGGAATGTGATGTTTACATTTGTGTCTCGCTTGTTATCATTCCCCCCTGAACAGCCATATTTTGCTCACAGAAATTTGTACTCAAAAAAGTCCTCAAAACCATCTGCTTTGTTGATGTTGGCATGGTCTGTGTCCTGTCTTTGTGCAATTAAGAAGTGACGTTTGTAATGACCCCTGTAGTTTCGCATAACAAGGATCAATTACACAGAGAAAAGCATAGGAGGGATGTTGTGAGGTTAACAGAGTCAACAGCAGTTTTCTCTGGCTGTGTTTGGGAACATGCACACAAGGGCTCGGACTGACATGGAGAACAAATAGGGACAGTGTCCTTTTTCAGGGTACATCTCAGGTCAACATTTTTCACATTTGAATCAAAAGATTATTCCTAGATATTATTACACAACCACATATGCTCAAGCTTTGTAGCTTATTTTCGAGTTGTATTTATTTTATTTGGCTCCGGGCATTGTCGCAGTAATAATGTAACACATGCATGCTAAATATTAAGTCAGCAGCCAATAATAAACAAATCAATACCAGACAGACATTAGCAGCAATATAGTCTGATGGAGTCTTGTAATAGTAGCACAACAAAGAAGAGTAAATGTACAAAAGAAAGCAGGAAGATGAACCACAGCAACAACAGCAATATAGTCCATAGTCAATATAGCCCAGCCAGCAGCATGCATTTACTTCAAGAGGTGCACTGTGTATCTTTGGGTAAACAAGCCACCAGTTTGCCTTCCATTCACCTCTCACCATTGTAGTTTTTTTTTCTTTTTAAACCAGAGATTTTAATCTTACCAGCATCAAAAGCCTGAGACTTTACTTCTAAACTTTGATGTGGACCTTAGATCTTGGCTTAACAAACCATACTGACGTGTCTGTTTCCTCTTTCTGCTATTTTATTGCTCTGAAAGCAAACAGAGCACAGACATTGTATAAGAGGATGAAATTTATGACTTTGAAGGCAGGAATTGCAAATCAGATTTAAATTAGAATCAAGGAGTCAGCAAGTTAGGTTAAGTTTGTTATATCAGTGTTATTGATATGTTGCTCGTCCTCCTGTCCAGATAACTACATCAAGGCTATTCTCTTCTGGTAGTCATTGATTAAGCCTGCAGAAATTGATATATATTTATATCGATACATGGAAGCAGTCTGGTTTTTGATTGACAGTGCCCTTATGTAAGAGGGTATTTTCTACTTCCAGTAATTGTTGTGGGTGTTGTTCAATACCAGGTTGTACGGCTTGTGCAACTGTTGATGTAACTGAACCCTTTTGCTCCCTTCCCATCTACTTTTATCTCTGTGTTTTGGTCGTCTGTCCACTGTTGGTGTCCACCCTTCTGAGCTTATCTCACCTAACAGCTCCCTAAGATGGCCCCACTGCATCACATTGTCAGCAATTGTGACAAGAAAATTAGAGATATGATGTTATGTAATTGAGGGAAAGTGAGAAGGAGGCAGCCGGTGCTTGCTAATGTGTCATTTTCAACAACTGTACTGTTAAAAGCTTTTTTTTTAACAAGTAACCAAAATCCAATGGATAAAATCTTGCCAATAAACACAGATACTCTTTAAGATAGATCACCTGATGTCTTTAGAGGAGATAGAGAGAGTCATATTTTCTGAGGCGGGTCATATCAGAGGTTTGGAGCCACAATACAAAAGCCTTGTCTCTGCAGAGGGTTACAACATTATGTGGACAGAAAACAAATACTTGTTTTGGCTGTTATCCCTGAGGCTCTCACTCTGATTATAACATCTCTTTAGTCCAATCTTTCTTCATATGATTTGATAAGTGGCTGAAAAAATAGCACTTGACACAGTTTCTTCCCATGAGGTTGTTCACATGATTTTGGAACCAGTGTAGAAATAAGATGGTGATTCATGATAATGCACAACACAAGGTCCAATATTCAAAGGAATATTATGTAATCCAGAGACTTGACTCCCACATCAAACTCCTACAGAATATCGCAGGATTTCAAGTACACATGCTCAGCATAACTTATAAAAACACAGCCAAAGACAGTGTTAAACATTGATGTCAACCAGGAGCACAGAGCAGCTGCAGCAGAAATGTCACTTTGTATGCAAACTTTGTGCCAGAATGTTGTAAAGTGTCATAAACCAGGAATGTAAATGTATCTTCTTTCAATAATGTCGTGTCAAAGGTATTTCTGTCCCCTAACCTTGAGCTTTTTTTCTAGTGCAGTAGGACAGTAAGCTCATATTTCTGGATCAAATGTAACAGTAGAAACCGTATTTGTGTTTTCCAGGTACATTCCTCCTCTACTGTGGGGAAAGAGCGGTCACCTCCAGACGGCTCTGTACGGTAAACTTGGACGGGTTAGTTCGCCTCACCCTAGTGGAGTAAGGAAGTACTTACCCATGCAGGATGGGGCCACTGCGACCTTTGACCTGTTTGAGCCAGTGGGGGATCATCAAACAGCAGGTGGTGAATTTGATTTTTTTAAACGTTCTATTTCTACAACATTACATACTCAACCATAAGTCATGCAGTTTATACCTAACAGAGGTTGGGCATTGTGAGGAAGTAGTGTGAGAACATTGTAAAGGTTGATCCTTCCCTTTGGATGCCTCAGCTGACCCCTGACCTCAACTTTGATCTTGTGATCCTTTAAGAAATCTTAAGACTCACATGACATTAGTTCCCCAAAAAGGAGCGTCATTAGTTCTGTTCTGTTTGACTGAGTATTCAACAGAAACAAAAATCAGTGCTGTTTATAGTTTATACATATAGGAATATACTCTTTTTCTTAACTGAGCTCAACTCCCACTGAAGAATATTTCCCTCTGATCCAACCTCCTGTTACAACAGATGACATCACCATGGTGATATGCCCTGGAATTGGTAACCATAGTGAGAAGCACTACGTCCGAACCTTTGTGGATTATGCCCAGAAGGATGGATACCGCTGTGCTGTGCTGAACCACCTGGGAGCTCTACCCAACATTGAGCTGACCTCTCCGCGCATGTTTACCTACGGTGAGGAGCTGGCTCAACTCTTACTTTACTTGTCATTACTAAGAGATGAAATGCAAGTTAACATTTTATAGCATTATATAGAAGAAGAATAAACCAGACTTAAGCACCAAAAGCACCACTATTTATCATTGAAATTATTGTACCTAGTGTGCTGCTCCTCTCCAGCTGTCTGATTGAAGTTGAGGCTTAAGACTGCTACCATTCATTCTAGCAGGAGAATTTTTTTAAGATAAACCTTTATTTATACCACAGTGGGGACATTTGCAATGCTAACAGCAAAGTTCTACACAGTAAATGCAAAAGAATTGGACATGATATTCCACATTTATTTGAGTTATTATACCAGAGAAAAATGTAGGTATTTGCAATTGTCATAACTATCTGGCCTGTCAATATTGCACATAGAGCAAACATGATGATAGCTTAGCCATCACCCTTCTGTCCCCAACCACCTCTACATGGTCCAGAGGGCAGCCCAGAACAGAGCTACCCTTCCTCACCTGTTAGTTGAGTCTGTTCCTGTCTGCAAACATAATGCTGCTGCTCCAGCAGACGACTCCAGAGAAGAGGACTGAGGCCACTAGTCATAAAAGGTCCTCATTAGTGCTCCCTGCCATAGACTGTATATAGAATGGACGCTGTCTGCCTCCTTGCTGGGTTAAGCCACCATGGGAACAGCACCCTCTGGTGACGGGCTGCAGTAAAGGTCATAAATCCCGCCTCCTCCAGCAATCCCTATGGAGTTGCGGACAAACTTTAGAAATTTGTTACACAGAATATAAATTTTTTCTCCCCCCTGCTTGCAATGTTGACATGTAGTTATTGTAAGACTGGTTTGTAGACTGGGCGTATGAAGATTGCGTAGCTCACCTGGAGGATACGCTGTTTGAGCTAAGCGTCGTTACAGCGAGTCTCCCGCCGAATGCGTACTATGCTACTGTGCAAGCGGTGAAGTGCGTACAATGCTACTGTGCAATGTTGGTTTCAGGAAATTGAGAAAAATCACAGAAATACCGAGAGTTTTTTGGCTTCAAATCTGTATACTGGTGGAAGGCGGAACCAAGTTGTCCATAGTATATACAGTCTTTGCTCCCTGCACACCAAATGACCTCAGTTTCCTCAGTGGGCGGAGTCTACTTTGGCCTTTTCTTGTAGAGTGAGTCTGAGTTGTCAGTCCAGTCCATTATAATTGTTCAGGTGAACACCCTGTACTTGTAGGAGTCCACAATCTCAATGTCCTTTCCTTGAATATTAACCAGTATGGGAGGGGTGGGTCTGTGACTGCAGAAACCTACCACAAGCTCTTTAGTTTTTCCAGTGTTGATCAAGAGGAAGTTCCACTGACACTAGTCTGCAAAGATAAAACATGTTTATGGTGAAACTTTAATTTTCTTTCTATGTAATCTCGTTTAGTTTGAGGTGTTTTAATCTTTCATTGAGACAAATCTCATTACAACATAAAGGTGAGGCTTAAAGGCTTTATGAGTTGGTAAAGCTCTCAGAATAAGAGATAATAACAGGTTTCAGGCCTGATCTCATGTAAAAGTCTGATGCAGATACACATTTAATACCCTGAGCTAAAGGCACCTTCAGCTGGAACTGCTGACCAGAGAGAAATACTCAATCCCACAGAGGTGTTATGTATTGATTGAAAAATGAACTGTTTCTCTAACAGGGTGCACATGGGAGTTTGCTTCCATGGTCAACTACATCAAGCGGACATATCCTCAGACCCAGCTGGTCGTAGTGGGCTTCAGTCTGGGTGGAAACATTGTGTGCAAGTTTCTGGGGGAGAACAGGACAAACCAGGAGCGAGTGCTGTGCTGTGTCAGTGTCTGTCAGGGGTACAGCGCTCTCAGGTGAGGAGTTCTTTCATCTTTGCATCCAAATACAGCCTATCATCAGAGCTCCTGTATTATACAAGCACTAGATTGTCACATGTTCATAAATATTGATGCAGCTCAGCATAATACCACAGAATGATTAGTGGTTGCATAATACAACCATGCGCTTAGGTCACCAAGTTAAAACCTTTCTAAGAGATAGACTGATAAAAGCTCTGAGATTCAAAGGTTTTTGTGTTTTTGTTCAATGCAACCATGCATTACAGCTTTCACTCTGTAGTGTGGAAGGTGTCTGTGTTCAGCATCTACCTAAGTCCATGTGAATCTTTGTGATGTGAAAAATAGGACCTAAAGAGGAAAATGGCTCACGCTTGAAACACTTTATATAGACAGAAGCACATTAGTGAAATCCACAGGGCGAGCAAATGTATCAGTGTGTCTTTATTCCTAAACCACTGGTCCATGAGGGCAGTAGAACAGACTCAGCACCCTGTGGTCATGCTGGACCGAGCCACACCTCCTCCGTTTTAAGTGCAGCTAGAGTCTCTTGGCAGATTTTACAGGCTGGATCTGTCGTAGCAGGCTGCAGGCAGTGGGTGTGTTGTAGGGACTGGCTGTTTGCAAAATTAGATTTCATATTTTCTCTTTTAAATAAATCATCCTCCTTTGAAATCAGTGCCCAGCTACAGCTGGCCCTTCTGTCTGCTCTCCCTTAATGCTGTTCTTCTTCATAAATTATGTCTGACAGTTTAACAACACAGTTGATCAAGTCTGACTTGACTGTTTTATCTGATGATCATGTATTTGTTAAATAAATTTTACTGATGTGTTTGTGGGGCCTGTCTCTGTGAGAGAGCTGGACATTAATGCCTGACACTGTTGCTGCTCTTTGCACACAGGCGTGACTCTTTGTCCGTCGGATTACACAGGGCATTTGGTGTGTTGTTTGGAATGCAGACAGGCTGACAAAGCTAACTTCCTGTGTGTTTGTCTTCATTTCTCAGGGCCCAGGAAACATTCCTACAGTGGGACCAGTTCAGACGCTTCTATAATTTTCTCATGGCTGACAACATGAAGAAAATCATCCTCTCACATAGGTATTACTGTTGGTCCTGCACAGACAGCACAGTTTATTTCATTATGGTTAACTTGTGGGTCAACATGTTTAATTTAAGAGAGCAACACCCAAAAAACAAACAAACAGCCCTTCAATGTCACATAAACAAAACAGAGAGAACATGGTTTCAGGACTTTTTCATCTGAACTTTTAACTATTGAATTCTTTTTGAAGGTGTTGGTCAGCTTGTGACATGCAGCAGGCACACCCGTTTATTTGCAGAGAAGTCCTCGGACAATGACCGGCTCTGTCTCTGCTTTGGTTCAGTCTGACTTAACACAGACTTGACAGATGTTTTGCTTTCCCACGTACACTTCTTCCCATTTTATGTCATTTTTAATGCACAGTGAATAGCCTCATATTTTCACATGTTTTTAGGAATTATGTTTTTGTACATATTTGTGAATCGTTGTTTTCCGAATGTTACAGGCACAGTTTGTTTGGGGGAAGCTCAGTGAAAACGATAGATGCAGATGTCGGTCGGCTGTGGACAGCGACGTCCCTCATGCAGATCGATGACAATATCATGAGGTATTTTAAGAAGCTTTTAAGTGAAGGTCATAGCTCTCAGTCTGCTTTTAATGCAATAGTTTGCTGATTTGCTTTAATAAATCTATAACATTTATTCAATCATTTGTCACTAATGAGACAATAAAATGAAGAACTTAATGACACTTTTGTCTTTGGGTGGTTTCAACAGAAAATTCCACGGCCACAGCTCTCTGAAGGAGTATTATGAGAAGGAGAGTTGTGTACATTTTATCCACAATGTAAGACCTGTTTTTTTCTCATCCCTCACATAAACATAAATATGTATCTCTTTTTAAGTCTGTTTGTGTATTTGTCTGATGCCTGGGTCCTCATTTGCAGGTAAATGTGCCATTGCTGCTAGTGAACTCAGCAGATGATCCTCTGGTTCATGACTCACTGCTCACCATCCCTCGCACACTAGCAGGTAACACCCAACATGTGTCATGATAAGAGTGCAAGATCTAAGCCTTTGTGAAAAACAAATAACATTGTTTTTTCAGCTATGTTCACTTGTGTACTTTACAGATTCTTATTATTGTTTAGTGGCCATCAACTAGGAAATATCAACACACATCAAATTCTGTTCACCTTTCCCAGCAGTATCTGCAGTATTGTTCAAGACAAGCAGTGTGAGGGAGAGATATTGAAGAAAAATCAAACTACAGACCTTTAGAGGCAGTATCTGCAGTTCAGAGTAAATGTCAGACTTCTCTACAATCAGAGCTTTGGTTGTTCTTCTACACATGAAATATGAAAAAGGTGCATGAATAGACCAAAAGCTGCATAATACTTTGCAGATGTGAGTCACTCAAACTTTTTTAATATTATAAAATAAGTTTAATTCTGTAATAGTTATATTGACCCTTGAAAGCAAAACAAGTGCTTTACCAAGGTGCTTCACACAGACGGACAGGCAATAAACATGTGAGGAGAGAGAGGAAATGTTATTGAAAATTAAAATAGGAAACTTAAACCTGCAGATAAAATCTGATTTTGAATAACTCTGACAAGCTGAAAATTTGATGATACCAGATTTAACTGAATATTTAATACTGTGCCAAAAATAATGATGTGTACTTGGCTCTGTAGAGTGAAATTCTGTACTGGAGTCTGTCATGTTCTTGCAGACTCTTTTGTCACATATTTGGTCCTCCATTGAGTCATCACTTCTTTAATACAACAAGTTCACCCTGCCTGGCTGCAATGCTTGCAGCTGACACCCCATTTTGTTCTCAGAATAAAATAAAAAAACATGTCTGCTATCCCAAAAGGCCTTCTTATAATAAGTTGGCCCTTCACCCTTAAACGGCCAGGGTGGGTCTAAAGTGTAGGTTATGCCCTTGGGTGTGTTTCAGCAGCTGCAACAATCACTCATGTATATAGTTTAGTGGGTGGTTCCTGTGTATATCTATTTAAACGTAGTTTTAACTTGTTCACATGTGTAAATTATTACAGTTTTTAACAAGCAGTGGACTGGACAACATGCTCAAATCTTATTTCATAGAAAGTTCATCTATCTAAGCTTGCTCCTTTTGTTACAGAGTGTCTAATCAAGTGCCCCACCCCCCCACAGCCTGAGTTATATTTAAACTTGCTGACCACTTACACTATTTTGGAAAAAGAAATTCCCTTGTGTGAGGATGTTTATGTGGGCAGATAAGTCCTGACTGGAAGTTCTTGCTCTGTCCTACATGTCTCTAGAGAGCAACATTTACTGAAAAGAGGATCAGCCGTCACCTTTGCCCTGAAATATGTCATGGTGACTCACACACGGGGTCACCAGGAGAGGACAGAAATACACTCACCGTGTTAGAGCTGTGATTAACTCGGATTAAAAGTCTATGATAAGAAGAGTTTACAACTTGCTGTTAAGTAATACTCACCTTTGATACACTATTTTCACAGCCTATTTCATGCATTGATGTATGGAGTGTGGCGGTGACACAATGTCTGACAAATCTGAACAGATTTGACTGATGTAACAGCAAAAAATCAACCTGTTTTAATGTCTTTTTAAAGTACAGACCGTTCTCTAGATCATTCTGTTCCTACCTGCCAGTCACAGCCTACTGAAAAAATTGCTTAGGGTCTAAACCTGCTCTTGGCTGTCCCATGACAGCTCAGCAGCTGTCATGAATAGTGCACAGTGGTGAAAACCCTGTGGGATCTTAATCACTAGTCAACCGCATCAGGCTCACCCACTAACCCAGATAAAAGCGGCAGAATAAAAGGATTCAGGCCAATCCTTTTCACGGGACCACTCTGCCTGGTTGACCACAGCGACAGCACTCTGCGCAAGTTCAGACATGAAACGAAACAAGAAGGAATGGATCTGCTTCCTCTCTTTAAGCCTCTGCTGGTATTAAGTGTGGCAGGGGGCACTGTGTTTTTCCATTATGTGTTGGTCTGCCTCCACATACCTCCACTTTAAATATAGTCTGTCAAAAATTTTAAGTATACTGTTATATCCTTATCCCCCACACCAGCAGAAGTTGCACTGTCATCCTGTGAGAAACACGCGGCTGGTTATAAAACTGCAACTTGACTGGTTTGCAGAGGTATGCAACCCCAGGGCAGTAATTCTAGTTGTATATTTATAGATCAGGGAACCTATAAGTCTCTGAAGCTGTGCCTTTTTCTCTTGTGTAGGTGTTACCTTCATCCTGTTTAGTCAGCTGTTGTTATTACAACGGCAGATACCTTTACCCTCCAATAACGTTGAACACCTCATTCTGAAACCATGTCTATTATCATGCTGCTCGTAAAAGGCTGTTCACATCCCGACTGCAGAAATTTGCTCTTCTCTACCTACCTGTGAAAAAAACAAGATGAGATTCAGGGCTTCACATTCACAAAGGAAACTTAAATAAAGAAATGAAAAAGAAATTTCATGAAGACAGAGGTGTCCATTCACTTGCTCCTCAGAAACTTTTGCCAGTTATGTTGGTATATTGTAGTGGGTAAGAGAGCTGTAAGTTACCAAAAACCTGCCTCAAGTGTTCATATCCCATGAAATTTAAATTACACTTATGTTAGTCGATGAATAAATAAATAAGAAATTCAGAGCCACATTTGGAAACCTTTACAGATATTTATAACTTATCAAAGACAGGTACTTGTTTATATTTGTTTCTCTGGTTTTTAGGATTTACTTCCATTTTAGCTTTTTTTTTTTTAATTTTCCATCACTGACAAATTTATTGATTTATTTCTGCCTCTAAAACGTACGTGCTTGAAGTTGAGTCACCCTGTTATCTGTTTGACCAGTTAAACACACCCTGCCTATCTATAAGAGGCATAAAATAATCCGTGTCATGCCCACATTTGGTCATGTGTCCACTGTTGGTTTTCTGATACTGATGTGTGCACAATGTCCAGAGTACAGAGGCCTCATTCTTGTGTGTTGTGTCATCCTTTAGCAAAGAAACCGAATGTCATCTTTTCCCTGACGCTACATGGCGGCCACCTGGGTTTCTTCGAGGGCGCAGTGCTCTTCCCCCAGCCCCTCACCTGGATGGACAAAGTGATTGTGGGTTACGCCAACGCCATATGCCAATGGGAGAAACAGAAACCGCCATGCCAAACCGGCCCCCTGACTGAGAGCCCCTGCACAGAGGAAAAAGCATAAACCTCTTATTTCTCTCATATCGTCTCTTTCCTCTCACCCTCTCCAGCCCTTTTGTCCCAGCACAGAGGAGACATCCAAACTAAACCTTAAACTCTTATCTCTGCCTTCTCCTCTGGTGCTACCCAAATGCCCCTTACACAGACGCACACATGTACACAGTTCTCTTCGCCTTTGACACAGACCCCCCCGTCTATACACAACGTCACCTTACAGTATGTGAAGGAACACAGTCGACTAACTGCCTTTTGTGCTCTTCTTCAGTGAGAAGACCTTAAAATTAAAGCAGAAAACATGAGTTTTTCTGTGTGCGTACACAACAATGATCCTTGACTAACAGAGGTGTTGACCAAATATAATAAATGTTCAGTCAAGCTGGCATTGAAAAGTCAGTGAGAGCAGAGAGCACCACTTAAAAGTAGTTCATTGACAAATAAGAGCACACGAGAAGCCTCCTGTAACTGTAAACATGGACTGTGCTGCAGCAGGTGCCGACGTACTGCACCTGTAAGAAGCTCACTGCTTATCACCGCCAAGGCCATGTAGCCTAGTCTGCTGTCTTAACCAACACAGCGTCTTTGTACTTTGTATGTATGTGTGGTCGTAATGCCCAGATGTGGTGTGTATGTGTCTGTGTGTGCCTGTGTAGGCAGAGAGTTAAAGACCCGTGACAGAGCATGTGATTTTGTGGTTGGTAGGTGTGATCCATATCCCCTGTTGGTTGTCTGTCGGCCACTTTTTCTGTTCTTTCGGGTGAACTGTCGCTCGGCTGTTTTGTAGAAAATGTATAGCAGAGAAGTTAAGTATTGAAGTGGGGTTTTACACATTATTTCCACCTCATAGCATCCTCCTGGGGCTTGTGTTTGGCGCTTGAAATGCGAGTGTACCAAACATGAGCAGGGATCAACCTCAGAGGGGAACCATGCACATTCCCACAGTCGCATTCTATCACTTTGATCCAGAGCACTTTACATCCTGTAGGACACATCTTTTTTTCCCCATTTGTTCATCATTATTCAAAGCCCAGATATGGACGGTTATCAACAGTTTAGCTTGATAGTGAGTGATAGAAATAACAGGGGGGGAGCAGGGATGATAACGTAAAGTTAGATGACTCAAATGTTCCCTGTGTCGTCTTTTGTCCCCGTCTTTGAGCCCTCTTACTCTTTCATCTGCCTTTGATCAGCTGCAGGTCCGACCAAGACCTCGATGTGATTCTCTCACTGCACAGACACAGACTTGCTGCTGTGCTAGCCTCTGCCGTTGCTCCAGGGCTAGCACACAAACCTCAAAGTACCTCATTAGATGTTAACATCTCAGTGTATTTGAGAAATTTCTCTGGATGATTCTGCGTCTATGATGAGGGGCTGTTTTAAGAGGGAGAGTTCTGCAGCAGGAGGCAGGTTTTCTCATAATCTGAGCTGTGAGGTGTGATGCGTAGGAGGGCTGAGGATACTAATGCTAAACCAAACGTTTATTTGAGTGGATTGTTTGTAAAATACTGGTGATTGTTATGTTGTATAAAAAGATGGAGAGGATCGCATGCAGGAGAGGTGAGGCAGATTTTAATGTAAGGGAATATTTTAGTTTTTAAGACGGCATTTCTTGTTTTTCTTGTCTGGGCTGATCCGAGCGTTAAAGCTGTTGCAGCACAGCAGAGTTCACTTGAACACTGCAGTGAGTTGCTGAAACCCATCTCAATCGTGTTTTTAATGGAGTTATACTGCAATAACGGGACCTATGGACTCTTTAAAACCTGAATATGTTTGAGAACTTTGATTTAAGGGCTTAGGAAGCTTCTTCCAGTCCGGCCAAGTAATCTGTATTCTGAAACACTGTGATGAGACAGGTGGATGGTTGAAATGATGAAAGGAGACAACAGCTTATGTTGAAGGCTTTTATAAGATCTGGTGTTAATGTCTTTTTGAGTAGTAGCGAGTTGCAGGAACTCTAGTATATTAGGAGGATACATAAATGGAACTCAGTGTCAACCTTAAAAGTGAGCTGAATATGAAAAACTAAAGACCAAAAACATCTGTCTGGGCTAAAGAAGCATTTGTTATCTCTTAAAGAAGGCACTGACTTATTGTAGCTGGAGGATTACACCTTTGTTTTTATTCATCCTACACTTCTGTGACAGTTTTGGTTCAAATTTCAGTAAATCAAATGAAGCACCTAAAAATTAAAACAGTTTTCAGAGCCCAAAGTTACATCTTCAGTTTGCTTCTCTGTGTTTCCAAAGACTACGTGTTTTGAATACTCTGGCTCCAAAATGAAATGATCACAGCAGTGTGAGGAGACCTCTTGTGTTTGTTTGAAGCTGTAGCTGGCTTAACATGGACCTCCTTCAGTGGAGATTATTCTGTGAACAATCAATGAAACCCGGGATTTACTCACACCTATGTCACTTGGCTGGAATTAAAAAAGGGATTTACAAATCCAACCTTATCCCTTCATACAGAGGGAATTCACTGATCCAACACTCGTGCCCTCATTTTTCTTCAACAACAAATCTGAAATTGAGACTTTGTTATAAAGTCATCAGCCTGATATAACAGATGAAAATTTGAAAAAGAGTTCACTTTTTATTTTGACACTGACTTTATACTGTATTGATCTGCTGGGGCCATAATCTCTGATTCAGGATCAGTTTCATGGCTGTTTGTCATCCTGCGTCACTCAAACCACAACTTAACGTTGCCATCTGTTGTCAGGAGAACAAACTACAACTGCCAGTCAGTCATAGCACTTCTCTTTCACCTGCACTGAGACTAATCGTTCATGATCATATCCAAAGCTCTTATTTACAGACAAATCAGCTAATTTGGATTCATTCTGGGAAAAGAAAATCTCCTATCTGTTTGAGAAATAATCTGCTGATAATTGACGACACCAGCACAAACCTGTCTGCAGTAGGAGTCATTGCTGTTCTTTTGAGGACTTTGCCTCCTTCCTCCCAATTTTGCACCTGAATGCAGAGTTGGGTGTATTGTTTGGATGTATTTTTTTCTAGTTGATTATTTGGGGAATTTTTTTGTATTTTATATTGTTATAGATTTTTGTATTATTTACTCGTGCAAATGCATCAGAGTGAGTGTTGACGAATAAACATACTGTCATGTCACCACTTCTGATAGACAGAAACCAAAACTTGTACACTTTAACATGAAAAAAAGAAAAGAAATATGAAAGAACAGTGTTTATTCAAGTGCTCTGGGGGATAGATAGAAAAAATAAAGGCAATAACAAACCAGGAGGGATGAGCTCATCATATTAGTGCTTGTGAGTTAGAAACCAGTGTCAGGTGGCATTAGACCAAATCATGTCAAAAACATTTGAGAGTGTGGGATCTTAAATGTTGTTTTACTGTGTTAATACGCTTCACTGAACTTATTCCAACCACAGCGCTCCAAACATCATGTGTTTTCTGTTTCTGGGCTCATGTTTTGTTGTTTTGAAGCTAATACTCTAAATATTAACAGTTCCAGTAAATCTGATTAATCCAAACGCTCATACTGGGATGAATATTACACAGTGTTGCATTACTCTAAAGCTATGTCTCATTCGAGAGTCTTTTCAGCCCCCAAAAGTGGATCAGGGCTCACTGTATGTTTTTATTCGCCAGCTTCAATTTTCTGTTAAACATTTTAAGACCGTTAAAAAAAACATGGTGGCAATTTGAAGGGATACACAAAGTCACACAACGTGATGTAATCTGTTAATGAACACTGGGTGTTTTTGTTGAGGAGAATCATTGGTGTGTGTGAACTAATTATGTGAGGAAATATGGTTATTGTGTTCCAAAATAAATTATTTTCTCAAATGAAAAAAGTTTTTTGTCTTCTGTTAACTCGTAAAAAAGTCTCAAGCACTAAGAACCTGATTGTTAAAAGGATTGTACAAAAAATGGGATGGGCTTTTTAGGCCCGAAAGCTGTAGATGATACTACAGCTGAGCCCCCTTGTGGTGGTCTGGTTGTAACTGCTGAATTGCTGACAGGGGGTGGAGGTGTAACTGCATCAGCCAAACAATCTCTATCTTGCATTTTCCATGTCAAAAATTTAAGATGAGTATGAAATTAGTGAGATTTTTGTAATAAACACCACTGACATGTACAGAAAAAAACAAAGAAATGAGAGGTTATGCTTTGTCAGGGGGAGGTGCCAAAATCAATACAATTTAAAGGTCCTCATGGGAGTTGTAATCAAGTCACAGGCAATAGGGCTGGTGTTCCTGCTTCTAGGGTCATTATTTGGATGGTGAAACATGCCAGCGCATCAAAATAGGACTCCTGGCTATAACGACACAAACCAGTTTTTCTCCACTCTCTTGGTTTATGTTGTCATTGGATGTGAGCCAATGAGGGATTATTACAGGTGTTGAATTTGTTTGGTAAAACAACAATAAATTTACCTGATCAGCTTATTGTGAACCACATTGTTTTTGTCAGCAAAACAAAAAAAATAAATAATTAAGGGTAAATGATGTCAGTGGTGACAATAACATACTGCTACTTCTTGCATTGAGGATGCTAACAGGGTGAAGTGAGGACAGTAAAGAGAAGGTTCAAGAAGAGGACTGTCTGAATTATCTGATTTAAAACTGTTGGTTTTAAAAGCTGACATCCACTCTGTCATGTTCAGTGTGCCTTTGGATAATGTGAGGTACAGCCGGCAGGCAGCTGATGGCTCGTCATGTTGGCAGACATGTTTTGTTGCTTGACAGATGTAGTGACATTGATTTGGATTGTGGTTGTTTGGTGTTGCTGCAGAACAGTTTGTGCTTGACATTATGTTCAGTGGTCATGTAAGAAGACAAAATAACAATGAAGAAACAGACACACACAAAAAGTCTATTTAATTAAGCATTTTCAAATCCAAGCTGCAGTGTGGCTCTTTGTGGGACTCAGACATAAGTTGTGTTTCTGTGGCACTGCATCAGGAGGCTCCTGCTCCTATTACAAATATCAAATGCAGACATATCCATAATTAGTTTTCTCTCTTCATAGCTTCTAATATTCGACCTGAAACTGCGACACTCTTCTTCTTTCGTTCATCTGACATGAAATGTAGGCACACAGCTGGTCTGTATAGTGTGAAATTCATTTTAAGGCGAAAAAACTCCAGCTAGTCTGTTTCATTCAGTGTGAGCTACATCGTTGACTCGCTCATCGTCCCTCTGCTCCCAAAGAAATAAGAAATGTCATCACTGTAAAATATAAAATCATTAACTGTGGCTTAGTCTCTCTGTTCTATCAAAACATCCTCTGGGCTTTCCCCTTTCTGTAACATATATTACTCATTTGCAAACCAACTCCAGCTCCTAACTCTAGATACTTCTTAACTGCTCACAGGAACTGCCTGAATAATAAAACAATAAATGCCAACTAGCTTCAGAAGAGACCACACATCTGTTCTGATCAGTGAGAGGCATCTAGGGTGAAGGACACTATTACTCTTGGCTTTGAAATAGGAGGACTGTCTCTCAGAGAGCAGTGTCTTCAGAGCCAAAGAGCTTATTGGCAATGGATTGGTAGTCAGCAACAGGTGCTTTTCCATCGAAGTCTGAAGGCAGAATATCTGCATCAAATTCTTTTACGTAGTTGTCCAGCTCATCTCCATGAACTAAGACCTGAGGACAGGTATGAACAGTTAGGGATGGTGATGCACAATGGAGTGAAAAACAACAACAAAAATCACATTTTTTTGTCAAGTCTCAGAGCTGTCTTGTGCTAGAATCTTATGTGTTTTAAAATGGTCTTTGAATAGAGGTATTTGGACATTAAAATCACATAAAGTCAAGATACAAGTTTGATGTTGCAGCGTATAACTCGTGTAGTGGCCTTTTGGGCCCACAAGAGATGCCAGCACAGAAATGCCAAAAACTGCAGTTTCTTGAGTGTCCACTAGAGGCTGTCTCACGCTTTATTTGGTGAAACTTGTGCTCAACTTCACAGCAGAAATAGACAAACTTAAAGCCTGCTAGAAATGACCTGCTCTGATAAATTCATCTGTTCAGAAGACTTTTAAAGCTCCTGTGAGGAAATTTATGTTAGTATAACTTTAGACCCCTCTAGTGGATGAAGGAGTCTCAAGGTCTCATCCTGATGTCTGTTGACGGTCAAATGTATTATTCATTTTGAATATTTTACACACAAATTGTAAAAGACAGGGCAGTTTCTTCAGTTTTCCTGAAATGGAAATCCTTTGATAACCTATAAAACTGTCAAAATATCAAAATATGGACACAGTCTGATGGTTCTCATACTTTCCTCAAGCTGCACTCTGAAGCCTAACTTTCAGACCACCTCGGATAAGAGAAGAAAGTGGAGGAGAAAGGTGCAACTCCAAACACTCAGCTATAACACATCTGGATCAGCCAAATCCTCAGCTTTGCAAACTAATGGATGGTCATGAATCAGTTTGGAGGAATAAAGACATGAGCTCCTCAGACTTCAGCAGTTTTTGTATCGGGCTGAAAACATGTTTACCTTTGCCTTAAAAATGGGATATTTCAGCTTTTGAGCCATCCTCTATTGGACACTCAAGGAACCAAAGTCTTTTGATTTTCTGCATTGGTTTCATTTCTCAATGTCAGAGGCTGCTGTTGGTCAGAATCAAAGCAAGATGCAAAAATGTTGAACTGGAAGCAACAAAACAAACTTCATGAACTAATCTGTGTCATTTTTAGACTACTGGTTTCAAATATTAATGTTACCGCATTAAAATAAAGCCTGAGTTGAAAAGCCAATAAATAGTCCGCTCATACCCTCTCCAGCAGCTTGCTCTTCATGAAGGGTTTGACCACATTATATGTGGTGGTGAAGTACCACGGCTGGTGAATGATGTGAACTGCCTTAAAACGTGCAGGGAAGGAGTCCTGCAAAAACAAGACAGGGAACACCAAAACTTGATCAAAAAAGCACTGACAGGAGGCACATTAAGAAATACTCTGCTATTAAAACCGTGTCTGTTATAACCTGCAGCATGTCCACCATCTTCTTCAGCTCGGCTGGTTTGATCCCTGAGGCGTGCTGCATGGTGAAGCCTTTGAAATTCTCGATCAAGACAAAGCCGTTAATCTGGGTTTCTTCATTCTCCAACAGCTTCTCCAGGATCACACAATACGCTCTTAAAATCTGTAACACACACACACCATGAGTTATTTCTAACAAATACAGCCGTATTAGAACATTTCTTCTCAAGGGGTGCTTCACAGCCACCTCATCAAACGTGATCTCCTCCAGGTCCCAGTTCTCGATGTTGAAGAGCAGGACGACACGGCCGAACCTGTCTCTGCTGGGCAGAACCACGGGGTAACCTGCCTCGATGGTGCTGCGGACCGCCTCAGGGGTCATGTTCTCAAACAGCTCAGGATACTCCTTCCTGAAGTGCACATAGCCTACACACACAAACATGCACACACACACAAACACACACACACACACACACACACACAAAGATCAGCTGCATTCTGAGCACTAATTGTCCACAAAGCCTTTGTGCACAGTTTCAGTCTTCAGTGACAAACACAATGACACCAGTGTCTCTGTACATCTACAGAGCAGATCGAAGCCTTCATACTCAGGCTCCAATTAACCCAGAGTTCCAGTGAGGGCATGTGCGTGTCTGAGTGTGTGTGGATGTGTGGGTCCTCTTGCACGTGCATGTTTTACTTGCAAGCAGCAATTAACCCCACAAAACAAGTTCATGTTCACATCAGATGTCCCTCTCACACCAACAAGTTTGGCCTCTATAGTCATCAATGTGTGTACGTTTCTGTCTGAGTGAGGTCCAGATATGCTCACAGTGACAGGAGGATCAGGTATTATATTATGTTTGATTTAAGATCAGAGGGATAAATCTGGCACTTAGAAGATTAAAATCTTGTTTTTTAAATCAGATTTTGTTTGGCGTGTTTAAGGTTACATTCAGAATAACTGTCATGAGGTAGCTTTGATAAAAGAGTTTGCATTAGCACAGCATATCATTATCTCACTAATCTTTCCTCCTACTAGAGTATCAAAGCACTCCACTTTTTAATGTCATCTCCTCCTCCAAACCAGCACACTCAGCACATGCGCCCACAAGTTCCCAGGAGAACACTGAGGGTTCACAAAGTAAAGCAAACTCTGCCCGTCCCATTTGGACACAAAGGAGGGCTTTGTTAAGCAGAAACTCAGGCAGCATCTAAAAGCCCCCAATTAATGAACACATGGCTCGCTGTCTCTGATGAGCAGGATTCATGCAAACCAGAGCACAAAAGGGGACTCACCCTCAATTACCCGAGCTTTTTGAAAATGGCTGCAGACATTAAATCAATGTATGGAAGGCCAAAACTGGAGCAAGAGAGTACCTTTAATGAAAATGTACTAATATTTCATAGAGTGTGTCGTCTTACCCTTCATGAGCTCATGGGATCTGCCAACGTCAAACTTGCGAGCTCTAAGGAAGCGCAGCAGCAGAGAGTCCGGTTTGTCCCCTAAGCGCTCCAGCACCAGTTTGGCCATCTCGTCTCCCTCTGCTGCTCGGTCCTTCACCATGGCCCGCAGCTCCTTCAGGGACGACGTCCGCCTCTCGTCTGTCTCATTCAGCTCATCCTTTGCCTGGGGGAAGAAAAAATAAACATGTAATGTTCTGAGAATACAGTGACCAGTATGACTTTGTTTAGTTTATTGACTGGTTTACCTTCTGCACAGTGTGTCCAGGCAGTTTGTGGCAAGGCCCAAAAACAGGCCCGTGATCCTTCACTGTCAAATGCTCCAGCTTTGCCCTCATGGCCTGCTCCTCCTCTGACACCATACGGAAAGATCCAGTCTGCAAAAACACAGACTTTAGTGAAGGTTTCCCAAAAATGTGCAGAGTTTAATTCACTTTTACTTTGGTTTTGTGAAGTCAAAGTCTTAAAACTCAATCTTCAGTACTTCAGGGAACAAAACAGGAGCTCCTCTTTTTAACTCGCTTTAATGCTTGAATACTTCAGTGGCAGCTCATTCCATTAACTTTACAGGAAAACACAGGACCCATCTGAGCTGGTGCACACCCCAAAGATGCACACCAGTGGACGGCTGCTTAATCTGCTTCACATGATTATAGAACGGACTTCTAAAGCCAACTCTTAAAAACAGCTTAGAGGTTTCAATCCACCAGCACAAAAAGGACAAAACATGAGCTGCCAAATAAACTCCCACGGTTGTTTATGCTTTTAACCTGGACCCTTGTGTATGAAGAGAGGCCAGACACTGACTGCATGTCTGGCTCTTACAGAGACACTCAAGTGTTGGATTGTTGCAAAGTGATTAAACTTACAGCAGCCATGGTTGCAGCGTCTCACAGCAGCTCCACTAACACTGTGAACAAAGAAGAATTGGCACAAACAGAGTATGAACTCATTTTTTACACCACTGTATAGAGAGAGTAGAGTGTGACCCTCTTTCTTTCAGAGTCATCCAGGTATTCAGTTTGTTAAAGGGAGGTCATGGGATCAGAAATGCATTCATCCAGTTATTGGATTACTAAATCTACATAAAGATAACAGGGAGCTTGGTGATCTACATTTATTTGGATTGATGATACTCCTACAGCTTGACACAATATGGTGACATATCACTGCTCTCCTGTGAAGCTAAACCAGAGTTTGTCCCTCATGTGCTTCTATAAAAAACACCTGCAGATCAATCATAAAGCCTGGATATCAATCATATCAACTGCTGTTTAAAGACTCTTTCAGGACTTTTTAACCCTTTAAATTTGAATTATTTGATGTTTTTAAGAAGCAGAATATGATCAAATAGAAAGTGCAAAAATGTGGCACCAATTTAGCGTGAAATGTTTCAGTTTTGGGCAAGTTTGAAGAAAATGAAGACACTTAAAGTAGAAAATTGCGAAACTGTTATGCTTTCTGTTGTGAAAACAAAGTAAAGTTGATGTTTAGAGGAAATTTTGAGCATTTTGAAATACCTTTAGTAAATCTGGGATTGTGTTTTTGCATATCTCATTTAGGTTTTCCCAAAATAATAACTGTTAACCTTTTTAAAATCAAAAACTACGCCTCTCTATTAACAACTGACAGTATGTTCTAACACTTCAAGTGCATTTTCCTCCTTTGAAGGGTAAAATAAAGGAGTTACTGGAGTTAAAACTCTACAGAATCACTGGTTATTTGCCAACTTTCAACATCTAGTAAAAGGCAGCATCCAATTTGCCAAAGTTTTCTGTTTTATTGATTACAGCAGATTAAGTTCTACACTATATAACAATAAAAAACACAAATATTGCAGTGCTCATCAGCGATCTTAATCTCCTTTATCTAGCTTCAGTGTATCCAAAGTAAAGAGCTGAGCAGACTTACCTCAAGCAGACGTGATGAGGGGAGTGGACAGACTGGCAGGAGAGACAACAGGAGGAGAGAGGACCAGGAGGGGAGGAGCTCCAGAGAAAACATCACTCAGAGCAGGATTAAAATGACATGGCGGATTACAATGAGGGGCTAATCTGCATTGGTCGGACTGGTGAGGTGTGTCGTTCTGGACCGTCAATGAGACGCTACAGGGTTAAAAACACAAGACGGTAAAGATTTTAGACATTTGACTTCACTGGTTGCACAAAGAAGTCTGATTGTGCTAAAATGGATGACAAAAAAGTATTTATCTATCAAAGTTAATCGTTTCTTTATCACTTTTTGGACCTCTTACCCTCTAGTTTCAAGTTTTTCATTCAGCATGATGTGTATTTTGTAAATAATGCTCCTGTTCGCAGCTACCATAGCAACCTGTTGACTGAATTGAGTCTCTCTGCTGCCACATATGGTCATTTATCACATTTGTTTTCCTCCTCTGTTCCCTCACTTCCTCTTGCACTCAGCCCTCAGTCTGCTCTGACCCGAGTTGTCCTGTGAGCTGCCTGGTGAGCATGCTGTCACCCATCCAGACCTACAGCATGTGACATGAAAGGTGGGATTTAAGCTCAATATTACTGTTCCTGCAAAGTGTCATATGAGAGAATCGACCACCTGGGAGGACCTCATGTTTTCAGCTTCACGTTTCACATTCTTCGAAATCCTCATCAGAGGGAGCCGTCTGTTTTGGTTCCCAGATTAAGGATTAGTTTTCCAAGGTTGCACGAGATCAGGCAAACCGACTCTCTTTTAGCGCAGTCATTACAATTGATGAGAATCAGATCATGTTTGTTGTTGGTTTGTGTTTGGAGATTGCTAAGAAACATGTTTTTCTGTCATCCATCATTTTAATCTTATGAGCAGAGACTGATTTTCAGTTCTGCATCCAAAATTATGCATCTGTAGTCACACTAATGTCATTTATTGATCGTAATTTGAGTCAATCCTCAGATTCACCTGATTAGAAAAACTCATTCACCACCAGATGAACCTCCTCTTTTTTACGCAGGGATTTTTTGAAGGCCATTTTTTCTCCAGAACTATCATCAAGAAGGTCTCACTGTCTCTGTGTCTTCCCCATACCAGAGTACATAAAAAATCCTGGACTCTAGTATGTTAGTTTTCCTTTTGAGCAAACATGTCAGTCTTTTATATTTACATGAAATATCGCCATGTATTCAGCCGCTTTGGAATCAATATGATATTTAGGGACTCGCTAAAACATGCAATCACAACATTGAACCTTTACGGCTTTATGTCATAACCTGCAACATGTCTGTGTAAAGAGGAGAATTCACCTTCATACCCTCGCTGAGCTGATCGAAGAGGTTAATGAGCTGTGGGCTGACAGAGGAGGCGTCCATCCCACACTACAGCTCGATGCTCCACTGGGTCTTCCTCCTCTACACACTGAGGCCTCTGTCATCCAGAACTGGCAGACTTACTGTGCCCGCTCATTGTTTCTCTATCAGAATCTCTCTCATTAGTGGATACTCATGAATGACCTCCTATTCCCTCACAGAGACCATTAGGGGTTAACAATGCCTCCATGTATCACATCAGACATGGCTGTGCAAGTGTTTTGTCTCCACTACATGGTTAACTCCTTTGATGCAAAGGAATTTACTGCTTGTTATGTCACTCTGTGAAAGAAGCATGCATGGACACAAATAAGAGCTACTTCCACAAAATAAGAGGAGGAAAACTATCACTAGTTTGGCAGAACAGATTTATCTTTAAATAAAGGGGGAGTCAGGGTTGAAACAGGAACTTCACAGGTATCTACAAGGATCAACTTTCTTCTACATTAAGTAAAAAGTAAAAAAAAAAAGTAAGCTGTAGATCCACTTTACATGTAGAGTGTCAGTAATTTTAATAAAAATGAACCTTGTTGGACTGGTGGGCCAATTTGACTTGTCTTTGTAAGAACGCGCAGACAGGTGTCAGCAATATCATTAACAAAGCTTAACTTTATGAAAGGGTCCCAGCGAGTCACGGCACTGGATTAAGCTCACAGCTTTCTCTGTGTGTGGTTTTCCAATTGTTGTAAGGTGGATGAAGAGATGTCTCCGGCGAGCTTTTCAAGGTAAAAAGAAAAACTCCTTTAGTTATCTTATCAGCAAAACAAGCATGCATCGATGCAATTTATTCCCCAAGTCATGGTATACCTCAGTGTTATACTGTCTTTGTAGAGAACTTCATCAATCACAGGATCAACACCTCCACCTAGTGGCACCAGATGTCTGCCTACATGAGCAGAATCCTGCTCAGTGTGGAAACATTCATCTGTACGATAACTTCACTTATACAGGTGTACTCATCTGACTGTAACTTTGGATGGTTAAAGATGTCCTCTCAAATGTTTGCAATAGTGGCATCAACACAAACTGGTGCCAATTAAAGGATAAGTGACTGACAAACTTCATCCCTAAAGTAAACATATCATATCATATCATACCGTATTTGGCTCTCGACTGTGTGTGCTGCTGTTCCACCACTTGAATCTTAAGGAGGGACTCACTTCATTTCCACTTTAAATTTTAGGGCGGGACTTTTAGCAGGAAGTTGTTTGATTGGTGGCGTATCTTTGGCTTTCAGAACACCCTCACACATTTCAGCTGACTAGTTTGCTTACTTTGCTAAATCTTCACGTGATTTTAGATTTCAATTGAAATGTAGAAATTAATCCTTTGGAGAAAAACTCTAATCCCTTTCAAGGTCGTCTCAGGGACTAAAACTGCTGGGTGCTGGAAACGCAGATTAAATCTCTCATGTAAACCACAAAACAAACTCTGTTAACCTACATTTACCCTGGTAGTTAAAGGATACAGCCAATGCTCTCAATACGAATATCAATCTTGATTAAATTAAGATTCCTAAAATCTTATTCCTCTTATTCCTTATTCCTTTTGAATAAATTGAACCATTACAGACTTATCTGAGGGATGCCATTAACTCAATGCACAAACATGACTCTACAATTAGGCTCTGACCCTGATGGGATTTACATTTCCTTGCAGCCAAATAAGACCAAACTTTTAGAAAAGATCCAGACAACAAAGAAAACAAATATGTGCTCCTGATCCTGACTCGTTTCATTGCCAGTTAGACATAAACTTCAATCTTTGCCACCATTGTTGCAGCAAACAAATGAGACTGTTGTATTCTCATCTAACACGTAAAATATATGTGATCCAGTGGATTGAAGCTGTATAACAGTAATGATTACTGAATTCAAAGATTGAAAAAAGAAGTAAATATCTCCCTCTGACATGTATGAATTCAGAATCTGCCTTTCACTATATGCTGATGATGCTTTTTTGTATGTAACCAAGCAACTATCATAAAACTCAAATTTTTGAACCCTGTTTAATAAGGAGAGAAACAAAAGTGAACTATTAGCAATTTCTCCAGTGGTTGAATTGACCCTTTAAATAGCCTTTTCTTTTTTTTAGTGAAATATATGGTAGGTTGTTGGGATTGCAACACACAAGTACCTTGAGTTTATCTTTAATCTTATATCTTATTGTGTTCTCAGGGACAGTTTAGGTTGTTTCAGTTGAATTGGAGAAATAACACTTGAAACCTCACTGGTTGGAAAAACCAATGCAACAGAGACTTGCCTTTAGTCCTTCATTTTTTCATGCTGTTTCCTTGTGATATTGTTCAATCTTACTTTAATCAGTTACGTTCAGCAATCATACCCTCAATCTTTTATTAACTACAGGCAGTAAGGATATAAAAGATGCTTGCAGTCAATGATGAAACATACTTTCTCTGCTTATACAACAAACTTGATCTTGGAGTAACAGGCTGCTTGTCTGTTGCGATAGGTAGATATGACATTTACATGCACACTTAAAAACCTGATCATAACTGATCATAACTGAGATATAAAAGATGCTTGCAGTCAATGATGAAACATACTTTTTCTGCCCAAAACACACGTCTGTACCATTTTAAAAGAAACTGCTTTTGTAGGAAGTTACATCCATGACATTCACATGATAGCTCTATTTGCTTGCAGGGTGGGAAGCTTATATGTGGAAGAATCTGACAAATCATTTTCATTCAAGCACCTGTTGATCAGCACGTTGAAAATAATGCACAGTGACAATCCAGAGGGACATTATACCAACATTCATGTTGAGACAGCACATCTTATTACTCATCAGGTAGTTAACCAAACAAATGAATAATCAGCTTTGACACATCAGCTTCAAGCATAACATGAATTTGTTAGTAGTTATCTAATGATCATGGGTTATCAGATACTGGAGGTACAAATAATGTGTTTTCTTTTAAAAAGCAGCTGAGAATTCATTCTTTCACAAATGGAAATTCTTGTTAATGACAATAAACCTGCTGCGATAAAGTCTAAAAGCACATAAAAAAGAAGGAGCATCTGTTTTGCATCTTTATTAGATTTGATGACCTTGAATGAGACATTTATTAACAATGTCTGCCTGCAAAACTCCATCTTCAAACCCACAGCCCAAAAAATTCCTATGCTGGCATATTCACATGTTATTTCTAGGACAACTAATCCACAACCTCAAACTTCTGCTATTTGTTCTGATGATGAAGCCATCAGACCCTCACATGAGAGACTAAAACAGGAACTGTGACTTGCCACACGGTTAATAACTTGCATATGATGGAATTAGCATAGATGATAGATGAGCTTGAGTCAAAGCAGACTGAGTATGAAAATGAACCAGCCCTTTTGAAACTGCGCTGTCCTTAAAATATCTACTATTCTTACTGCATTTCAGTTCCTCACACTTTAGTTCAAGTATGACCAAGTATGACCCCGAAACTAAAAACTGTGGTAATAACGCAGAGCGGTGTAAGGGACCAAAAGTACTGAACTGTTGCGCACTACTTAAGTGGATTTCTTGTTGCATATACAAGTATAAGAGAGTTTACATGGACAAAGTTGCAAAACAGAAAGGGCTGAGCGTGCACAAAGGTCAACAGAGTGTAAATATAAGGATTAACTTCTCAAAATAAAGCCAAAACAGTTTGATTCTTTCTCATCTGTGGGGATAACCACTGATGCTTTATTAGAAAAGTGCAAACAGAATAAAAACAAATCAAACATGTTTCTTTCTTGTTTTGGCATCCAACTTTTTAAGGCAGCAGGGAGCACGTTTACACTTCAGCTAGTGTTTTGGACAGATGCATAAAATGTAAATCGATGATTCAGTTAGTAGAGACTTAAAAGCATTATCATGTTGGAGACTAAAGCTAAAAGCATCATACTAAAATGTCAGTACCAAGAAAATGAACCTGTCAGTAGATACACCATTAAAAAAATAGCTCACACAAAGTCAGCCATCAAGATATGAAACTGAAAACTTTGACTAAAGTGCAGAGATTCTGTGTTTGAATTAGTAACAAATAAATGTAAACATTGAAGATCTGGACATACCTTTATACTAGTGTGATTGAATTACTTATAGGGTATCATGTACGTACAACAAGAGCCTCTGTTCTCTGAGGTTTCCTCAATAGTAACAAAGGTCAGGCTGTGGTTTGTTTGCAGGTCGGAGGCGTGTTTGAAAACAAGAGCAGTGATAAATAAGCAGACAGTGATTTCTTCCCTGTGCTTCTCTCGGTAGTTTCACAAACTTACCATAGCTTTACTTTAACCTCCCAAACCAGATTATTTATACACAGATATCAGGGGAATCTTCTTCTATGAAATGTTTTAAAAGCATACTAAAAGTAATAATAATAAAACCAGCTTCTCTTGTCATGCTGCCCGCAAAACTCCAGAGCTGGATGTAACAGTGCATAAAGGAACTCGATTCATTTATAAAATTGACCCACATCCCAGTGGGAGCTGCAGTAGTTTACACAAAGTACCCAGGTCACATACTGCCAGGTCTGCCAGCAAATGTGAAGCCTGGTCTCAGTCTCAGCCCAAAAACGTCAGAGTTGCCATGACGCTGAAGCCCAGCAGGATGAAGAGCACCTTGATGAGCTGTCTCCCGGGGGAGTTGAGCTCATGAGGAAGGATCTCCATAAAAGTGATGTAGACGAACGTCCCTGCAGCCAGACCTTCCAATATGGCCTGGATCAGCGCTCCGGCTGCAAGCCCTGCCTCCATTACAGAAATGCCGATGGCGATGCCTATGGGTGACATCATGGCGAACACTCCTATGTATGCTGCCACCCACAATGGAGTTACTGCGCTCTGGACCAGCTTCACAGAAAGGCTGAACACGATGATGCTCTTGTGGATAAGTATGGCGACGCAGAGCTCCAAAACCTGCAGAGATAGAAAAGTGTCAGTATTTTACTGTTTTTTTTTTCATAAAGTAATGGTAAACAATAAAAAGGTTTGCATGAGAAGCAGTGAATGTCTATTACTTATTAAGTGTTGTGTTTGTTTCTGTTTGTACTTGTATTTATTGTTTTGTTTATGGTCCTTGAGTCTGTCAATAAAGTCTCTCTCTCTATGTTTAAACACTGTGGGTAAGATCATTTTACTGTATTTTTGATTGAACATTTATACCATGTTAGCTATAAGTTTAATAGTAAGCAATACAATAAGTTATGTGCACTTCCATGAGCCAAACGGAAGTAATCTAGTTAGAGAGATTCAATTACATATTAGACAAAATCAAGCATTAACATCTCTTTATTTTACTTTTTATATTCAAGGTAACAAACTAATATGACAGATAATTGTTGGAGTTAAACAATAACATATCTTAGTATCCTACAGTAGAGGCTCTATGTAAACACATCATGTGAACATCTCTACATCACTGAAGCAAAACTAGAAATTCACCCACTTAAATTCCTGCTAGATTTGTCACTTTGTACTGTGTGTTCATTTCCTTTGAGGCATTCATATTTGAACCCTGTAAGTTATTTTGCCTCTTGTCTGTTATGCAGTTTTAAGTCTGATTTATATTTTCTCTCCAACAACTGTCTCAGATCTCTCAGAAGTTCATTTCTTTAAGTTCTGTGTTTGAAAACAGCCTGAGAGAACACCGAGTGTTTGTCTTATGACCACAAGACTCGGATCTGACCAACGTGACGGCCCTAGCTTCTGACCTCTGCAACCATCCTGAGGGTTTAAACTATGAGTATGCTTCCTTCTGTGTATAAAGAGTCTTTTAAATATGATTCATATCTAGATTGCACTTCCACTAAAGTGTGTGAGCAATGACGTGGGTGTCAATGACTACTGCATTATCTGGTTACTTTTATTTCTACACTGGGTTTCTCATCTGCTTGTTGACTATTTGAGAAGATTGCGGATTGTGCTAGTAATAAGCTATTAACATTATAAGCGTCTTACCTCTCGGTGTTGAAAACTAGTTGCAAAGCACTGTAAAGCACTACACCAGGTGAAGTTTATTAAAATTCAGGTTTTGATCTGTCACATAGACTGTTTCAACAAAGGATATCAGTGTAGAGGATTAAAGAAAAGACCGCCCGAGTGAAGGGAATTAACTTTCACATGATTAAGTCTATAACCGAATGACTTAAATATTAAGTCTCGAATAAAAGCGCTGTACTCTCGAGCCCACTACCCCCTTTTATACAAAGTGTATCACATGTTAGAAGGTCCAGAGAACCTGTGATGAGATGTCAATATAGTTCTTTATTTATGTTCAAGTGTGGGAAAAAGGAAGAGGACAAAACCACACATTCTGGATGTACTGCAGAGGTTTGAATGGATATAAAGACAAAGATAAGGTTTTCTGTTTTCTATAGCTCTTTCATTACAGCTCTGCACTCCTGAAAATTTCCTCACATTACCTAAGAAGTTGTATGTGGAAACAAAACTATTTAGAACCACTTGGAAAGACTTCAACCTGCCAATGCCAAAGCTCAAAGTCTGTGTAATGTCTTAGAGGGTCAATGTATCAACGCAGCAGGTACTTATTTGGGCCATTCACTGTAAACAAGTGGGGATGTAGATAATGACATTTAGAAGGTACAGAGATTTACTGACTTCTACTTTGTCCTGCTTGCCTCACTTGCTTGTAAATATTTATTTATTTCAATTGTTGCATTCATATAAAACCTAAAAACAGTCACCATTAGAAAAAAAATCCTTAAATTCCTGCACAATAAACCCCTTAAATAAACAGATTATTTTACGTGGTTTAGAGCCCGTTTCCATGGACAATATCCTACTCTGTGCTAAATGTGGGAAAGATCCAAAATATGCCCGATTTCAAATGTAATGACGATTTATGGAGATGGAAATCTACACGTTTATATTTTTTAGACCTCAAGGACATACATACATTGCTCTCATGATTGACACTGAATACAAAGAGAACTTGTCCAGCCACACAGTAAAGATTGTTCTGTCTTTTTACCTTGGAGTCAGTGTTCTGCAGGCCGATGGCAAGACCCTCAAATATAGAGTGAACAGAGAGGGAGAGGAAGAGCATGAAGGAGCGAAAGGGGGAGTGAGCGTGGAAGTCAACGTGGACGTGTTGGCTGCTGCTCTCAATATCAGGGTCTGCTGGATGGTTGTGGGCAAGTCCATGTCCATGCCCATTCCTGTTGTCCTGTATCAGCGGTGCCCTTTCCTCCTGAGTCCCTCTTATGCCTCTACAATTTAGGACCATCCTCTCTACTATGAGGACGGTGAAGAAGCCGATAGCCATGATGAACTCTGGAAGGGGAAAGTTGGTCTGTTTGGGACCAGCATAGAGAGATTGATGTGTTAACAGACTGAGTCTAGTGCAGTCAGGACTGCGATTGTAGACATAACGCATTTTGTTTTGTCAGAAATAATCACTATCATCTAAAGATACCAAAAGCATGTTCAAAATTAACTGGATTATGTTGTTTCATTCTAGCAGAATAAAGCTGTTTCAATTATCTCAGAGTAAATGCAGACCCCTCATATCCTGAACCCCCTGAGCTCTCATGTTATTACAATAAAAGAATTCCTTTTTCTTCTAAGACATTAAAACAGACATCTAGATGTACCTCCACTTGCCGAACATCCAGCTCATTGCTCATATCCTCTAGATAAGTGGGAATGATGTCCAGCAGACATGCTGCCAGGAAAACGCCACCAGCAAAACAGCTGATCAGACTCAGAACTGTGCGCTGGGTTTCTGCAAATGAAAAGAAATCAATTTGACAGCATCCATCATGTTTCACCGTAAATTTGAACAAAATAGCAATAGTAAACTTCATCTTTTCCTATCATATCTTCAGCCATATTTTTAAGGATACTGCTGTGAATTAATGAAAGATTCACATTATTTACACAGCTAAATATCACCCAACCCGACAGTTTAAAATTACAATAATCTATCGTTGCCATTCTCTTTAATGTTGGAGTAATATTTTAGAGAGATCATGTGACACATCATGGTTATGAAATAAACAAGAAGTCAAGCTCAGCAGATTTCAGAAAACAGAAGTGTAGCGGGGGAGACATGATACTTTCACTTCCATTTAAGAAAGGCAAAGATCATCATACAGCCGTTGTCTTTCTATCTTAAATGGATGTCAATGTGACCATGTGCTGAGAGAGCTGTAGGCTTTAGGCTTCATCCCTCTCAGGTGACTTCCATGAAGGCTTGAAAAGGAGGGGGGTTGTAGCTCTGGTAAACAAATACCTTTATCTGTTTGACAGCTTAATTATACATAAACGGGAGCAGGAAACTATGGTGCAGGAATAGATCAGCTGTAATGGGCCATTCTTTAAAAAAATACAGTATTAAAAGATTTTGTTAGGATTTATAATCATGGTGTATGGCTGTTAATCACTGAAACTCATATATTACACATGTATAAAGCTTATACTCATCTTTAAAACTGTGATCATTTCATTGATGGGTTGCGGTGGATGAGATCAATAACAGTTAAAATCATCTTTAATTTCATCTCGACCTAAAAAAGTTGATCACATCTCTTTAAGACAGTGTGGATCAGACAGACAGACAGACAGAGGACTGCTATAAGAACCATCCACCTTTCACATAAAAAGAGAGGGATCCCTATACCAAACTTAGTAAAAACTGGCTGTTTAGATCTGGATTGTTTTCTACAACTGTAAAAAAAAAAAAATGCAACTAAATCACCTTCTTCAATTTGGCATAGTTTTCATAAAGACACAGGTAACCAATAAGAGCAAAAACCAAACCTGTTTGGCACAGCCTACATTGTTTACCTGGGGTCGTAGGAAGCTTTGTAAGTGGGTCCTCTTTGTAAAATAATAATTGGAACTAAAATCTGCTATCTCTCCATATCGTTAACAGCTGCTAATGTTAAACTCTTATTTACCATTACATTTGTACCTACCTGTCGCGTTTGAGTCTCTGAACCAGAGGACCCGAGCTGGGATGAATCCAAAAAGGAGAGTTAAAAACAATAAACCAAACAGAGAGCCCACTTTCACCGCGAGCAGGTAGTCCATTTTGAAGCCTTAAACTGTCCGTTTCGAGAATAAGGTTCACTAATTAACTCACTGTTCAGTCATTTGATAAGCTATGAGGCAAACCAGGGCTTGCCAATTCCTCAGACGATAAGAGTTTCGCTGAGCAAACAGCCGCTTTAGCATTATATATGGAAAAACAGAGCAGGCTCCTTGCTACGGTGGCTCAGGAAGCTCAAAAAACACTTCGCGAAGGAAATATCGGTTGCACGTTTTAAAACTTTCACAGTTTTAACACATTTTACACAAATAAGGTTTGATTAAACAAAATTTGAAGTTGCACTGGTGGGTAAATGATTATTAAGTTTGTGATTTTATATACATGATAGTACAAAAGGTTTTAGGAAAATAGTTCAATAAAATATATAATGTTAAAATCTTCGCCACAAAAGGAACTACAGGGAACTATTTTTAAAGCTTTTGTTGGTTTCTATTCAATTTTTAATTTCATGTATTTATTTGTTAACTTTTAGTTTACTACGTACTTATTATCGATTTTACTCACTTAGTTCTACTACTACTACTATTTCTAATAGTAATGATAAAAATAAAAGCAATAATAACAATATTAAAAATATTGCTACTAATACTAACACTACTGCTACTGTTCCTGATAATAATAATAATAATAATAATAGTAACAACAATATTAATGATACTACTAATAATAATAATTAAAAATTACTACTAATACGACTACTACTACAACTACCAACTACTAATACTACTAGTACTACTACTACTACAAATAATAATATTAATAATAACAGGAAATAATAATAACAATAATAATAGAACTACTACTACTACTAGTAATAATAATAATAATAATAATAGTAATTAAAACAAATAATAACAAATAATAATTACAATAATAATAAATATACCACTAATACTGCTAATAATAATGATAATAATAATAATAATAATAATAAAATAATAACAAAAATATGAATAAAAATACTACTACTTCTACGATAACTACTACTACTACCACTAATAATAATAATAATAATAATTATTATTATTATTATTATTATTATTATTATTATTATTATTATTATTATTATTGCCCACGTCATTGTGGTACTTTTGACCACCCTAATAAAAAAATATAATAATCCTTTATCTATCACTACAGCTGGTTTAGTGAACGGCAGACAAAGACATTATTATGGGATGGGAAAAGCCTTGTACGTTGAATAATTATCGTGTCATTTATTAGACCTCACTTAAATTCCTGAATGACTTTGGTAATGTCAGTCTGCCAAATGTCCACAGGGTGGCGCTACCTCACCGACACTGAACCGTAACAGCGAGAGCAGTTTGGAGAATGACGCGATGAAGACGTAGACTTCATGCGCCGGAAATGTGGAGCCGAAGAAGTCCCAAATGCTGATGTGTTACAAGAATTTTCACCACAGAAGGACTTTTCATTTTCATTTTCTTTTGCAATAACATAAAACGAACAAAATAAAGAGCGTCGGGTCACAGGTCGATGTCAAAGAAGACGCAGAGACAGAGATCGACAGCAGCGGGTCATAGAGCTGATGGCGGTGAGACAGAAACACATGCAGCTACAGAAACACTCTCACACTTTCGCCCACTTTATTTTGTTCCTCTTTTATAAACTCAAGAGCCTTTATGGCGTGTTACACACCTGCACCTGTCGTCTTACTATCAGAACCAGAACCAGCTTCAGTGGGTTTTGTTAACAGTTTATATTTATACAGTTTACAAAATAGATCAGCTTCATAGTAAGGCTCAAATCTGCTGTTTAAATATTTGTGTAAATGATTTAAAAACACAGATTAACATGAGAAAACTGTAATAAGAACTAAAATAAACCTATTTTTTTACACGGACCAGTCATTCCTTTATGAACTCCTGGGCAATTTGATGCATCCATATCACAAATTCTACTTTTATAGATCATAATTATTCAGTAAAATTACTGAAGTTGTGGTTGTAGTTGTTGTTGACTGGAGTGTATAGAAAAGTATTCCTCATGTTTTGTTCCCTTCACGAAGAGCACTAAATAAGAGGGACACCTTTAAATGTAACACACTACAGAGCATCACTAGTAACCACTTAATCCTCAGTAATAATTATAAAGTAAAATAATCACCTTTCTGATCATGTCAACAAAAACAAAAACTGTAACATTTTCTAATAGTAAAATTTATGGCAGAGCTGGTTTATTAATACTACTTGTTATAATAATATTAATAGTGTTTTTTATTTATAATGCGCTTTTACAGGTGCTCAAAGACGCCTTACAAAAAAAAAAGAATATAAAATGAAAAAAACACAATTTAAAATACAGAAAATTTTGAGAAATAAAACCAACGATGTAAAAGTTTAAAAAAGACAAAATACGAGGAGACAATAAAAGAACAGTTCACAGGTTAAAAGTCCATTTAAAAAGGTGGGTTTTTAAGAGTGATTTAAAAATGTGGGGGTCTGTACAGTATTGGATGGGTTTGGGGAGTGAATTCCAGAGGGTGAGGGCGGCATTGGAGAAGGCTCTGTCCCCCCAAGTTCTGTGCTTTGTCCGAGGGGGTTAGGATCGGAGGGCACGAGAGGGGATGTAGTGGTGGAGCAGGTCTGTGAGGTAGGTGGGAGCCAGGTTGTTAAGGGATTTGTGGGTGAGCAGGAGGATTTTGAATTGTATGCGGTATTAGATGAGGAGCCAGTGCAGTTTTTGGAGGACAGGGGTGATGTGTTCTCGGGAGTTGGTGCGGGGGAATAGGATTGCCTATAATGTTATGGTGTGCATATGTACAGTACACTCATTTACACAGGTTATATAAAAAAAAAAAAATCAGCAGAAAAAAAAAATCAACAGAATCAGAATACTTTATTTATCCTGGGGGAAATTCAGTCATTACACTTTCTCTTAGAAGTACAAACATTTATTGAAGGAGAATAGAAGTAGGAGATAAGAATAGAGGGTGCTCATATGGATTTTCCCATTCAACAAAAAGGAAACTTAAACTTTTTTGTATTAAGAGTTGAAAGTGTGGTTCTTGAAATTAATCAAGCCTGGGTTGTATTTGTTGGCAGTCTGGGAGTAGATGTAGCCTAAAACTTTGTTTTTTTTTAAATGTTGTATCCCATGACATTGATTTAAAGTTGTGATTGAAAAACAGTCTGACAGTACTAAACTCTTTCCTCTTGGTGTTTCTTCACAGCCCAAAGGTAAGGTTGGCACAAAGGGAAAGAAGCAGATTTACGAGGAAAATGAAGCCACGCTGAAATTTTACACACGAGTCATCCTTGGAGCAAATGTAAGGACCCTGCCTTTCCATTTCTGTTGTTGGACATTTAAGTTCTTGAATGAGTCGTGATTACACGCAAACATCAATCCAGTGATTTACTGTCTGTGCTAACTTTGATAACATGGGTCAAGGCCTTTTGGAGCACTATTCATGATCTTTAGGGTCTAAAACCCATAATTTGGAATCCAGCTGCTAGTTTGATAAGTTACAAATAAACCACTTTAAATGCACTTCTCCATTCTCCAGGCAATTTATACTGCAGTAAATCTTTTGGTTTTCTACAGTTCGTCTACATTTTGGACATGGGTGAGTATTAATTTTTCAAATCTCAGTATCATTAATGTATAAACCAGACCTGTTTTCCAGACATTTAACCTTCTGCGTATGTTCTGCAGCTGCTGCTTGTGTTTGCACTAGCGGTGTATGTCGGGAGTTACCGCTCCATGTCTGCCATGGCCAAGCCAGTGTTTGCTGATGATGGAAGTCTCCTGGATGGTGGAATAGACTTAAACATGGAGCAGGGGATGGCAGAGTAAGTAACAAAAACACTACAATAATGAAATCAAAATGTGTCAGATAAGAAGATCCATCTTTAATTTGTTTATATTATTAAAATGATGCATCCATTGATTTTAAAGTTGTTTTGCCAGTGTGCAGACAGTACATGCATTTTTTAGGTTGCATACAAATGTGTCTTTGCTCCACTGGTACTGAACCTGTTCTGATGGTGTTGATGCCCCTTTAGTCAGAATAAATACTTTGTGGACTTTTTTTTGCCCCGGGTTCCTCCTGTCAGGCTACAAACAGTCTCCTGCTAACCACCTGATTAATTACGTTTATGGGGGACAGGAAGCGTTGCTGACATTACTTAGAGGTGGAAATACTGCTGGCCTTCCTCCGCCCTGTCAATAACTTAATTTTATGGTCTGGAGATGACAATGTTTGACAAAAAAAGGTTGCTGTTGAACATATGTCAGTGTAATGAAGAACATTGATATTGAAAAGTAGTTAGATAATAACACTTTATTCTGCTTTTTGTAGTCTGCATGAATTCACAGTGTTTACAGATGGCCTAATGGATTTTATTTGTATCACTTTTCTGTCAAAGAAAAAAAAACTGTTCATATTGAGAAGTTAAAACATTTGTTGGCTTATTAATGGTAAATTGTTGTTCTTGTTTTGCTGAGTGTTAAAGTATGCAGCCAAGAATCAGTCACATAATTTGTTATTTTATGTGGTTAAAAACTGTTGAAAGTTCTCTTGAGTTCATGCTAAACGGCAAAAGTTTTTCTTGAGTATGGACAGAAACAGAAAACTTGTGAGTGATCTTTAATTGTGTGTGTGTTGTGGTTTTAGGCACCTGAAGGACGTCATCTTGCTCACAGCTATAGTACAAGTTCTCAGTGTAATCTCCTCTTATTTTTGGTATCTTTGGCTGCTGGTAAGAGCGCACATTAAAGATGCAGTATTTCCCAATTCTTCCTTCCTAGTGTCTCACCATCAATCCTGTTTTTGTTTCTGTGTGCCAGGCTCCAGCACGCGCCCTACACCTGCTGTGGGTAAACTTTCTGGGTCCCTGGTTCATGGCAGAAAACCCGACGGCACCTGAGGAGGTAAACGAGAAGAAGCAAAGAAGACAAGAACGCAGACAGATGAAGAGATTCTGATGCGACAGAGCAGACGGAGCAGTATTTTTATACACAGAATCTAATTCACAAATAGTGAGGACCTCGTAAGTTATTCAGGAAATTCTGTTGTTAAGTTAAAGTTTAACCAATTCTGATTCTCTGGAATATGTTTCTCCATGTTTGTTTGCTTTCTGCTCTTCTCATGTCATGTAATTTTCTACCAAAATGATAAATTGTACCTTGTTCAGATAAGTCAAATTTTCACTCACTCATTCTGTCAATGCAGCCTTCATTATGTCATTTGTATTCGATTTTATTTTCCTGATATAGAATTCATCTTTGAGCCTTCACAACAGAGCTGAGATATCATTTGTAAGCTGTTAAGTCTTATAAATACAACAAGTTTTAAGAGGAAAAAAGGAACATTTTTGCAATAAAAATCTTCCTCCAGAGTGTTTAGAGTTGGGAGTTTCAAGATTAGGGATTTATCACTGTTCTCAGGAAGTTGTCTTTTTTGTTGTATATGTCTGTAGTCAGAACTTGGAGTACTAGGCAATCGTTTTCTTACATTTACGAGAGGAAAAAAAATGCTAGTTTCAAGTGTTAGCAAAATTGGACACTCAGTTTTTTTTGGTTTTTTTTTTGAGATTTTTCCGTAATATCTGGATCATGTCATGAATTACTTAAGGTTTTTGAGCCTTGGTCTGCTAAAGCTAATCAGCTAATGACAAACCACTTTTAATATGGCGGTGAGGTGATTTTGGTGCATTATACAGTCTTATGTTTCACAGACATCTCACTCCACTGACAGGCCAGAAATACGCAGGTTTGAATGACTACTAAAGCATTTTACCCAAGTAACGGTTACCTTCACAACATCTTACTTAAAAAAAAAAAGTCAAAGTACTGCTCTGTCAAACTTTCCAAACAAAAGTGAGAAAGTACCTCATTTCACATTTATATACAAACTAGCAAATTGGGCAACAGTGTGTGGGTTTGAACAATAAATTAGGATTGGTCTTTCTCTGTGGTTCAGAAATGACAAAAGGATTTGAATCTCTGGGTTGTTTAGTAAAATGAACACCAACATTTCAATAAATTATAAATTACAGGTTATATCACAAATTTCAAATATAGTGATGCATCAATGTAAACTACAATAACAAACAAGACTGTCCGTATGAGGATTGACTGTTTCTTTATGGACAACTCTTAATATTTCATAATGCTGCCTGCTGTAGGGTAGGTGTCAGACAAAGTGATTCACCTCACACTGAGGAAACAGCCTTTTTTACATTTTCAATATTGATAATGTCATGTAGGGTGGAAAGCAGAATGAGTTTTTTTTTTTGTCAAAAAACAACCCTACATGCACAAAACCAAAAACAAAGTTACAGGACATGCCTCTTCGTCCAAAAGTTTCCTCACAAGGCCTTTTAAAAAACTCATTTATTTATTTCTATAGTAGAGTCAGTGTTATCGCACTAAAACAGTCCTTACTCTACTGTCCCTAATTCAAAAAGGTGTTTTCACGCCACATAGTTACATAATCCTCAAATTCTTTGAACAAAAAGGAGAAAAAAAGTAAAGATGTTCACTTTTGTTGTATAAGATAAATAGAAAACAGTTAAACAGTGTGATGCAGAATATTTTAATAAGAAAGAGCAAATAAAGGCAGATATATGAGAGTAAAACTGATCAAGCCAAGCCTAGAAGGAGACAAATGACCCAAATTAAACAGGTTAATGGGTCTCAGCATGTCGTCACTCGTCCTGAAGATTTGTGGTTTTCACTGAGCAGTGACATGATTTGATTTAAGGTTGAATCCAAAAATCATCCAACTGTTTAAACTTTGTATCATTACAGAATTTTCATTTCTAATCCAATATTACAATTCACATTTGATTTCCAGTTGAAGGTGTAAACAGACTCTTGAGGGATGTAGAAATTATGTTGACGTGATAATGAATATAAAGAAATCTAATAGCGTAATAATGAGTAAATACACCGTGAAATGTAGCCAAAGTAAATGAAACATTTGATCAAAGTTAGTGTTTGCCACATCCGTCAAAACAATCAGCCGCTACGGAGACTGTGCACATATCAGAGAGGAGAGATTTAGGATAAGAGCTGATGTATCAGTGCACAGTTGACAGTTTAATCCCCAAATACTTAGCAAATGTCAACCACTTGGCGAACAGCTACATTTGACATTTTGTTTCCATCCGGTGAGCTGAGCCTTGTCCCTGGGGGGTTAGCGTTGTTTATTATCAAGTCGGCTAAGTGTCTTTACACTGTGTATCCCGTGTTGACAAAGTGCATTCACTGATTATGTTCCTGCACAGACTCCAAAGCGATTGAGTGGGCTGGCAAAGCTTAGATCTGCTCCAGTTAATTACAGATTTCTTGTTATTGTTGCATCCAACAAGCTGCAACATGCAGAGTTAAAGTGCGATGGTGTGAATCCGTTTAGAAGACAAAGCAAAAGCAAGACAGCGACCAAGTTTTCTTCACTTTAAGTCTGGAATCCGTGGAGATCGTTTTACTTAACTTTAAACTTTTCCTCAAATGTCAATATCCCCACAAGCCTTTACAAAATGACTGCTTTTACTTTGCCCGTGTCCTGCCCTCCTTCATTCCAGCAGCCCTGTGGTCCTATACTGTCTCTATTATAGGGTTATAAACAAAGTAACCAAAATTAGAGCAGCACGGCATCCAGTTGTCAGGGCCAATCCCAGATGTGGGCTTTGAGAGGGACCATGTTGCAATGTAATTTAGCACTGGGGCCTCTCACTTGCACGTAACCCCACTCCCTCAAAACTCACATATGTAGTCGATGTTTTTTGCAGAAAGATGTGCAGAAATGGGCATTTTGAGTTCAGTTAACTCCAGTAATTGTCTGCTTGGAAACTCCCCAGAAAATACTTTGGAAAATGTACCTCGAGGCTGGTAAAAGGACATATGGTTTTTCTTTTGCTTTCAGCTTTTTTGTGGACAGACTCTCTCTTTTTTTGTTTGGCCTGTTTTCTTAATTACCCTAAATTGTCTCCTTTTTTTCTTTGAGGTACAACCTAACATAGAGAGGTATCTCCTACAATAACCCCTGTCATGACTGCTGATTTAAGATAGAGAGAAAAGTGGGAGAGAGAGGTTCTTGTTTACCATGGCAGTAAAAATGGGTTCATCCTGACAAGATGATATAAGGGAGTTGGGGCCATTTTCCAGGCTTTATGTGCAGCTTTGCATGCTATAACTTAACCCTCCTTTCACATACGTTTAAACCTGTTCCAAGCATACAAGTAAGAAAAAACTCTAAATGAACTGAAGTAGATATTCAAGAATACAGAGAAGTTGAAACGTTCCTTTTTTTTCTCATTGGCTCCTGCAGAACATGACCTTCACATTTTAGATCCTTTTACGTTCACAGGGCCAGACAAAACAGGAAATTTAGGGGCATTCGGGCAACAGGCGAGCCTTTGACCCTTGAACTGCAGCGCGCCCTGTCTTTGAAGTCGAGAGAGAGAATCACAAGTAATTACATGCGATGCAGAGTGTGTTCCCTTGAACATTTAGCCTCCCTTGTGTAAACAGAATCAGAGCTCTATGAGTGTGTTTGGCTGAGCTGTGGGTGTAGTCTACTTCAAGTTTATAATCTGTGCTCTGCTTTGACCTCGTTTTGGCTCTAAGTACTACTGACCCAAACACTTGTGACAGTTTGGGTTTGCAGTGAAATAGTTTTGATATAGGTATACTTTTGCAATATATTTTCAGTTACTATTTAATTTAAAGACACACACACAAGGCTGAGTTCACACCTCCCTTGATGACCTTAAAAGGAAGCTGTAAGAATTCCTGCTTCATTTGCCTTGACTGAGTGAGTGTGTGTGTGTTCCTGTGTATGTTTCCACTATATGTGTGTCTGAAAGTATCTTTAACATCAGACTTGGTGGCAAATACTCCACCCTCCTCAGAGATTGTCACCTCTGTTTAACATCTTGTTCAGTCTTCTGCAAACCATTCATCTGCTCTTGCTTGTCACCAGCTGCAAACTGAAGACACACATCAATCAAGCAATAGACATAAGCAGTGTCAGGACTAAGGCGTTATTAAATAACCTGTTACAGTAACTAAATTACTTTTGCGGTAACAAGTTCTGTAACTAATTACTTTGTCAAAATCAGTAACGCGGCATGAGCGAACTAAGCGGCTGCTTAGGGCCCCACGGCCAATAGGGGGCCCCCAAGAGCAATAAAAAAAATGTAAATATTTTTTATTTTTCGTATGTATGAGTGATGCTTTCTGTATGATTAAATATATATTATTGTAACAATAGAATTAAAGTAAAAACATTTTAGTGCTGCTGCTGATGTAGGCCTATGATTCTTGCTGCCGATATGTCAAAGCTTCGCTGCCGTCATGTTCCTTCTGCTGTGTAATGTGCACTTAGCATCGAAAGCGCAGGTAATTGTGGGGCAAAACAATGTCGCAAAAAAGGACATATCCTTCAGGAGCAGAGAAAAGAAAGAGGAAGAAGAGAAAAAACTGCCAAGATAAAGGTATGTTTGCATGTCATGGAATATTAACCAAAGGGGTTTGTGCAGGTGTGTGAATGATCAACAATCAATATTATTGGCAGAAATAGAGGGCCTCAAAATCAAATTTTGCCTAGGGCCCCATTAAGGCTTGGGCCAGCTCTATCACTGCTGCGATTTTAACAAACTCGTTACTCATTACTTCACGTGCATAACTCAGCGCTACAATTTCCGTGGAGCACCTGAAGCACACGTGACGCAGCGACGTGCAGGTGAATGAATGAAAACAACAATGGCGGCAGTCGACGACAGTCCAGGCGCGGGATTTCTGTCGTTGAAATATACACATTATTTTATTCTTTCTGTCGGTAAAAGACAAGAGAAGGAATATTGTGGTGACCTGTATTCTATGTGGAGGTTTGAAAACTCTATCCAAGACCCTGAAGCTAACACAGGTGATGCTGCTAACGTTAGCTTCGCTAACGCTAAAGGAGGAGCCACTCCAGCCAAACAAGGAAAGCTTGATTTAGCAACAGGACTGGCAGCATCCCTGGCTATCCAGAAAGGTAGGTAAGCAACACATTAATAAGAGAATTTAGAGTAAAAAATAAATAAATAAAGAAATTTACTTTCCCTGGTAACTAGTTACCTAAAGTAACTGAGGTACTTTTGAAAGAAGTAACCAACTGTAACTAAGTTACTAATTTAAAGTAACGTACCCAACACAGGACATAACTATGATTTTTTCAAGACTTCAGATTATTATTTTCCAAGGGTTTGATGTCACTTTGATGATTTGGCAGTATGGCTGTAAAATTAAAGATCATTTGGGTGTCAAGACAATTGATATTAGAAAGTGCAAGAGAATAAAACCTTGTTTACTTAGTTTGTAAACATAATTTGTTTTGCATTTGTTTTTAATTTGTAATTACTTAATCAGTTTTTTAAATTTGTTTTTACTTCATTTGTTTTGCAATAAATCAGACTTAGGTGACGTGTTAAGTGTTATGATGATGGTGTTTCGATGGATTGTGCAACATTATCCATGTGGCAAATTTTCATGTAGTCAGTTCAACCCATTGTCAGCATTTCTGCACAACATTATGGAGCCTCTGCTCAGCTTTACTGGTTTCGAAATTGATATCAGTACTTCCTATTGTAGGTGGTACATGCATGTGGTCTGAAAGAAACATGGATCTGTTGCCATGTCAGTCTGCAAAGAGACACACAGGCAGGAACTTAACTAAACTCATGAGTTACTCCATTTTACTCAGCTAAAGTAAATGCGATGAGGTTTCTGCGTAAAGATATCGTTGAACGATGTGCATGGGTTGCTTTGGTAAGCACAGAGGTGTAATATTCTATCCAAGCTGGTATACGTACTTCTCTGCAGAGTCCTGTACTGGGTTGGGTACTTTAGTTCTGGTTCAGGTTCAGCACAGGTGGGTAACAGTGGAGAACAAAAAAGAGAGACCAGATTAAAATGATTTGCAGTATTCAACATCTAAA